TGATCTGATTATCCAGGTCATAGAGAAAGAGCATGCCATCACGGTCACAAACTCTTTCAACATCCAGGCTTTTGAGGGACTGACACAGATGAGGATCCATCACGATAGGAGTAGAATTCAAGCAGCGCAGCAGGTGACACAAGATGCTGGTTTTGGTGCCATAGTTGGGAGGGTTTTCTGTTTTTAATGTTTTTTGGGCCCGTCTCAAGCCCTCCAACCTGCTGTCCATGAGGCCAAACCAGACATGTGAAGAAATCCAAAGAATAGGTTGGGACTTCAGAAAAGCTTCAGCCTGATTATGGTCCATGATCAATCTAGTGAAATAGATAGATAGACATCAGAGACTTACCCTTTCTTTCAACTGGGGAAGAACCTCCAGGGCTGCTTGCCCACTCATCCTATATTCATCACGACATCCATAACCCCGATGGGATGGCCCTCCATTGTAGATTTCATGAATCCATTGGCATTCTTTCAGATACCCCTCTGTAAGATTGTAGGCGTCCTTATCAGAAACAAACTTGGGTTCATTATTGTTGGGTCTGATGGCCTCATAGCACAGCTGATATGCAGATCGGAAGCAGATTTGACTGTGATATGCATGTTTCAGGGTCATCTCTGCCTGAATGCCTCCATACCGACCCAGAGTGCCAGTATGATGAGTAGTGCCTTTTTTGAAACCTCCCTCCTGAAAAGAAGCCTGCAATGCATCAAGCCTCCAAAGGCCTACAAAGTTTCCTGTAGGGTTGAAGCTTGCACCCACATCCAAGTAGAGTTCTCCATGGGTCCTATCCATCATGTAATCCCAATCCAAGTTGGAGAAATTTGCTTTTAAAGCCTCGTATGGAGAGGTGTATCTGCCATCCTGTCCATCTTTTGTCCAGAGTTTGATGCCCTTGCCTTCTAAAACAAAGAAAAAGGATCCATATGATGCCAACATAGGGGACTGATCCACCAGGGTCCTCATGTGTTTTTGAATTTTCTTGAATGCCACTTGGGAGAAGGGGATGGCCTTGGGTCTTCGACTGGAGCCACCTTTGCGTGATTTGTAACGAATCTCATGCACTGTGGTATCCACATAAGGAAGAGAAGAAGTGGGTGCCTCCAGTGATATAGAAGGCAGCACCACCTCATTCCAGAACAAATCAATGACATCTAATGGAATTCTTGTTGCACGTCTGGAGGAGTTGACACGGTTATGAATCATGCGGGGAAAACAGAGGAGAAGATTGGAGGTATGATTTGCAGTGCTCAACACTCCAAATGGCACATGAGGTATAGAGCTCAAAGGGATAGACTTGGTCCACCACTCCTCCCTTTGAGTACCATCTAAACCCTGGTCTTCTGTGCTTTGGGGCATGAGAATGTCGACATAAATATGATTATGCTTGTGGATAGGGACTTGCTGGTCAATCACTGGAGCCAAGTAGATTCCCATGCTGAGAGCTGGACGAAAGTCATGGGTGACCCAGATGTAGCTGTCAATGTCTACAGATATGGTGATTTTCCTAGGAAATTGGAGGTCCAGCTCTAGGTCCAGTATAATCCGCTGGCTTCCTATGGGATCAGCTCCATAAACAAATAGACTCTCATATACTCCAGTGTTGTGTGAGGCCAAGCGCTGGGCATCTAGCAACATCTCAGATGCTCCCATGATACGGACATCACTTGGAACAACCACTCTCTTATCTGCAAAGAGGGAGCTGCGTGACAGGCCATAGCTTTTTGATCTCCAGAAACTGACCTGCTGACTGGGATCATAAGTGTCAGAGACTCCAACAGTCATCATGTGATCTAGGGGGTCTACTGGAGGACCCAACCAGAACATCTGGTAGAAGCTAGGGAAAAGCCTGAAACCATAGTCTCTGAAGAGCATGGCTGATCCAAGAGCACTGATCCAAGCATTGCGTGAGGAGGACCAGATCTGACCAGCATCCATGATGGGTCTCATAGACTCTAGGGTAGGTCCACCCCAGTACTGATCAAATCCTGCATCAAAAGGGAGCCACCTGGATGGCATAGTGGAGGTATCACGGAGATGGGTGGCAGTCAATGAGTGGAAATCCAAGAGTTGCTTTAAATTCTGTGACATCTTGTTACTGTGGGCCAGATTTGTGATGGGGTTGGTATCTTCAGGATCAGAATCCAGACTATTATCATTTTGGGTTTCATTAGGATCCTGTGAAAGACTGGTGGAACAACAGTCAGGACAGTTGTATAACATGGTGGCAAGTTTGGTGATGATAGCCTGGTTATTTTGTCTCTGGATGGATTCTTCTAATCTCTTGTCCACGATTTCCCGAGAGATATGATCTGTTGGATCCCAATCATCTGGCAGGTGGCTGCCCAGATACAAGTAATGGCTCCACTCTCTTCTACAGCTGAGTTTCACCATCTCAAACATTCTAAGGCGAGTGGTGTGTCCACAAGGTATGGTTGGCCTCTGCAGACTTCCATCCAGATGGTAGGCCAGCCCATTCTCTAGAAAATGCTCCAGAATAGAACTTGAGACCGGTCCACAATCGCAATCTATCTTCTGTGGTAGGCGGAATCTAGGATCTTCATAAACATGTACAGCAGAGACATCTCCATGAGGCCAGTTGTGCAACATGGCCACACGTTTCCAGTATTCTGGACCCTGCCATTCCTCCCAGTTGCTTTGGAGACTGATTCCAGGTGCAGTGTCTGAAATAATGGTATGCCGCCCCAAAATATGAGCTCGTTGCTTGCAGTAGTCAAAGATTACCACACAGTAATGCTGTGATGTAGTCAAGATGAAACCAACTTGAGCAGCAGGATGTTCTAGAGAAGAAGACATGAAGTGTCTTTGCTGAAAAGTCTGGATTTCATCCAAGTTTGGCATTTGACCTATGTTGTTCACTAATGGTGAAGCCACAGCCACCATATCAGCATACCGCAAAGGACCTTTCCCATGAGTTGGGTACCACTTGGTCATCAGGAAGAAATTGAGAACCGCGCCACCAATTGACATCTGGGGGTTTAATGTCTGAAGCTGCTGAAAAGCTGGAATCCACAGGGATGGTCGTGCCAAGTTCAACATAGGATCATTATCTGATATAGCTTTCAGTTAGAGGTTCAGAGTCTAATGATCTCAGAGTCATTCACCTGGTGCCTTAATCTCATCTTGAAGCTCTGGAGTGACAAGATCTTCAGCCAGACCAGATCTTGTCCATGAGGGACCACATTCCTCTGAGCTCCCAGGTTGATAATCATCCATAGGACTGTCATGATCATCTTCCTGTGAATCAGTGCCAGATGACATCTCATGTTTTTGAATATATCCTCTCAGAATGTCTGATAAATCATCATCTATAGCACTTGACTGCTGCATTTCACTGTTGGATTTCTTAGATGCCTGTAGAATAGAAGGCCGTTTTCCAGGACCAGCATCAGATGACATTTCTGAGCTTTGGTCTGATGACAGCTGCAACTGAAGCCATGCACTCTGAACTGGCTTATAAGTCATAGCCATGAATGCTGCAGACAAGGCACATTGTATTTAGTTCAACTTTATGTGTGAATACAATAGAAGCAGATGACACACCAGATTCTGTGTTGTTTGAGATATGATCAATGTCATCAGAATCAGAAGACAGGTCCATATTTAGCCACCTTGAAGTGTGCTGCAATGAAGAGGATGAGGATTTAGGCATGCCAGATTGGTGGTGGTAGTGGTGAATTTGTAGATGCCTGGATGATCTGAACTAATAAATGTGGGTGGTCTTGAATAAGTGGTCAGGGTACCAAAAGGTAGAAAGATATGCACCCAAATTTCTGTCCTGATCTGATATCACAGATTCAGTTGATAAGAAAGTTAGACTCAGATATTACATAAGGTAGTGCTCATGCACATCCCACTAACATCACATGACCAAGGGTGACTTTTGCATGACTTTGGAGTGTACAGCTAGTGGCCATTGCAAATGTCACTTTTTTTGCAAAAGGAATTTCACAGTCTTTGTATTTGTATGTAGAACAACTCTGTGGGGCTGGATTTTTGAAAAATTGAGGATTGCGAGTGCCATTAGAAAAATCAGTCTTATGGGCTTGGAAATGAAATATAGGAGGTAACACTACAAAAAAGGTAATACTTCACCTCTGTCATCAGACTACTGCACCACAGACTGTACAATACACCAGTGACCTGAAGAATTTCAGTGAATGTGCTACAAGGAGGGCAAGCAAAAATACAGAGGTGATTAAGTTTCTCCCTTACACTATCCTTGCTGAGCTCAAGAAAGCTGGACTTTAATACTAGTATCTGTTGGAAGTCAACATTATCATCACATCTTATTTGGTCTTTGTTACACGAGACTTTTTACTTTAGCTTATAACCTCCTTGTTTCACATTGTTTATACCTCAGCTTGTTCTCTCCGCAATGCTGAGGTATGTATTATTTTTCAACTTGCACGCTGTCTCATTTCTCACTGTATTTCACTTGTAGACCTTGTTTCCTTAGGTATTATTAATATAGCTGTTCTTTCCACAATGCTGGGACTTATTCCTTAGCCTCACTTCAACAGTATCATTCACCTATCATTTCATATCATCTATCATGCCTAGCATATACAACATTTCTGAGTTCATTGATTAGATATAACTACATAGATACTATGATACATACAATCACACAAACCTCTTATTCTTTTGGATCACATACTATCACTGCATACTGGCATTGGTCACGTTGGATCACACAGTGTCACATGTTGGTTGGTTGTGCACGAGCCCTAACTTACTTGTCTGACTTCATTTGACCAAAACTTTAATCATATATATCTGAGATTTAAGTAGCACATACTCCAGACCATTATCTGCCAGTTCAGTGGGCAGTGTACTAGAGCAAGATGCCAGTGCTACCCAAGGGGATGAGTCAACGGCAATTTGATGCCTTGCCAACTACACATGCAATCAGTGAGCATCCTTTTGTACTTTGATAATTTGTTTCTGATCCAGTGAAAATAATCAAGTTTATGCCATGTCAGCTGAAGATATGGAGACAAAATATGGATATGAAGTGGGTCCAAGGTGTGTTTCTTCTGAAGTACCTTTCTTGGATTGATGTCAATGTAATTCATCCAAACCATGTTACATGTAGTGTTGCAGTGTATGCCTATCAGAAAGGGCGTAGGGGGGTGGATGAAAGTGATCTATGGTATGGAAAATCGAATCTCTACGGGTGGACAAGCGTGCAAAAGCTTCACAGGTCCGTGCTCACAAACAGCTGACCTATCATGGCATTTCTGTTGAATGTACAATTGGTTTTTTTACAGCCTTTTTGGGTCAAAATCAGATGGTACTGGAGTGCAGACTTTCAAGAGCCATCATTCAAAAAGGCTTCTCAATAGATTCAAGATTCTTTTGCATAGGAAGCCAAGAGCTATTGGAATCAGATTTATCCGAGTGGATGGAGGCTGCAGTGTTAGCTGGTGAGGACACAAATATTTGGTTTTTTTACTGATGGCAGAAACTGATCAGGCTGATTTCTTAAAAGATGTCACAGAGGTAGTCAAGTTTGATGAGATATCTGGGGTGCTAAAACCTTGGGATGGTCTATACACCGTTGGTCTGCAAGCTCTTCACCACCCAAACTGCAGGTCTGTATTCAGCTTTAAGTTTGAGGTTTGAAACACCATTGATTTACATTTGATGATAGGATGATTCAATTCACTTGTCATGCATCTCAACTTGCAACAAACCCTACAGTCCAGACAAGGAGATCCAACGGTTCTGCTCAAATTGCAACTGGTGGTATCATATCAGATGTCTTGATGCACTTTCACCATTGGGGTCTATCAAATCTCACTTGCCACCCTACTGAAGTCCAAGCTCATCACAAAGTAGACCAACTTTTCAAAGCATCATTTGCTGTCCGGTTGAACGTGGTATCACAGCTGGAGTGTTTGGTAATGGATGGGGAATACATCAGGCACGCCAATGGTACAACCAGTTGGTGAATGAAGGACATCATCTGCCTGATGACTGGATCATGCAGATGGATCAGATTGATACCAGATGGATTGCCCCCACAAAAAATTTGGCCAATACCACCTATTACCAATGTCCTGCCTGTCCAAAATACTGGTTGTAAGGATTGAAATACAAAGTGCTAGCTAACTGTCACTATCACAATGAATGCTGAATTTGAATCTGAATCACTTGCATCATTCATAAAGGTCAAACAGAACTTTGAACTCTATTTTGGAGTCTTGAGGAAGTTTATCAGCCTCTGCTAGGTGCTTTAGGAATCTAGCTGACCATATCCATCTTACTTGCACTAATTTAGTAGGGCTAGAGTTAGAATATTTGCTTCCAAAATATAGACACTTGCCAGTATACCACAATATACCAGAGAGCATAGACAGAGCATAGACATCAGCAAAAACTGAACCAAGCCTCTTTCTAGCATTTCAGAGGCCAAAAAAGACAATGGACCAAGTCTTGGAACCCTGAGATTTTTTGTAATATAATGGATCAGATACCAGTCTGGTGGTTGGGAGGTGATATGACATCAGAGATGCCAGACTTCAGCAAACATCTAACCAAGATTCTCCTCACCATTATCAAGGTCACAGAAGATGATGGATCAAGTTTTGAAACACAAGGAATTTTTTGTGGTGTGGTGGACTGGATATCTATTATAGTAAGGAGATGGTCTGATATCAGAAAGTTAAGACTCAATCAGCAAACATCCAACAAGGCTCTCCCCACCATTTCTAAGGTCACAGAAGATGGCAGACTAAGTTTTGAAACACCGAAGATTTTTTTGTTCCATGTGGGCTAGCTATATGTGGTGGTCAGGGGGTGGTCTGAGATCGATATCAAGAAATAACCATCCAAGCTTCTCCTCACTATTTTAAAAGTCACAGAATATGAGAAGCCAATTTTTGAAATACAGGAAGTTTTTTTATAAGGTGGTGGGCTGGCTGTATTATGTGGTGGTTGGAGGATGGTCGGAGACCAGAGATGCTAGATATCAGCAGACATCCAACCAAGGTGTTTTCTACCATTTTAAAGGTCTCAGAAGATGATGGACTAAGTTTTGAAACACCGGGAAATTTTTGTGATGTGGTGGGTCAGGAGATAGTCTGACACTGGAGAATTCTAACATTAAGAAATACTCATGTGAGGTTCTCTCCACCATTTTGAAGGTCATAGAAGATGATGACTAAGTTTTGAAAACACCAGGAATTTTTATGGTGTGGTGGGTCAGATACATCTGGTGGTCAGGAGATGCTCTGACACTGGAGAATTCCAACATTAAGAAATACTCATGTGAGGTCTCCCCACCATTTTAGAGGTCATAGAAGAAAATGAGCCAAATTTTGGACTACCAGTAATTTGTGACAGAAAGAATTATATTGATCATCATTTGAGTCAGAACCAAACCAGTACAAGTAAGATGGGCTTTCTGGGGTGGTTGCACTAGTTAGAGTTGGACTAGGGTTAGAATATTTGCTTTCCAAAATATTGACATTTGGCAGTATACTCTAATATACCAAAAAGCATAGACATCAGCAAACATTGAATCAAGTCTCTTTCTAGCATTTCAGAGGTCAAAAAGACAATGGATCAGTCTTGGAACTATGGTATTTTTTTGTGATGTGATGGATCAGATACCAATCTGGTGGTTGGAGGATGGTCTGATGCTGAAGATTTCAGACATTCACAAACACCAAAATGAGGTTCCCTCTACCATTTTAAAGGTCACAGAAGATGATGAGCCAAGTTTTGAAACACCAGGAATTTTTTGTGGTGTGGTGGGTCAGATACATCTGATGGTTAGGGGATGGTCTGATGCTGGAGATTTCATACATCCACAAACACTCAACCAAGGTTCTTCTCACCATTTTAAAAGTCACAGAAGATGGGGACTTCCTGTAAGACAAATGTCTGTTACTGTTCCTTCTAATGCAATCTGGTGCCCACAGAAATCAGCATTCATGCAAATGTCACCTAAAGTCACAACATGTCACACACCACAGCTTCAAAGTCAGCTTGGAGGGAGTGCAAGGTCAGTTAGCATCAGAGTATAGGGGTAACCATCATTGGTGCTGGAATTGTTTAGAGAATGCAGCCAATTTGCAATTTATATCTGCATGACTTTTGCACTTTTAACTGTCTCACTTGATTCTGCTTCAATTGCTGTCATTCTATCTCATAAAAAACATTTTGTCAAAGTGCCAACTTCTGCAGGGCTTTGACTGTGGTGGAAGAGATAGAAATCTACTAGACATATTTCTAAATTGTTTTCTGCCGCTACCTCCACTAGCATGTTCTGTAATAATGGTCCAGATCAAGATAGCTGATGTACTATGTCAAAGTTCCACAAACTCTCTGGTCAACTCTAAAATCCTGTCCCATTCCTGAATCCTGGCATCACGATCAGGAAGAGTCAGATCTGTACGGCTGTGAGCATGTTTGCTATGAGATTCTCTAGGCTCCACCATGATGGAGTTCAGGTTGGGCAGAGAATGAGCAAAAAATGCTGCTACAGTAACAGAACTGTGTGGTGGAGAGAATCCAACATGTAGTGTTGTGATGAGGGTGTTTCTAGCAGCAGATTCAAGAAGATGTTGTCCCAAGCCACAGTAGAACAGCAGACCCAGCTTCTGCAAACCATGACAGTAGGACAGGATGTGCGAGATCCCCCATAGAGTGGCCCTTGGAGCTTCTTCCCAAAATTGCCTTGTGCCCAAGAAGAGATGTTGAAGATACGGTAAACTAAGGGCCAAATTCAGCAAGGCATTGTCATCAATCCTACAAGTGCCCAAGTCCCCCAGCTCCAGAGCAGTCAAATAGACCAGGACATGCAAAGCAGCCAAGCCATCACTTGGAATCTGAAGAATGCTCTCATCCAAGACAAAAAATCTTCTTTCCATGGCATCTTCAATCTTAACCCTACCAGATCCTCCCAAGCTGGCAATGCATCCTCATCATCATCAGTTGGCCTGAGAGATATAAGAGCATCAAAGAAATGCAGGACAGCATCTGCTGAGCAGTATTCCTGGTGTACATTGATACTCAGTCCTTGCATGGTGATGGGGTGATTAGAGAACAGAGATATAATGGCTGGAAATCCTATGTCGGTGGATGTGGCCATTGGATGATCAAATGTTGGAGGACGCTCATCAGGTTCTACCTGGATGCTGAGAACCTTGGTGCGGATGTGATGATTTGGAATGTGAGAGGTCTGCTTCATGGATGATGATCCAGGGATGATGACAAGGGTTAGAACAGTGAGCTGGCATAAAGATGCTATGGAGGTCATCACGGTGGGTTCCACATAAGACAAGGTAAGATGCCGGATAGGGAGGCTATGGGAAAGGGAATTTAAAACAGTCCTGGTCTCAGATGAGTTGGCAATGTAGACCAGATTTTGCAGATGCGGCAATAAATTCTGGATGTTGGGAGGAAAGAGCATATGAGGCGGAAGTATCAGGGTAGTCAGTCCTGGATGCAGCAGCCTGTCCAGACATTGGATTAGGCAGTCTCTCCTGTGTTTCAGCTCCACATGGCTGAGAAATGGCAGAAGAGAATCCAAAGATCTGATTCGGCCATGCAAAGCCAACAGGCTCTGAAAAACATGCTTGTATGGGGATCTCAATGCTTTCTTCTCTGGACAGATGGCTTTGACTCTGCGTGCATATAAATGGAACCTTGCCAGATCTGAAGGCTTGAATGTCCTGAGAAACCTCTATTTCAAGCATCAGCTGCCAGCATGCTACAGGCTCAGCAACAGTATTGGGTGACCCACCAACTCAAATCCACCATTAGAATTTTGGTGATTGTAAATAAGATCCTCCGGGAGAAGATGAATGAGAGGTTCCACTGAAGATAGCTGTTTCCATAGAAGGTGAAGTACGGCCTCAGAGATGGTCGAGGATGTTGTGGCCAGTCCAGCAAAAGCACCAAGTCTACCAGAATTTTCTGTGGAAATGGTAGTATAGACCATCTGCAAGATCATAAAAATTATATCAGGCATCTTGAAGATACGATGCATCTCTGAAGGTAAAGATTATATCTAAGATGGACAAGCTTATGGTGGATGTGGCCAAAAATGCACATGTGATTTGCATCAGATCTTGTCCAGAATAAGTAAGTACTAATCAAAGTTTGATTTTCTGAACACAATAAATCAAGTATCAGAATGATGGAACTGTGGAATCCTCAAAGCACTTGGGCATGGAATATACCAAATCATTCATTTTTAAGGTCACAAAACATGGGGGACCAAAGAGCCTATGAGGCAACAAGCTGGATGCATTTCCAAGCAAGGTTTGAGACACCAGGAAATTTGTGTAAGGTGATGAGCTGGTCACAGGACAGTCTGACACCAGAGGTCATGTGCCAGAGAAAACACCCAAACAAGTTTTTCCCCACCATTTTCAAGATGACAATTGTGAGACATCAGGAAGTTTTGTGAGATGTTGAGCTTGGTTAATCTAGGTGTGAGGGGATAATCTGGAGCAAACATCCAAAAAAGCTTCTCCCATCATTTGCAAGGTCACTGAAGAGGATGGACCTAGTTTCAAAAGACCAGGGATTTCTTATGAGGTGGTGAGCTTGGTGCACCTGAAAGTTCAGAGATTGTCTGACACCAGAGGTCCCATACTGTAGCAAACATCCAAACAAGTGTCTTCCACAATTTAAAGGCCACAGAAAATGATGGTCCAAGTTTTGAGGCACTAGAAAGTTGTTCTGATGTGGTAAGCTTGGTGCATCTGAAGGTCAGAGGATAGTCGGACACCAGGGATCCTATACATCATCAACTACACAAACAAGTTTCTCCCTACCATTTTGAATGCTGCAGAAGATGATGGGCCAAATTTTGAGTTTTTTGTGAGGTGGTAAGCCTGGTTCACTAAAGGATCAGAGGGTGGTCTGACAACAAAGGTCCCACATTAGTCCCCCTCAGGAAAATTCATCTTAAGTGGTGAAAGAAACAGCAACAGACAGAAATTGGAAAGTGGATATAGAAACCATGACAGACATGGCATTAGAAATAAATTATTTGCAGTACATGAATGACAATCATACAAACTGAATTTTTGCCTCTACACATCACAACCATATTACTCCTACAGCAACTGGTGGCACAAGATAAACAAAATAGAGGACCAGAGATGGAGAGATGGTTGTATACTGCTGTCCCTGCAAGAGAGCAGATGATAAAGTTGAGAAGCAAGGATAGAGGGAAACTTATGTACCACCAAGAGTCATGCGATGGAAGATAATGCTTGAGAATCATTTCTATACAACCAGATAAAGTTTTAGTCGATGGTGACTTTTTATCATTTTGAATGTCACAGATGATAGACCAAGTGCTGAGACACTAGGAGATTTTTGTAAGGAGGTAAACTTAGTGCACCTGGTGATGAAGAGATAATTTTACACCAGAGATCCTATACATCAAAAATACCCAAGCAAGCCTCCCTCCACACCATCTCCAAGGCCACTAGAGATGATTGACCAAGTGTTGAGGCACTAGTAATTTTTTATCAAGTCATAAGCTTAGTGTATCCGGCAGTCAGAGGATGATCTGACACAAGAGATTATACACTGTAGGACACAGCCAAACAAGTTTCTCCCCAGCATTTTCAAGGTCACTGATGATGATGGACCAAGTTTTGAGGCACTAGATATTGTTTGTGAGTCAACAAGCTTGGTGTACCCAGAGGTTGGGAGGTGGTCTGACACCAGAGGTCCTACACTGTATAAAACATCTAAACAAGTTCTCCATTACCATTTTAAAGGCTACAAAAGATGATGGACCAAGTTTGGAAAGACTAAGAATTTTTTGTGAGGTGGTGAGCTTGGCACACCTGGGTGTCAGGGGATGGTCTGACACCAAAGATCTCAAACTGGAGCAAATAGCCAAGCAAGTGTCTTCCTGCTATTTTCAAGGTCACAGAAGATGATGGACCAAGTGTTGAGACATCAGGAATATTTTGTGAGGTGATGAGCTTGGTATACATGATGGTCAGGAGCTGGTCTGGTACCGGAGGTCCCATGCTGTAGCAAACTGCAAAACATGTTTCTGCCTACCATTTTAAAGGTCACAGAAGATGATGTACTAAGATTTGAGATCTCAGGAATTTTTCCCAAGGCATTGAGCTTGGTACACCTAGAGTTCAGGAGATGGCATGACATCAGATATTCTGAACATCAGCAGAGACAAAATGGAATTTCTTCCCAATATTTTCAAGGTCACTGAAGATGACAGATAAATTTTGAAAGGACAGGAATTTTTTATGCAGTGATAAGCTTGGTATACCTGGTGGTCAGGGGGTGATCTGACTCCAGAAGTCCTACACTGTAGCAAACATCCAAACAAGTTTTTCCCCACTATTTTCAAGGGTATGGAAGGTGATGGAACAATTTTTGAGACACCATGAAGTTTTTATGAGACAGTAAGCTTGGTAGATCTGGAGGTCAGGGGTGATCTGATGCTAGAGGTCCTACACTGTAGAAAACATCCACACAACTTTCTCCCCACTATTTTAAAGGCTCCAGAAGATGATGGACCAAGTTGTGAGAGACCAGGAATTTTTTGTGAGATCATAAGCTAAATGTCAGAGGATGATCTGACACCAGAGATCCATCGAGTTTCCTTCTGCTATTTTAAAGGTTAGTGAAGATGATGGACCAAGTTTTGAGTCTCTAGGAATTTTTTGTGATGTGGTAAGCTTGGTACATCTGTTGATGAAGGGATGCTCTTCCACCAGGGATCTGTAAGACCATGCTCAAAAGGGTGGATTATGAGGGCTTGGCTTCAGCTCATGCTCTGCATCCCTTACCTGAGTACATGTCCTTAATTTCCAAAGGCTAGAAACAAAGTCAGGTCGAATATGCTAAATCCCAGTGGGCTTCATAGGAAAAGTGTAGGGAAAAACAGAGGGTTGGTCTGGTGAAAAATAGGGGATGCATCAACACACATCCAAAAAAGCTTCTCCCCATTATTTTAAATGTTTCTCAAGATGATAGACCAAGTTTAGAAGGACCAGGAATTTTTTGTGAGGTGGTAAGCTTGGTACACCTGGAGATCAGGGGGTGGTCTGGCACTGGAGGTCCCATGCTGTAGCAAATAGCAAAACATGTTTCTCCCTATCATTTTAAAGTTTGCTGAAGATAATGGACCAAGTATTGAAAGACCAGGAATTTTTTGTAAGGTGGTGAGCTTGGTTCACCTGAGGGTCAGGGGTGGTCTGACACCAGAGGTCCTATGCTGTAGCAAATAGCAAAACAAGTTTCTTCCCACCATGTTAAAGGGCATGGAAGATAATGGACCAAGTTTTGAGACACCAGGAATTTTTTATGAGATGGTAAGCTTGTGTCACCTGGGGTCGGAGGTGGTCTGACACCAGAGGTCACAAACATCAGTAAATAACCAAACAACTTTCTCCACACCATTTTGAAGGCCACAGAAGATGATGGATAAAGTTTTGAAAGATCAGGAATTTTTTGTGAGACAGTGGGCTTGATGCATCTGGAGGTCAGGGGGTGGTCTGGCCCTGGAGGTCCTACACTGAAGATAACATGAAAGCAAGTTTCTCTCCACTATTTTAAAGGCCAGTAAAAATGATGGACCAAGTTTCAAAAGGATAGGAATTTTTTGTGAGGTGGTGGGCTTGATGCATCTGAAGGTTTGGAGTAGTCGGACACCAGAGGTCACAAACATCAGCAAACACCCAAACAAGTTTCTCCCCACCCTTTTAAAGGCCACAGAAGATGATGGACCAAGTCTTGAGACACCAGGAATTTTTTATGAGGTGGTGGGCTTGGTGCACCTGGTGGTCAGGGGTGGTTGGACACCAGAGGTCATAAACATCAGCAAATACTCAAACAACTCTCTCCCCACCATTTTAAAGGTCACAGAAGATGATAGGATTAGTTTTGGATTGCCAATAATTTTTTGTGATGCTGTATGTCTTCTCCTCCCCCTACATCCACCCATGTTGGTCAAAGATATTGCAAAATTGGTTCAAGATCATGTAGTTACATGACTATGATACATATAGAGCCATCCTAATAAGATTCTAGCCTGTCCCAATAGGGTTATGGGATCCTAATATAGATATTTGGTAGCAAGACATGGTCGGCAGTAAAATGATCATAACTCATGTTCACAACCACCAATTTCCTTAAAAGTTGGTGCAATAGCATCCCAGTGATGTGATCCATGATCTGAGATAGTCAGAATGGCCAATAAATGTACAATGTTATATATAATATATAGCCATAGGGTGTATAGAGCTTTGTCATTCTATCTTTATGTTTGTCTCATTACTGTATTCTCCAGAAAAGGGCCAGCACTAGGACTGCCACACACGACCAGCAACAAAGTGAAGCTATGTTGGCGGAACAAAAGGCAATGGTCACCCCTGAGCCTGTGAGTTCCAGGAGCATGGCGATGCAGGCTGATGTCAATGCTGTAAGCTCCCAAAATGCCTTGAGTCTTCCTCCACCTTATTCAGTAAAGAACACTCCCATCGCCGCAATTCCACTCATGCCACCTCCTCGTCCAACTCAATCGCCTCCGTCATTTGCTGAAGAAATGGAAGTTGACACGTCCAGTGACACGGTTGCGAAGGATTTGCAGGCCATGACACTAGAGGTGAAACTTGATTCATTGTCGCCCCTCACAGTGGTTCAGGATACCATCAATGACCTTCAGGCTCAGGTGGCCAACATCTGAACTCGGAACACCAAGATGGCCGAGTTGGTTCAAATCATGAATGGTGACCTGCACCAAACTGGTTCAGTGCATGGACAACTAATACCCTCCCATGAGTCTTATACCCAGAATACCACTATGAAACCCTTTTCCTTTTATCTAAAGTTGGACTGAGGCTAAGGGAATATTTTTTGCCTTTCTGTTTATTTTTCAAGTTTGTATGTGAGCAGCCTGAATATTTTAGTACATTTAATTCTGCAATGAGTTTTGCTTAGTCAGCCATGGTGATGACCCAGACAAAATTCCATGCATGTTAGGTGACTATGAAAAATATTTTCCACATATGTTGTCCTGGAAAAACATTAGTAAAACCCTAAATACTAGGCTCGCGTCATTTTCACCCATCAAACAAAACAAAGAAAAGACAGACACACAAAGGATCCACATCATGTAACATTTCTTACTCTCTTTCTGGATTTGTCATCAGGAGCTGGATAGGTCACATGACTTAGCACAATACCCCTATGACTCACTATGACTCATTTTGACTCTTGATGACTCTTGAATATACTAGTAGCACAGCCACATTTAGTGTGTGTACAGTGTATGTCACCAAGGGACGGCAACTCTCCCCAGGCCACAATTTTGATCCATATGTACTTAGATTCAAATTTTGATAGGAAACCTGGACAAAAGGAGCGTAAATCTAAATTTCCGAAATTTCACCTGATTACGTAATTGTTCACTTTTGCTGTCAAATGCCTCCCCCTACCAAAAGACAGAAGCAAGCGAAGCAGCAGTATACTTCGTCATCGAGGTGCTTTGACAATGGGCTGATAGAAGATGTTTTGGAAGTCTTTCTGGACCCAGACTATGTGCCTGTCTCAGATGCCGAAAGTGAAGCCGACTCCGAGTCCAACTTTAATGGAGCATTGTCATTCAGTCTCATAGACGGCAATATAGGAGAGGCATCAGATAACGAGAGCGAGTCAGATGATGAAGCAGCTATGGAGATTGTGGTCCATGCCACGGGAGAGAAGCGGAAGAGTAGAGACGACTTACTTGAGACACTGACTGAGTTCGAGGCTGAAGAGACAGTGGATTATGCAGAGGGGTGTGCACGGAGGGCAGCAGTATCTGCTCAGAAATTCTGGGCAGACATTATGAGTTCAGTGAGTAATATCAATCAGTGCACTGACATACATCGAAACTTTGATCAGGATGTTTTTTCAGGGGACACGAAGCTAGTGAAACTGCCCAAACGCTCTATGCCAACATACAGTGGCACAGCACGAACATCTACCTATCTTCGAAAGAGAAAAATGAGAGAGGGTGCAAAAAACAATACGACAATCACCTCTTTCTGGGCCCCGAAGCCTCCAGTAAGAGATACTGCAAACGACCCTCAAAATGAGTCCGGATCACCCTCCGAACCATCACCAACCAGTACATCGGACATCGACATCACCTCCGAGTCTATCGACAAGGTTCCTACCTTCGAAATTCAACAAGAAGCTGCGCATCCTTTCTTGGACATGACAGCAGACGACGACGACAATCATGACTTCACAGAGCCAACTCCTGTTATCGATACTGTCAAGAAACTGATCATCGAAGCGAAGAAATTTAAATCATTCACCTCATCAGTGCATCTGCATACTCTCAAACAGTTCATCGAGTTGTGGGACAAATATAAACGGAATCCACGCATTAAAGCACCCATGATGAAAGCGAGTCGTGCTGTTGCAGTCTCCATTGGCAAGGGTCCATACATGGCACGAAAGATACGCACACTGTACAAATATGTTGCTCGTTTTCATACACTACCTCCAGTGAGTGCTGGCAAGCACCACGGACACCCATCACTGCTCAATAATGAGCGCATCACACAAGCTGTGCGTCGCTACTTGACTGTCCTTTCTGATGGTGAGGTGAGTCAACCAATTAATGGATACTGTCAATGGTTAGTTTTTCTGATATGGACTATAGATAACACCACTGCTCTTAATGAAACAAGTAAACACGGTGATAATCCCATCACTTGGTCTCAACCTCAATGGTCAACAGATATCTGAGGGTTCGGCACGACGTTGGCTCGCAAAACTCGGATATGAGCTGAAAGAGGTCAAGAAGGGTGTCTACGTTGACGGTCATGAGCGTGAGGATGTTGTTGCTTACCGAAAACAATTTTTAGAACAGTTTGCTGTGAATGAAAGGTATAAAGCCTGTTATTCAAATGTCAGCATCTTCACTGATATGAGCAAAGGTTTCGTCGTACCTACCGGGATGAGGACCTTGAACCAGTGGAACCAACTCTCGGGCCTGGAGAGAAACTACATGTACCTGTTATGCACGACGAGTCAATTTTCCGTGCTAACGAACTTCGGCGACGGGTATATGTTACCAAGGGGAAGATGCCACTTCGAAAGAAGGGCCAAGGGCGTGCAATCCATGTCTCCGATTTTATTGTCGAGCAGACAGGAAGACTGACACTATCTGAGGAACAGCTGCATCAAAACGCCACACTGCCTGATGGTCAACAGCTGAGTTGCACAGATTCTCGCGAGATTATTTACCCTGGAAAAAATCACGATGGGTTCTGGACAAATGAGAATCTGATGAAACAAGTGCGTCGTGAATTATCCTGGACAAAATTTGAGAATATACTTAGTATACATCAAGATACAAAATACGATCTTGATTTTCGAGCGAATCTATCCGAACGCAGTCGCCGAGTTCATTTTCGATCAATCATCCGCGCATGGAGCATTCGCAAAGGACGCACTGAATGCAAAGGAAATGAATGTCAAGCCAGGCGGCAAACAGAGGACCATACACGACACTTACATTCCGATGGACAATCCACATCCAGAACTTCGTGGAAAGCTCCAAAAAATGAATTTTCCATGCGAGCTCCCTCGCGATCACCCGGATTACGAATTTCGTGGACAGCCGAAGGGAATGCAGCGTGTACTTGAGGAGCGCGGACTAATTTCAGTCCTGAAAGCAGCAAACAAAGGGAAAGCTGTTGGAGAGTGTCAGACATGCAAATTGTCACGAGAAGCACAGGAAACACTTCGTCGTGAGGCACTGGCAGCAGCGCAGGGTGGAGACGAGCCTGACGAGTTGCATGCGCACATAGTGCGCGAATCTCTGGGTGTCAACTGTTGCATGCGGAAAATGCTCGCAAATCAGCAAGATTTCAAAGCCGAAAAACCATACATACAACTCATCATCGAAGCAGCAGGACACAAATGTTGGTTTCTTCCAAAGTTTCACTGCGAGCTGAATCCCATTGAAATGTACTGGGGATGGGTAAAAACTCGTGTGTGGCCACATTGTCAGCGCTGACTCATTGTGATGTGACCAAATTCTCGCAGGTTTCCGCAGTGCGGCTGATGGAACATTCCTCACCGCGAAGCGCATTGTACCAGAGCTTCTTGATGCATGCCCGATCAAGACAATACGTGCCTTTTATCGAAAATCTTGGAGATATATGGATGCTTACAGGTGTGTAACTCAACCAGCTTCATGGTTCCTTCTCACAATATCCCAGGAAAGGTCTTAATGCACGTCAAGCTGAATTTGCCGTGAAGAAATACAAATCACATCGTCGGTGCGGTCCTACATTGATGATGAACTTGGGTGTTCTCGTCGAGTAATCGCGGAGTCAGCCGTCAGATGCCGCATACCCAAATAGGAAACTCCGACACTCTCCGCTCGAAATTCACTTTTGGCTAGCGAAAAATTTGAAACTTAAGTTTTTTGAAAAAGTATTCTGATAGATTTACTATACTACTCTAACATAGCCCATTTGTAAGGTTTTCAAGACGAAAGAGGTATTTCCGAAGGTGTAGATAGAATTACAAGTTTTGATGTCGGTAGTTGCCGCTTTTGAGTGACATACACTGTATAATGACCCCAGTTTTTGAAATAATAGCAGCACTTTTAGTGGGTGTTTTTCAGCCTATCTAACACTAAGTTGTGAGTAAGGTGTGATAAGTGTCAGTACCAGTGTCAATAACTGTTTCAAGACTGAGAGGAACATTCTCAAGAGACAGTAATACTGCAAGCTCATCATACTAAATGACCAGCTGTGAGCTCACTGTGTGCAACAACCAGCAAGCAAGGTACAGCCACAGTTATATTCTATTTGCTATTTTCTTTTTCTTTTGCTTTCACCAACCTTTGGTGTTCTTTGTCCAAAAATATATTTCCAAAATATTTGTGTTGTCTCTACATCCACCTAAGACTCAGAGCAGCTTAGTGGGGAGAATTTAGGAATTGATAATGAAGCTTGACCTCACTCATCTGAGTAGTGATACTGAGCCAAGATATTCTGTGCCTGCTAGGCTTTAGCTATTGAAGAGAGGACTTGGTGGTAAATCCAAGGACGTCCGTTCCTGAGTCTGTTTGAATACTCAAAAGAGAGTTCCTTGACAGCAGGTTCAATATTGAGCTAAGAGTTCTACAATAAAGCATTTGACTAGTCTTGACCTTTGATTCTACCTGTTTTAAGCTGAGGGGGTTGATCATTGTAATTCTGCACCATTCTGTTTGGAGTATAGTTGTTACAAGGCACTGTTGTTGAAGGGGAACTTGAGGAAGAATCCCATATATTCTTTTGGTCATTGGCATACTGTCGGGCTGACCATTCTGTCAAGTCCCTAGATTGGATTGATCATTGTATTTACTGATCTTGCAGAAGTACCTTTAGCTGAGCATACCTTGGGTAGTATACAACTAGCCACCCATGAACGACCACGTTATCAGTCATTGGTGTTTGTCTGAATCACTGACCATGGAGATATTTGTTTTTATAGGTGTTTATCTATAGATCATCTATCTAAGAAGACAAAAGGCGCCGTGCTGCTCAGGATACTGACATCCGAGCTATGGAGAAAATGTGTGCCGAGATTGCTGTATTGCAAGAGGAGGTGAAGGCCTTGCATGCCAAATCTCAGACATGTGAGGCTCAGATACAGTGCGCTGATGTAATGTTGACTGCACAAGGACATCGTACCGCCATCCTGATGGATGCCTATGAGTCCATCCAGCAATGTGTTGTCTCCAACCCACCCGTATCTCATTTTAATAATGCTGTGTTTCCCCCCCCCCTCCCCCACTGGTCATCCAGTCCCATACAGTCAAGGCATGAGCACTGGGCAGGCACAGGCAATGGAACAGCTTTATTTCAATTTCACCCCAGGTCCGTCTACAATCGCAGGTACTTCCCTTCCAAGTATCACCGCCGCACGCACCAGACCTTCAGGTTCCTAGATCAACTGTCCCTTTAGTGAATCAGCATCTGGGAAGGGTCCTGCCGCTTAAATAATTTCTATTGGTCAATATTCTTACAGTCGCCATGTAGTGGTAGATAATTTGGAACTGCACAATCATATTCTTGTTAAACTTTCACTATTGATCACCCTCAGAGACGCACCATTGTGAGGCACCGCCACAATGGCAGTGATTACCTTACCTTCTGGCGACCAACCCCGAAGTTGTGGTCCATCGTCTTTATCTAGGACATACACTATACTGCCATGTCTGCATTATTACATTTGTGTTATCCATTCATTGGCAAGGCTCGGGCACGTGGCTTTCTTAACCGGGGGCCTAACATCCTTTTATGTCATTATCTTACGTCCCATCATTGATTCCCGATAAGTGGTAATTATAAAGGTGTTGACCAGTCAGAGTAACCTTTTCTGTTGGTTGACCGAGAAGATCTTCAACAAATTTTTGACACTTCTTGATGGCATAGAGTGAAGGCACATTTCGCACACCAAGTTCCTTGGCCCAGTTGAGTGTTGCCTTCTTCTGGGCATCAGAAAAGGGAAGACGTGGGGAGCTGAACAGAAGGGCAGTCACAAAATCCTCAAGAGGGCTGTGAGCATTCATCATGTGACTGATGTGACAACTGCTCACTGCTTTTGATGGCCAAGGATATGTTGGACAGTTGGTATCAAGAATAGCCCTTGTTTCTGGAAGGTCGATATCTGTACATGTAAATGCCTTTAGACATGAAAACAGTTTGGAGAAAATGATATGTGTACCCAGAATTTCTAACCCAAAATCAGGTGCACCATAATAAACTAACTTGTCGTCCTTAGTGATGGGGACAAGTGGTGTTGAGAAAGGAACTTGTCCAGAGGCGAGAGTTTCTTGAAGTTCAGCAAAAAAGTCAGTAACACCTTTGCTAAACTCAACTGTCTGACTTCTGGCGATATCATCCAAAAACTCAGGCAATGGGATCTCCAAATCCATCGTATCAGGTGTGTCATGAATGCCTAACTCCATAGAAAAGTCGTCGGCATCCATAAAAATATGCCTAGACAATCCAAACTCCCTGATAGAACAATTGCGTTCTTTGAGACTCTTCTTAACCAGCTGGGCCTTGAAAACAGGATTCAAAGATGCCATCTGGCCATTCCTGGTATTTTCAACATAATGCTCGTGCCTTGCTGTCTCTATATGTTTCTTGGTGAAGCAGAGCTCTATGGTATGATAGGCACCAAATAATGTCCTAGGGCATAATGTGCAGAGGATGCATTTTTGTGTGTGGTCACAGAATTGTAGAACTGTATCAGTTATTAACAAGTTCAGTAGATAATAACAAGCAATAGAATGTCAAACTTACTTCTACCGTCAACAAGATCATCGCAGTGCACCATGATGGAATTGAGTCTTTGAGTTGACCAGTGATGACCAATGGAGTGTAAAGTCACATGGCGCATGATGGTGAATTCTTGCCAAGTCTGAAATCTCATGTCCTCAATAACAGTTCTTTAAGCTTCAAACAAACTTGATATGTCTAGCATACTCATGCACCACTCTATAGTCTATCCTGATGTTGAATCCCAGGATGCGGACGATGCTACACTCCAACCAATGCTTCTTGTGATTCGATTCTCCAGTAAACTTCCAAGGCATCTCATAGAGCAGACCATAGTCAGTATGAGTTCCAGTGGCAACTGACAGGAATTACTTACATCATTTGGCTGCAGCCTATTGAAATATCAGTTTCAATCACCAAAGAGTTTGGATGCTTTGCCATGCCTATCGTACAAACTATGTCCTTGGACCGTTGGCGCTCCCTTCCTGGAAGTCCTGTAAATGATGTGAGAGTGTTTGTTCTCCTCTCTGTATACAACTTACATTCTGTCAAGGACTTTTAATTATTGTCTGATGACTCTATCTCTCCCGTCAACGACATTCCCATTGCATTCCTCCCTCTTTCATCGCACTTCAACTATAATAAGCGGACTGATTGGGAGATGCTATCCAAACAGATCGAAAAAATGGCTAATCAAAGTCGATACGGAATTGCCGCAGTGGACATGGGGATGTGATATATTTTGGTTGACATCCATAGCTGCTTTCCCCTCCTTCCCAAGAGGTACCTGGCACATGTGGGATTCCCGCATTCCATTGGAAGGCGCATTTATCGAGCAGTGGCTAGAGACCTCAAGTAATAATGTCAATGTCAACGACAACAACATCTTTTTGATAAGGGGAAGTGATGAGAGAGATGCTGAGGACTTGAGTGAGATCTGGGATGCACTTTGCAGGGATGCAGCCCTCTTCTATCCTTATACCCTCATTGCTGATGACTGATTTCATCACAATGGAGTAGTGATCAATGTTGGTTCGGGCGGGATATTTATGCGCATGTAGTACTACATACCTTACTTCACAATTGTACTCCGTCATTATGTTCAATACCAATTCTCATTTCTTTCATCAAATGGCTACCAGGATGTCGAGGACTTGAACAGCCAACTGCATCAGAAATACCATTGTGGTTGAAGACATTGTGATGCTGTTGCAGGGGTTTTGGGTATTATTGTATGTGGTGTGGATGGAGCTCAAGCAGGTGGCATTCAGATATCTGTAGGATATCTGGCAGATGTTTCAGCAATATCTCACACCCAAACCTGACCACATAACTTAACTTAACTTATGCCGATCCCCCTCATACATCCGCCATGCAACATTTGTACAGGATATTATTTATGTATACACAGCCTCTTACTATCTCTGTAGGAGATTGGGACAAATTCCCTGACACATCCTGGATTTGTACCCTTTATTTGATAAATTTTTAATTTGTCACATAAAGCTCTATAAGACACACGATACAGCTGGTTCCCATGAACACGGTGTAGAGACTGATATCTCTGTGGCCTTGCAGAGGCTATATATGTGACCTGTCTCAAAGTACAGTTTGATGCACAACTTGTGCCAATACCTTTCCAATCATTCCTTATATGAAGCGCCAAGCATGTGCTACCTTCCCGCACATCAGCTGCCCCAAGCGCTGCATTCTTATGCGCGCATAAGGTGCACTTTCCCACACTTGAAGCGCCCTACGTCGCACATCTATCCATTGTCCAATCTAATCTCACTGGTATGTTTTCATGTCATTTTCTTCATATCAGACCATATTATATTTTAATGACTGCACAATTCTCATGTCATGGACCCTTATTACATATCTTACCTAATCGCTTCACAAGTGCTTCAGCTCCACTTCAGGGGCACATTTTTAGACATATATAGGCGCCTGTATTTTATGTTTAAGATTATCAAATAATTGAATCATAGAGAAGCTCCTGTTACAATAACATGTAACTGCACCTCACTATCAGTGTACAGCTCATCCGTCGCATGTCATAGTCAGTAGCTATTGGCAATAGAACATCCTTAATGTCTATAATGAACCTCTCCCTATAAACCCACCTCGCACTTCACACGCGCTTCGTGCCGCTCAAGCAGCTCCATAGCGCACTCCACGATACTCAAGCGCTCTGTACCTGCGCTCGCGCCTCACGCGCCTTCCTGCACTTCACATCGGCCGACGAGCGGTACCCTTTGCACCAATCTCTAGATCCCTGCTGCACTTGCTTTCCCTTTAAGGTTGAATGCACTTGTTACTACAAGAATTGTTGTACCTACAACGGCATAGTTTTCTCACTTTCTCGGTTCTCGGGTTCAGTTACACCCAAAGCGGCAGTTGGTAGTGTAGCACACAGAGCCCCCACTACCCTACGACCAGTAGGGTGTGCATCAGAGCATTTTTCCTTGGACAATACTCAGGTATTGCTATTGCTATAAGCATTTATGTAAGGCTTGATGGAGTCAGTTGTTGCATAATAGACTCCCTTTTCCAAAAAAAAAAAAAGACTGGTAAAGATGGACAGCGTACTTCTGGGAGCATGAAGAGTGCCTCGCCTGCTGCTCCCTCAGCATCTGCTCTCAAGCACTCTGCTGCTGTGAGTGTGAAACATACTGCAACTGTGACAGTGCCTGCTTCCGCTACCACTGGGATCCCTGCACACTGTGGGAGGCCAGGACTCCCACATCCCATTGACTATCAAGTGTGATGGAAGATTCTGCACACAGTGAAAGGCTTGGATTCCCACATCTCATTGGTCATGGAGTGGAGGGTAACATGCCTGCAGACAGTGGGAGGCCAGGACTCCCACATTCCGTCCATCAGGTGTGTGGATATCATCCCTGGGTGACATCCACCTCCACAATACAAAATACATGACATCCAGTAACAACAGAATAACAACAGAATGACAACAGAACAACACAATAGCAACAGAATCAACAGAAGAACAGAGTGACAAGGCCTGCACATGGTGGGAGTCCTGGACTCCCACATCCACTCTGATATGGAAATGATATATAAAACCATACCATCAAGGCCTGTACACAGCGGGAGGCAAGGACTCCCACATCCACACTTCAATGTATAATCAACAACTCAGTTGCTGATATGGAACTGATATATAAACCATACCATCAAGGCCTGTACACGGCGGGAGGCAAGGACTCCCACATGACATATGCATGAATATATAAGCAATAGAACCATAGTGATTATGCCTGTGCACAGCGGGAGTCGTGGACTCCCACATCCATTATGCATATAACATCCATTATGCATATAACATCCATTATGCATATAACATCCATTATGCATATAACATCCATTATGCATATAACATCCATTATGCATATAACATCCATTATGGTCTGTACACAGCAGGAGTCCAGGACTCCCGTCCACATCTCATTAATCTCATTAATAATCACTATCATCAGTGGGTGTATCTAGTAGGTCAGCAACAATACATCCATAAGTTGCTTGTATCTAAGGATCAGCGAGTCAAAAATTGTTACCTGTCGGAATGTCTATGAAGTGGACGTATAGAACTACTATGTGTGAGCTCAGTGTCACTCAGAGTGACAGTTGGGAGTGGAACATCCCTGTGTACAGCGGGAGTCATGGACTCCCACATCCACAATAGATTAATGCTGTGACCTCTAATAGCAGAGTGACTAGGCCTGTGCACAGTGGGAGTCCAGGACTCCCACTCTTAGGCCATAGGATTTTCAAGAAAAAAACATGGATAAGTTCCTAGATGCATCCTACAAGCTCTCATACCCCCATGATCACACCATCTTTCTTGATGATGTTCAGTGTTGCCACTTTTGTTAAAGTGGTACCCTGTGGACTTTGGCTGACATGCCATCACCTTTGGGCAGCCCGGCATGGGTTTTGCTGAGGGCGCGCACAAATTGTGTGTCAGCCCTAGGTTGATGAGAGAGGGCGACCACTTTGACCTTGACTTAAGGACAGTTCCCATGGTCGGGTCAAGGTGAGGACGACTCATCCTCCAAGGATCATAATACATTAGGCCATAACCGCATATGAGGAGAAGAGAGACTGATGGAAACAGGCCAAAATATGAAGGTTTCAAATGAAGCCATGGGTGTGAATCAAGTGTAGATGTCCATCAGAGATCATAGCAGACCATAGCGGACCACAGACACATGATTCGAGCTGAAACGAGAGTGTCCAGTGCAGAAACGCAAAAAGGGTGGCGAGGCGCGGGAAGGGCATGCTACGAGAAAAAAAAGATGGGGCTGTGATTGCCAGAGGGAGGCGAACCCATGGCAGATGATAGCGAGGGCATGGCACCCCCCATGGGAGATGATAGCAGACAATAGCAGACCATGCAGGGCATAGCAGGCCATAACTGCGCGTGAGGGAAAAGAGACCCGAAAGGGAGAATGGCCAAAACACGGAGGTTTGGAACAAAGGCATGAGCGTGAATCGAGCACAGACATCCATCGGAGATCACGTCGGGCCCATATAGTGGACTGGGGCGAAGGCAAGAAATGCAGAAGTCCAGAAGAATGGGGGTAGCACGACATGCAAAATATGTGCTATGGAGAAAAAGAAGATGTGGCTGGGACCTCCTAAGGGAGGTGGACCCATGTCAAATGATAGCAGACCCATAGCAGGCCATAGCAGACCATAGCAAGCCATGACCGCATATGAGGGGAAGAGAGACTGATGGAAACAGGCCAAAATATGAAGGTTTCAAATGAAGCCATGGGTGTGAATCAAGTGTAGATGTTTATTGGAGATCATAGCAGACCCATGCAGGCCACAGCGGACCACTGACACATGATTTGAGCCGAAACGAGAGCTTCGGATGTGGAAACGCAAAAAGGGGCGGCGAGGCGCGGGAAACACTTGCTAGGAGAAAAAAAAGACGTGGCCGTGATCGCCAGAGGGATGCGGACCCATGGCAGACCATAGCGAGAGGATGGCAGGGGAGAAGTGCGGGATGCCCCCCTGCTGGGAGGGGCAATATTTTACGCTTACATAATCTGACTTGGACTATGCGGCTTAGCTGTAGTCTGACACACCCGGTCCGACATGCAGCCCCATCTGCATCATGATTGCGTTCGTCTGAGTTCACCAGGTGCTCATGATATTTTGAAGGTATTGCTCCAAAAATACCGTCATCCATGCAGGCAACAAACACAGCGCACGCTACCCGGTACAAGTTTAAAGGCCCTCTTCCTTAGGGATTCGCGTGCTGTGATCCAGTTGCTCAATAACGTTCACAGAACTACGAATTGTGGTGGCTACGTTATGGGTATTATTCTCTGTGCTGCAGACTTCGTGACCAACATAAACATCGCTTACAAAGCTCGCTCCAGGGAGCCAAAGAGGAAGTTTTTCCACTGTGAGCATATTAGAATAGAACTACAGCTGATCGAAGTTATACGCACATATGGGGAACTGTGTTGCAACAGCTGCCACCTCGGGCCTGAAGAATTTTATATCTATCTCAAGTGAGCGTTCAACGAGCGCGAGGAAGGGATCATCAGCGGGCGCTATAGCATAATCATACATGATTGACATGATGGTAGACGTGCTGAAGCTGCGTAGAAAGTATTGTTCAGCTACGCAATACATGAAAGGAGAGATCGCTAACGTGTGTAAATGGGTTCCATACACCTCCGGAGAGGCTATTAGGTTTAGTATCAAATTGTGAGCATTGCGCATTTGAATCGGACGGAAGGATGATACTGCTTTTAAATGGAATGCTTCACGGAAGATTCGCCTGTCTGTAAAGACACGATAAGTGCGATAAGAGAGCTCGCAGGGATAATATACTAACGAAGTCTCCACTTGTCTGAGTAGGGTAGAAAGGTAGTGGAGTAGTCATGACCAAAACTAGGACTCGTTTAACAACGGGTACATCAAAAGATAGAAGGGCCTCACAAGTCAAGAATATGCACAAGCCCTGGAGGTCTCGTGGAGTAGTTGTGTGAACGACGGTCGAGCAAGTCATGCGCAACTCTTTCGGAGTTGATGATCGCGATATCCTGACTAAAGAGTCGGGTGTAAACGATTTCCCCTGTGTCGCAATTCAGCACATCCAGATAGTGCTTACTTATATATCGAATCAGTGTGCAGTCTAAACGCATCGGTAGCTTTGCCGCTATTAGCTTTGAGAGCCTCAAATCCGGAGCATGTCAGATATTCTGGGCAGGAAAATGGTGTGTAGTGCCCAAGAAGTGTCTGATAACGTCCTGTAAGCGCAGTAAAAACTCAAAGATCCCCAGCTTACCAATGGGTAGAAGTATGCGCCATCCTTGAAGGAATACGTTGATGGTAAAGGGTTTCGGGCATCTCTTATGAACTCATACATAGACCCTTCGACCGAGACCATGCGGCGCTGGTTGAGGGGCACTCCCAGTGCGTTCCAGCAGAATATCGCGCTCTTGAGCAAGGCAATGACGATGGGGTTCAAGAGGGCGGGTCTTAGCTTTTCGCGCCAGATCTGCTCTTGCTGAGCCATACTGCCCGCATTGCACAAAGCTTCAACATCTTTCGATACTCCGGCGATTGAAAAGACGATTCTGGCGAGCCATAGTGCCCAGCCGCTGTATCCTTTCAAATAGAAGGCTTTGGAGAAAGCATCATCGTTGATGTGCCAAAATTGATAGGCGATGGAAGAGAGAAGGGGAGCGATCTTGGAGTCAAGAAGCGCATGGAATTTGGGATGATGTCCATTACCGAACATGGAAAAGAAGTCTTCGTACTCGAGGGTTTGTACGGCTGCCAGTTTCAACTCTAATAAATGACCTTGACTATATGGCGAAAAGTCAGTCGAGCCGCACAATGGAAGGTAGTTGGTCATACCAATGATTCATATCCACACAATGAATCTTCGAGATAGATATTAGCGCACAAAGGATGATGCTTCATCGATCCACGTACTCTCTTGGCGTGTGCTGCTATAGCGTAATGCAAAGCATTGCCACCTGCTGATGTGATCACCAGCATCGAGTCCTCGGGACCAAGATCGAGATACTTCATATCCACCTCCGAATCCTCCTAACATAGTGTTGTCTGGCGGAATTTGCAACGTCTCGCGCAGATAAGGTCCCGCATCCTCGAAGAGAAGGTGCCTAGACCTCTCATCGGCGGTAGGAGTCACGGAGAATGTCGATATCGACCCATGAGAACTAGACGGCAATGTCAATGACGGGTCCGGATGAGATAAGTGATTGGTGAGGTCTCGAGGGTAGTGTTGATGCTGCTGTGGATGCTGTCGTGGATGCTGTTAGATGAGTGGCGGAAGAGTGATGGATTATATTGCTGATACTGAGAATGAGACGAGTATGATTGGTCTTGATCAGGAGATGATGAGTTGCTCCAGTTGCTGTTGACGCTAAGATGAGATTCCGCGGGACTGAGGTACTGCAGTGGGAGGAATAAGGAATTGAGTCGATGGCTTGTAAATGAGATACGGTTACTCACAGATGGGATGCTGTGAGCTCTAGTGTGTGTGTGTTCACCGGCATGTGGGGCGTGTGTTGGATATCCTTGCGGTAAAGACTGGCCAGCCCGAGGAGGGACATGGGGGCTATCATCAAAATAGTTCGGAGTCAGAACTTGACCTCTGCTTCAAGAGCCATGGCTAAGATGGGTGGCTCCGACCTGGTTGCAGGCGCGGGCAGCGCCAGAGTCGGACTCCCCGTCCGAGAAATTATGTGAGCGCGGGATCGTGATTAAATTGCTGAGTGTGAGACCACCGAGAGGAGGTAGACCGCTGGCCATCCCCAGGTGTTGAAATGCGATCCACCAGGCATGGAACTTTGTAGTAGAGGACATTGTGAAAGAAAAACAGCACGGGCCCACCAGACCAAACAATTTGACAACAAGGGAATGGATGTTGGAGTAGAAGATGCGACGCAAAGGGTCCCGTGATCAAAGATAAGGGATAAAACGGTCCCCTTGCCATGACACATCGGGGTTTGCAATAGCTAAACTCAGAGTCATCAGCCACCCTTCTCGCACCCATTGTGACAACTTGATCTGCTATATCACGCAATCACCTGGGATGGCTGCGATAACCTATCCCTTCGCTGTTCGTTCTTTGGCAGACATGTTCCCAGACCTTCTCCACATCTCCGCCTTAGCTTCTCATAGAATCGACGAAAGCAAGGATATTGGGGATCCCTTTGATATAAATGCAGCCTACGATGCGGAGAAGACTGTGCAGGAGTTGGAGCCTCTCAGCCGTAAGTCAAAGTAGTTTCAGCTCGCGCCCGAGTCGTTTCAGTGTGCGATCAAAGTTTTACATATCAATTCAATTCAGGTATAATTCCGTCAGTGTCTCATGTGCATATCGAAGCTGCAAAAAATAGAGCTCATGTATTGCGTGCCATCCGTGAGTGAGATCCTGGCCAGACTGATTCACAATTCACTAACCCTCAGAATGTAGACGCGACAGCAACAGTTGGAGCTGTCGATGTTTTGGCAAGGTTGGACGAGATACAAAGAACACAAAACACGACTCAAGTGACCATAAATCAAAACTGTGCGATGTTACAAGAGACTCGTGCGATGATGCAAGAGACTCGTGCGATGGCGCAAGAGACTCGAGCTATGGTCATGAATATCAGACTTGCAAGCCAGAATGCTAAGGTGCCGCAGGAAAGAAATTATTACAAACCTCTTCAAAAAACTGTGAGTCAGTTCGTTGTTATATCTGTCCCCATATCCTGAAGTGTCCCCTCGTTATTGCTGTAGAGGAGTGGACATGGCCGTGAACTAGCGTTGCAAGTATCGAGGCCGGAAAACACTAATCACCTTCCCCCGTCAGCTACCATCCAGCCCGCTGCATTAGGGACCGTCCCTCCCTTCTTTGATCGCAATACAGATACATATACATTAGGGTCAATCAACTCCTTGATTATCTTCTACAACGATGATTTCGACATAGAGAAGGAGGATAGTTTGGAGATTAGGAAGATAAAGTTTCGTCGCTGGCTGTGCTCTTGATTATCGCTGCAGTCACTCAGTTTGTGACTCATTGGCATCTTCAAGTCTAAGTCATTCCTTTGACTGTTAGCAACAAAAACTTGCATAGGATGTTGGCAATGTAGATGCTGGATCTCTCAAAGTCCGCGTGCAAGAGTAAATGTCCCTAATTCTTCGAAAGTTTTTTGTGCGGTGATAATTGCATACAGAAGACTGGGTTATCGGAAAGGTGGTGGAATACTACTGAGTTGAAAACCTCGAGCCTTCAAAGCTATGCCATATGTCTTGCCGGTCTACAGGCCTACAAACGCACAAACAGAAAGATAGGGCAGTTCTGACTGGTGTACTCACTCTGTGATGCGATGTCCCACTGAAGCAATGTGCTCCCTGTCCACATCTTCCACTATATTGTCTTTCCCAAGTTTCATCACCAAGTAATTGCAATTGAAAGTCCCATCCTTGTGCTTATGATCGTCATGTAGGACAAGAAATAGAGCTGGCTTTTTGCACTTGCGATGGATCAAGACTGTGTGCCAGTCTAGGATAGCCGTAGGTTGAAAGAAGTCATCTGGGTCGAGCAATGGGGATTGGCCAGAATAAAACTGTGTAGTTCTGACAGAAAGAAACCCAGTGTATCCGAAGTTCCTGCAGTAAGCAGCAGTGACTACTTGAGTTTTTCCCTTCATGGTGAAGGTAAGCTCTTGATGGTGGTTTAGGGGCGCCTCACACTCCCCTATGTCTGGGAGTCCCTGTCAGGCTGTGTCCCACAATGGCAAATCAATTGTGCTCTATTATTTGTGACAGACTAGTGGGAAGGTGCTAAAGCAGATGCAGGTTCAGATACCGGAGTAGTACCTAGAAGAGTCTTCCGCATCACCATGATCAGATCCCACTCATCGGCTTTCCCATGCACATCAAACTTGTTGACTCCAAGCACACCCGTCATCTTTGCAAATGCGTCTTTCACGGCGAGATTCCATTTACAAGAATCCTATATAAATATACAGACGTTTGCCCTCGCGTGCACGATCTGAGAGTATCTATGTGTTACAGATCCGCGCGATTGTACTTATCCTTTTACTCTACGCGCGAGTCTTTTCAATTTCCCTTTAACTTTCCTCTCGCTACGAACGAGACAGGCCTGTCGAATGAGAACCTGCAATTCTTGTTCCGCCTGTTGCTTCAAAGAATCATCTCCGGGTTCTTCGGCTGGTGCAAATGCCGAGAATAGATGTCCAGCGCCATCATACATGATGTATTTCTCGACCCACTGATTGGCAGCTTGGCAATCGTCCAGTCCTTTGACCACGACGACGACCGGCACCATGTTTCCGCGATATGCTGTATAAAAGACGTGAAACTTCTGACGAGCTGCAGAAGGCTCGTCAGCGCGAACGTAGTACATGAGAAGATCCCCTTCAGGCCTCTTCTCGGTGTGTGAAGATGAAAGGTCCGGTGCAGAAACACGGTGGACCTGGTATGTGTCCCCGCCGATGCGCGCAAAGTAAGGCTTTAAGGTACCACGGATACAGGGTGCGAGCTGGACTTCCTCGACTCGAGATGGGTCATAGATGATGAGAGTAGACGGTAAAGACCTTTCACTATTCCCACTATCACTGATTAAGTTTTGTACAGCAGTCAGACACTGCTTGAACCAGCTGTCGTCGACCGCCCAATCTGAGCAATTCTTAACGAGAAGATTACGCAGAGTTTCAGAAGACTCTTCGATGCGACGGGTGAAGACATCTGGGATGCCTGAGTGTTTGCGAAGCGTTGTAACGCATGCATGGTCTTCGAAATGCATGCCACGAATCGTGAATTCCTTCCCATTGGCATCCCACCAGCTCTCCATGTCCAACTCGTTCTCCAATCCTGTGACGGCGACGACGATTGGGACTTTCTTTCGGCAAATACCAGAGTAAAAAATGTGGTAGTTCCGAAGAAGAGCGCGACGGGCACTCGTGCTGCGCACACAGTATACCAGAAGGCCGATGCCATCCGATTTAGGGCTCATGAGCTCATTCAGCAAGTTCTTCAGGTTTTTCTCCACCTTGGCTGCTGGTACCTTGGCTGCAGTGCCCTCGTTGAGACCCGCAGTGTCAAATAGGACAAACGTCTGGCCGGAGATTTCGACTGTATGACGCTCATAGGCAAACGTGCATCCAGTTGCACTGCTGGATGTCTTCGCTGGTTGTGTTTGCGCGATTGCATTGATGACTGAACTTCTACCTGAACCGCTGTCGCCGAAGATGACAACGTTTCTTTTGAGTGACCGGATCTGCTGCGGGTTATCAATAAGTGTTTAAGTTATGCCGTTCAAGAAGTAGACCATGTACTTTGCTTATTGACGCTTGCGGGGGTGGTGGGGGAGAAGGAGATGGTGGTGGTGGTGGTGGTAAGGATTGTTGTCCCTGCTCTGGGGCCGTTATGCCCCGTTGACTCGAAGCAGACGAGCACAAGTCGAGTGCCTCCAGGTGGGTTTCAAGTACTATTCTCTCGTGAAGGTCAGATAATGCCGGCGAGCTGCAAAGCGACTGCATTTTAACACCCTATTTCATACTTTTTCTGAATGAAAACGCACGGCATGCGAGAAGAATCGCGCAAGTTAGAGATAGAGCTTGACGATGACGACCGCATGAAATTTTGACCAATGTAGAGGGGCTGTGGATAGCGTATCTGGGATTCAGGCTCATCCCGTTCCCAAGCGTACCTTAGTGTCGGTGCATTGAAAGCCGATGAGGAGATGGGTGGCTGTTGCCGACTGTCGTGGAAGGTCTCCATGCGCCTTTTTAAAGCGATTAGTACTTCGTTAAATGGTACTGAACTTCCATACCTAAGCTCCACATCCTGTCCCGGTGAGTGATCCACCTGTGTGTATCGAGAAGGTAAAGGACGAATATCTCGATCGTATGTTCTTCCGCAAGAGAGAGGTGGCGGGGCGTATGAGCTACTCCTTGTCCAAGGAAATGAATAACCAAATGGGAAGATGAAGGCAGTATGTACCTCCCTCGCTCCAATTGTCCCCGAGAAGTTGACGGATGGCCATGCGGGTTTGGTTGTTTGCTGAGGCTATCACTATAAAGTATCACGATGAATGAAGGCACATCATGGAAGAAACTCACTCTTCGATTTCAAGTCCAGTTATACATATGGCTAGCGGGTTTCAGTGAGGCGGACTAACGGGTGAATCCAAAACTAATAAATACATTCAAACACTTCAATAGCCTTTGGGCGATCCTTCGGATTCCAAGACCAGCATCTTTGAATCAAGTCCCAATGATTGTCTAGGATATTGTCGGGACGCGCAGGGTTGGCTTTGTTCGACAGCTCAACGTAGATATGATGCGGTTGCTTCTTTTTCCACGGCCTCTCCCCGGAGATCACCTGAGAAGAGAAAGCTTAGGTTGAAGTTCAAGAAAGATAATGAGATCGCACAAAAAACATGATACCACCGAAAGAATAGATGTCACTCATGAAAGTCGGTCGTTCAGGGTCAAGATCAGAATCGATCCCAATGACTTCGGGCGCACGCCATCGAGGATCCAAGCTGCGGCTCACGGTCGTCATGGACAACTGCAACTCTGCATCTCCTACGACTGTTGCAAGACCAAAATCTATCAAGCGCGGATTTCCTGAACAATCTATAAGCACATTTGCCTGAACTTAACAATGAGTCAAAGATCTGCACAGAGACAACCATACATACAGGATGAAGGTCTCCGTGAACGACGTTCTCCGAGTGCACTTATGTAAACATCAAGAACAAAAATAATGATTTTATAGAAATCGACGAACGATACTGGAGGCCATCAGCAACGCCCTTGGTCTAGTTGCATAAAGTCAGTAAACACTTTTTGATCATGATTGGTATGAGCAGGGGACTCGCCAATCCAACTTTAGCGGAAGCTGTAAGTATTGTAGCTTCCTCAAGGTAGACATATAATGTCCCAGATGGCATCCATTTGGAAACGAGAGCCGGAAATGGGGATTCGATCAAGGCGGTGCCAAGTAGCGGCACAATAGTTCTGTGTTTCAGTCTAAACCACACCAGGAGTTCCCGACGCATTGCCTACATATATCATGGAATTCGGAAGGATGGTCACAATTCAGCTAGGTAACTGACCTTTTCATTTTTCTCTATAGCTCTCCCAAGATCAACCTTGAACACCTTCACCGCGACCTGATGGATATCAGATTGACGACCGATAAGCTTGGGCAAATTGGTGACTTGGTCAGACAGACCTCTGTTGTGCCTTCGCTGGTCTCGATAGTACACCGATGAACTACGCCGAAGGATCCAGATACACATAAAGATGCGAGCTTCAACTTCTCAGAAATCTGAGACGTGAGATCGGCAGGCATATTGCTGTAAAACGATGAAGAGATGGTCAAGGCACATTATGGGAGAAGACTCACTCTTCGGGCGCAAGTCTTGACATGTGGGCTATTACTTTTACAGGTGATGGTCAGGAGTTAGCGAGTGCCACAACAGACTACACAACTTCGCGATGTAATCTTTTCAAGATCATGCGGCGAGGCACTGAGGTTCATCAGAAAGCCTGCAAACAGCCACGTTTGCAGAACATTCTCTGAGAAGGTTTCGTAATGGCAGGTAGTACAACCGCAGTTCGGCTACGGCCCACTCCGATTTGGCGTTGTCCTCCACCTCGGGGCTCAGACAGCAGTTTTTGGAGGCAAAAGGTAGGCTTTCAGGCCGGGTTCCTATGTTATGAGAAACCAGCCTGAAAGGCCCACGATAATATCATACCTCGTTGCCCTCCCGCCGGGCTGCTCGCGTGCTTCACCTCCAGGATGCCTGGATACCTGATACTATCATACCTCACGCTCTCAACTTCTTCAGGTCGATATCAACCCTTAAGTATCATACGGTCAGCACCAGCAATTTTCCAGATCGTGGCATCAGTCTATTACTCAAATTTTCCATAGGCTGATGTGCTTAGCATCAACACCATCGAATTCCAACTGCTCATTCTTTTCCTTGATCAAATCTTTCAGGTTAGGATGGTTATGATATAGAACCAAATCTCTTCTACGGAATGCATCAAGTGCGTACAATAATGGATCCTTCGTTTTCTCTCACATCGTATTCTCAAATTTCCCAGCCACGACCTCAGCGCCCTGGACGTCTCAAAAGACTCAGGCTCACTATCACGAGAACCCCTTGCTCAGCTCCTCCACTTCCACCTGCACCACCTACCACTACACCACCGGCTGCCACTCTTACCACAATCACAACTCGGCTAGGAAACTTACTCTCCTGGCGGCCTGAGACAGGGCTTAGAGTGCTGCCATATTGGCTCCCAACCGTACTTCCGACCGTTCAAGTCTCCAAGGGAGACTTTGAAACGAGCATCTTTCCCGATACCCTCACGCGGGAGAGGCTTTCTGTGCAATCTGCCATAAGATACAGATATCTCTGTGATTGCCACCGACTGCGTCCTTCAGCGTTCTTTCAATAGAATATATCTCCTCCATTCTTACAATACGCCCCATAGTATAAATCGCTGGATTCATTACGCCGTACACAATACAATTATCTTGAACGTAACATGAAAAGGAGAAACTTACCCATCCCCGACATCTAAGGCTCGTTCTCAAATCACAATCCTCCTCCATTTAGTATATACTCAATCGCCGAATGCACGTTTCCGCCAGTTGCAAGGAGTGCCCTGACATTCTGCGATGCATTCGTGAATCCCATATCTTGTAGTTGCTATTTCCCAAATATAAATCCAAGAAGCAAGAGCAAAAACCACATTAGATCACTAGCCACACACAGCACACAAGACGCACCTGCAACTGCACCTGGAAGCGTTCTTCGGGTGGCCGCGAATCTGCGGGTGCAGCAGGAGGCGCACCGAAGCCACCGAATCCGCCTTGACCACCGCCACCTCCAAAGGCTGTTTGCATTTGTGCGAGAGCCGCGGGGTTGAACATGCCGAACGGGTTGGCGCCTGCGCCTGCATCAGTCCCCGCGCCTGCTTGTGGGACAGGAGGGAAAAATGCTGCGAAGGGATTTGGGGCTGGTTGGCCGCCTGTAGGGGAGGTGGAGGGGTTGGAGGAGGGGGATGATGCAGGTGCTGTAGATGGAGTACCTGGTGCCGGGAACGCGGCAGCGCCACCTGCGCCGGGGAAGCCGAATGCTCCACCGAATGGACTGGCGCCTGTACCCCCACCTGCACCTTGGAATGCTGCCGCCATCTGGAGCATTGAGCGGAGAGATTCAGGATTTGATCTAACTCGGATCAGCGTGCATTTCTAGGAGTAGTGGTAGACAAAACGACGTACATCATCTCCCTGAACCTCTCGCTCTGGAATACTTCGCGGACTTGAGGGGCAATGGCAGCGAGCTGAGGGTTGCTCGCAATAATTTGGTCGAGAACAGCGGGATTACTCATGACGCCGCTCATCTGCTGGAGGAATTGGGGATTCTGCATCATTGATTGCATCATGTTAGGATCGTTCGGGTTCAGACCCATTTCTGCAAATGGGTTGAAACTATTAAGGGCACCGTAGCCGAGGTGAGAGTTGAGCTGCGTCAATGGGTCGTGGGGATTCTGGCCGGCTTGCATTGTGGGGAGGGGCGGGACTGGGACTGGGATAGAGGAGCTTTGAGAGCCGGATATGTTTGAGCGAGCGACGCCTTTGACCATGTGGATGGTGTGAGATGTTTGGATTTTATATGTTGAAAGAACATCTTCATCCTGTGCAAGAAATGATCAGTGATCATGAGAGGCATATGCAATAATATGTACCTTCAATACTCGGCCTTGTAGATACAATGTTACTTGAATAAAGGAAACCTCGGCAAATGCATTAACACGCACCAGAGTATATAAGCCTCTGCCGATCAGCCTCTACATCAGACTTCTCTGCGATAGCACGTTTGAGGTCAAGCACAGTCTTGTCAGTACTGATTGTGATTTGCAGCTTGAGCTCGCTCGGTCCTAGTTCTGGTCAATATGTTTCGCAATCACATATTTTGAATTAATCGCACCCTTGACATTTATCTGAATTTCCTGTGGCGTTGAGCTCATGATGGAGGAGGATAAGCGTTGTGTGGGTGCACTGGCACAAGTAACATCATCAAATCTGCTTACTACAGCGCGGGAAGACTCCAGAACCCTCCCGTTTGTTCGGCGACTCGCTCTCATTTCTAAATTCTGATTTACCCTATAGCCAAGCTGAATAGATCTTTTGCTTTGAAGAAATCGCTCATTATTTCTCGTATTTATCCATAAAATCTACATGTATGCTGATTCCATTTTCAGGTGTTCTTTATTGTAAGACAACGCCGGTGGGTGACGCAATGTGCTGTACGGCACGCAGCTCGCGGTTACCAGTTGTACGGATGTATAAATGGTTTGCATGCATTGTCTCGACATCTTTTTATTTTCTCATCCCTGACACAGATTAATGACTCCTCAGCTCAGTGAGCACTGTTTCACCGCTGTCTCCCACTCTGGTACTCCAGTTGGCCGCCGGCTATCAGGAGAAGATCGCTAATACACAGACATATGTACCTGAGCCTACAAACGCATTCAAGTCCAACGGCGCCATACTAGTCTTCGATCCTTTGTTCATCAGCAACCAGCTCATCGTGGACTATTATGTTTATCATGGCGTGCTTCCGTGCAGCAAGTGTAATCATTCCGTTTTGACCCGTCTATAGGGTTCACAGTGCTCGACTTTGACCACTTCTTTGGAGAACCTATCCATGATTGCATGAATATACCAGGCTTCGACAGGCCGGCGTGGATAGAAAGGGCATTTAGTAACGCTAACACTCATACCCGCTCATGGGCTGACGCTGTCGTGACGAAATACGGTATGGCAACCTCTTTTCAATCTCACTATTTACCTTTCAACTCCCCGTAGGCTCAGGCGTGAAATACTGTGGATATCATATAGATGCAATCGCTGACCCTGCTACTCTCTCCGAGGATCTGACGGAGATCGACGAATAATGTACCTGTCCGTCCCTTCCCTTTTTTCCAAGATCTGCATATTGACCAGTCCGATTGACTAGTCCCAATGCTCTTTTCCTGTGCTGAAACTAATCACACGTTCCCCAAAGAGACACGTCGGAAGGTCGAAAACAGGCTTGTTGAGCAAAAGAAGACATACCACTTCCATATTTTCAGTGGTGAGTCATGAATTTGCTAGATGTGATCAGAACATGGACAATGTGCGTCAGTGGTGTTTTTTCCAACCTTTCCATTCTGGTTCTTGTTCTGACGCACAATTTTCTACTTTCTCCTCTACTCTTGTCCATATTCTTCTTATTAACATGATCCTCCAGGACGGGTCAAGGAAGATTGTCAGCGTGGCATGGCCGCATGGTTCAAGCGTTTCACAACTTAAATGATCAACTCTTAAGATTGATGTTAATGCGAGATCAACGAATCCCAGGACGACGAGCGTGGCATACTACGGTGCGGTATGACGGTACTCATATAGGTATTTTGTCCTTCAACCTCGCTTCTCACCTCCAGTTCTTCAAGCTCTTTGCAATTTGAACAGATAATCCACCGTTGCACTTGGGGTTAACGACTCGGATTCCATCCTGGCTTACCGAATCCCCTAGTACTCGTTGCCAGACACAAAAACGAAGCGTGGACCTGCAAATTCAGCAAGCTTATTCACTCTCAAGCTAATCGACTCCGCGAGTATGCTTACTTCCACGTCATTACATGTGGGCATGGGCCTTCAGGTTGTCAGTCCATCAAAGTGGGACTGAAGAACTCGAAAACGAGCTGGGATTCCAAAAAGAAGTTAGGAGAGTTGGGATTACTGCAACTGTACCTACAAATCTGTAACGTAGGCGGGCATATTTTTCATACGATTCAATGAGCAGCCTGGCAGGTGGAACTTAGCTTGACCACGTAACGGAGAAAATAATTGCAGGAGAAAACGTTCAAAGCACAATGCAACAACAAGAAGCGTGTGAATTCTTGAAATCATTGCCCTGCATTCTCGTAAATCATGCACCTTTCAAATTCATCAAGGCCATATTGTTCCACATCGTCACACGTCCCTGTATGCACTTTCCCCGAGTCTTGGCGCCCCTAGGTGGCACCAGCTGGCACCGGTTAAGGTACCGTACACCCTGGTTAAACACAGCAAATTCGGTTGTCATAATTGAATCGGTGCCCCACCATTTGCGAATGCAATGTTGGGGCCACTTGATTTACTGCATGATGGTAGGTACACATACATACATGCATGGACGTCAGTATTTGATACCACTTAATCTCCAATTTTTCGGTATTGTGAAGTTTTGCATTTGCAGGCGATCAGACCGGAGTCACCGATCATCATCCGCGGGCAGAGTCAGAAGCTCAAATGTGATGATTACGATACGTTCCTGATGAGTCCGAGTCGAACGACTCGGATCCATGTTCCACTCCGTGGGCTCTCATCGCCGTATGTGAAAGGTTTGTTCCAATCTCCATGGGAGCAGTCTCTAGAAGCTTTTATCCATCACACGACAGATTAGTGGCTGTACTGGTATAGTATACAGTACGGATAAAATGATTGCCATCACATTCGGAATCGGTTCTGTCTTTCTCCATGCAGGACCTCCAACTCCTACAGCCTTCTATCGGAAATACGTTTGGAGCACTTTTTATTGGGGCCACTCTTGCAGCATTGTCAGTAAAATATTTGCTCACTATGCAGTCAAGACTAAACGTTGATTATGGTCGTAACATATCTCACGGAACAGCCTCTGGGGTATAAGCAATATTCAAACGTTTCTCTACTTTCAGACGCATAGAGGCACAGGAATAACATTCTTGAAAGTGGTTGTACGTCTTTGTTATCTTGTCTGTTCTTGTCCTCACACTATATCAGGTTATTTTATTTTGGTAGATATCCTTTCGAGTTACAATGGTCGAACACGCCGAGAAGATTATAAACGTTCACTAGGATACTTGATGCTCTGCACCTGGTCTTCATTGTCCATTGCATCCATTATTACTTAGTGACGAATCACGCAAGAATGGGTGCGCTCACAAACATTGTATGGAGTTTTAAAGTGAGTTTTCGAATTTCCTTCTCCTCTGTGCACATGTCACCATCTACTACCATGATACTGATAGGCTCGTGCAGCTTCAGGTCATATGTTATGTGAGTTGTATTTCCTAGGCTCTGTGAGTCGCCTCAGACACACACCCCACAGGCTCTCATCACCAAGGGTGTACAAGCGTGAGTCCGATTTGCATAGAGTTCTATGCAATGTTCGTCATATTTATTTGTCCAGTCTGTATGTCCACCGCCTATGGATAGGTATTTGTCCTCCGGTCAACATTCTGCTATGACTAATGCGGTAAACATAGTCAGCAAGGGCCGATCGAGAGCTCTCCCTATAATATTAATGATGGTGGGTTTATAATCAACGTTCATGTACTATAGTAATTCATTCTGCATATGATCATAATCACTCCTAGTGCATAATCGTGGCCCTCGCTTTAGGTGAGGATGTCATCTGCAAACTCTCTTCGTGCAATCTCGAACATGAAGATCCTTTTAGGTGTTGACATCGGTGAGGGTTTTAGCGTACTAGTCATGGTGCTGCTGCCGTCGACTCATCATCTCCACTTTGACCCAGTCCTTGTTTGGGTATTGTGAGTGAACCATCTGCTCGATTTCTCGTGATGTGCTAACCGTGATTAGGTATCAGTGTCATCAGTTCTCGGACTTGATTAGAGTAGAGTGGGCGGCATACGCGGCTTTGAGCACGGTTACTTTTGTCGATATCCTTATTGCATCATCGATGTGGTATTTCCTCGCTACCTCCCGCACTGGGTTCTCTAGGTAACGAACGACCCGTTGACTGTCAGGATTTGGTATATTGATGCTGAGTGTTAAGAACGGATTCCTTCATCAACAAGCTTATAGCTTACACCGTTAATACTGGCTGTATCACGAGGTATTCCGTCCATCTAGACTATACTATACCTTGATTGATGTTTTGCCCAGTATAGGTTCAGTGGCAACTATAGTCACAGTAAGGTCTAAATAATCTTATTGTCGACCTCGTCTCTGAGGGTCGTTTGCAGTGCGCAGCGATGCCAAACAACTTTATCTATCTTGGCGTTGCATTTTTAGTAGCTAAATGTATGACCACGCATTCTCTGAGGACGGTGCTGACTACTACCATTTCAAGTATACGTCGGCTCGTTTCTCGCACTCCTGAATATGCGATACTACTTGCAGGGCAATGCGAACAATATCGATTCCGTCAACACGCACCGTACGCGCCAATTCCTCTACCGACCAGAGCCGCACATTAGGGTGCCACAAGTGGAGGAGGAACTCCAGGCCTCCCAGGAGAACATATGTAAACATGACGATGAAGCGGATTTCACTCATCCTGTACAGATTGACATGGTTTGTGGTTAATTTATCGAATTTCAAGGAAGAGGACTAAATGACACCCTTTAGCCACAGCCTCCACCGATTGCCATCACAGTTGAGATAAGTTCTTTTTCGTCGGCTTAATAGGTTGTCATGCATGTATATCGTCCGCCTGTCTCTTATAGACTTTTGAGGCCACGGATTATAATATCGATGACTACCTCTGTGCATTCTGATGTACTGCATAGTTAACCTAGGGTTAGGCTCTCAAAATACCTTCAACATCGAGGTTCGGAGCCGAACACATTCGGATCTGTGTGCCAGATACGCTCAGAACTCAAAGGTATGGCTCCCTATAATCTCTTGAAGTATTTAGTGGCCGCCGAAGCTGGTTGAATAGGACAGATGGCTATATGTCTAGATATATACTAAGCTAGATAGATTATTATGCTAATGTATGCGCTTTTGAGTTATCAACCAAGAAGGATGTAGTATCATTTTGCCTGTATATGTCGTGCAAAGACTGCATAGGATATTGCTGCGAGTTTCTGTGTTCTAATCCACTTCCCCCTCCAAGAACAGTTGAGATGTAATCTCGATTGTGCCGACTACTTGTCATGCGAATGAACACCATGTAGAAGGCAATCGAGATGATCGGGACGTTCTAGTTGATCTCAGCTTAGTGATATCGATAACAAATGTTAACAGCCGAATTACCAAGTCTCCCATAACATACAGTCCGTTGTTCGAGAGGATGAAACATATGATCGAGGAGCAGAGCGCTGCAGAGTACAAAATAGCAGCATCTAGGAACACGCGTAATAAAGGCATCTTCCTCTTTGTAGCGCGGATTCCGGAGACCTTACGTTCGCTCTTCCAGATGCGATAAGCTAACAGTCCTAACATCAGGGTAATGAGACCCAACATCGCGCATCGCGCATACGCAAAAGTGTGCTTACCTGAACTAAGCAAATTTGTTGCAAGTGTCAAGGTCATGAACGTCGCGACCAAATGCCCAGTCTTGTTGGTGAAGACATTGTTACTCGACGCTTGCAAAAAGTCATAGAGCGTAACAACACCGAACGCTTCCAGGCAACATCAGAGCACATCACTTCGCAAGTATGATTGCAACAAACCTGCAACTCCACACCACATCATGCAAGGTATAATGATAATCCATACAGATTGCCACACAATATAACATCGATAAATCTTTTGACCGAGGAGGAATTCTATAAGCCGCGGGTTTCAAGCTTGCAGATTAAAATTTGAACCCACCACCACACCGTCGCCAAGCAGGGTTTGTAAGACGAGAATCGCATTCTTGACTACAAGCGTTTCTTCGGAATTGTCTGCAAAAAACGCCGCTGGGCCGCCTGGAAACGTGTCACGATACTTCACTAGTCCATCTTCAATACGAATGATGCCTACGACCATGTGCTTGGGAAGCTTCAGCGAATGTCACTAGATGGAAGCGGCGAGACACTAACCATGGTACTCAGTAAGAACAGGAGGGTGGCAACTGCAACAGCTGGCCGATTGACGTCGCGTGTGCGACGTTTGTAGGTGATTATCCAGATAGTACCTAAAAACATTAGGACTGAAAAGCCTAGAGAACGCTAGCTTGGTGGACATGGGACGGGAAAACTCATTGCAATACACACCATATAAAATGCCTTCTAGCACTGATGACATGATGACAGCGGTATCCAGCGGGATACCTGGTGAAGCGGCCATGACGCAAATACCAATGTCTAGGGATGCACGGCGCTGTGGACACTGGTTAGACGTATTCGGCTCAAGCTTGAGACTCAGGGAGCAGTTAATTGCGACGTACCTTACTGCAGGCTCATCCTCGGCATTCTGAAAAAATAGAAGCTACTTGAAACACCAAGCGACACAAGCGCCGTCAGTAAATTACACATTTCTTGGCCTGTTTCACTGCTTGCCGCCGGGTAAATTCCCCAAAAGGATTGGTCGTGGTAAGAACAGTGACACCAACTTGCCGTCAACTTCAAGTTCAACGTTATCACAAGGCAATCATAAGTTGAAAAAGTAGGTGCCTCGTAGCTTGACTAGCCTTATTTTGGCATTATCGTACTCGTCGGTGAAATAGCCTACAATGCAAGCTTAGCGGCAAGTGGAGATACTTTGTCGAGAAATTTACGCTTCACCTCTGCAAGAAGTCACGTGATATCGCGCGGAATTCAGGGGTGGGTGAACGTGAGTTGGTTGAGCGGCTCAGCGGCCCTAAACGAAATTTCAAGTGCTGCAAAGTGCCGTCTTAGCAGGATAACCAGTACTAGCAAAAACGCCCAGCATCAAAACATAGTATCAGCCTTTGCATGAGACGCCGACACTGGGTGCGTGGAGAGTTACCGAGAATCGCGGCGTGGGACACAAGCTCGAAAGGAAACCACACGATTTGCCCACTTGACGCTTGAAGGCTTCATCTCCTTGCCAAGAGCCATGTCGTCCACACTCGCAGGCCCATTGACAGATCACTGTTTTACTTCAGTCGCACACAGTGGTACACCCAAGGGTGAAAGCATTACCATAGCTGGCGTACCGACATACCTATCTACTCCGCAAGCTTCCGCTGCGTCCGCAGTAGACACTGTCATCCTATACTTCTCAGATGTCTTTGGGCCATTCTATATCAATGCTCAACTGGTTCAAGATTACTACGCTTCCCAGGGTATGTTTCTGTGTGCATAGTTTCTTGGTGTGCGTATTGATTGGGGAGGCAGGTTTCACCGTGGTTGGAATAGATTACTTTTTTGGTGATCCTGTTCATCTGCATCTCAACAAGCCTGGGTTTGATCGCTCAACATGGAGAACAAAGTCTGTCGAGCAAGCGAAGGCTAGCGTCCCAAAGTGGGTGGATGGTGTCAAGGAAATGTTCGGTACGATCCTTCCCAGCATACGTGGCATACCGACATACTAAGCAGCGATATAAAGGAACGAATGTGAAATACTGTGCCGTCGGTGAGTAGGCCAGGTCTTATAAGATTGCTACTTTCATACTGGATCAAGGTTTCTGTTTTGGCGCGCCCTATGTCTTTCAGGTTGCAGCTACTGATATGCTATCGTGTGGTATGTGACGTGTCGTTCTATCTTTGGTGTTCTGTATGTGAAATCATCTACTAGCTGCTGTGGCCCATCCTACGAGCTTGACCGAGGAGCTTCTGAGAGCCAGCAAAGGTAGGTTCCATGTTATACTTCTTCAATGGCAGTATTGACCAAGCTATACAATTAGTGCCCTTGTTGTTCTCTTGCGCAGGTATAGACATGTCTTCCGGTCCTCTGAAGCGTGCTTCACTCATACCACCCCATAGAAACGGACTCCGCATTCCCAGCGACGTTCCGACGACAAGTTGAAGACATCCTTGTGGAGAAGAAGGCGACATACTATTTTCAGATATTCAGCGGTGTATCGCACGGCTTTGGAACAAGGGGAGATCCAGAAGTCGAGACTGAAAGTCAGTGTTTGTCGCCTTTTTCAGTGATATGAAATTTTAATACTCTTGCTCCTGATAGGGTGGGCGAAGGAAGAATGCCAGCGTGCGATGGTAGGATGGTTCAAACGCTTTACGAGTAGCAAGTGATATATGCTGTTATTTCGAAATCACAGACTGTTTCAGTAAATCGTACTCATAAATATTGTGGCTTTACTCTGGATTGTTTCAAATGAGTTTTCAGGGACAGATATTGTTTGCTTTCCGTGAACTCTCGAAGGTTGGAGCTAGCTATAATTATCCCTCGTGAAATCATTTGCTGAAATACATCCACATCGAACATACGGACATCCGAGATCCCGAGTTATCCACATGGCTCTGGAGGTCGGGTGATCACGAAGGTCATCATGTGTTGTTCATAGCCCAAGCTTGCTCTTCTACTCTGAAGATATAAAGGTCGCACGAAGGTTCATCTCTACGCAGAATATCAATAATGTCCCCCACACTCGCCTCTGCCCCTGGTAGTTGCTGCTTCTCCGGTGTAAAACACGTAGGCACACCCGTTGGCCGTGTTGAGGACCTTGGTGGAATCCCAACATACATCTCCGATCCTCCTGCTGCCACACAGAAAGTGATACTCTTCCTAGCAGACGTTTGGAGTCCGCTTTTCGTTAACAATAAGTTAGTCCAAGATTATTTCGCGTCCTGTGGTGCGTCCTGTTGTCAACGTTGTACATTGTGAACCGATAATGAGATTTGAATGGAACAAGGCTATATCGTACTTGGACCTGATTATTTCTTTGGCGACTCCGCGCCGAACCACGATGGCCCAGATCGCCAGGCGTGGATCGACAATTCCCGCAAACCTGCTATCGATGCGTTCCCCGCTTGGCTAGATGCTGTGAAAGGAAAATACGGTACGTTGGTATGTTTCCGGTTGCTTCTGAGTCACCGAAATGTATACAGGGAGGGAGAATACCAAATACTGTGCTGTCGGTACGTCAATAGAAGAATCGCGCCAAAAGACGCTGAATTCCTGTAATCAGGGTACTGCTTCGGAGCCTCGTTCGTCATGGACTTGTGTTCTGATGGATCTGTAGTTGCTGGTAAGTGATTCGAGAGCTTTCAAGAAGGATGCCCACGCGAGAACTGCAGGAGCGCTGGCTCACCCCGCATTCCTCGATGAAGATCACTTTGAGAAACTTGACGGTACGCTTCTTATACTTGACATATCATCCAGCTGCCTTAACAAAATCAAAATTCAAATCATTGCATCAACACAGGACCTCTCCTTCTCTCCTGCGCAGGTAAAGTTTCTTCTTACAGATGTTCACAATCGCCGTTAACCTGATTCCCAATACTATTACTCTTTTATGTAGAGGAAGACCACACATTCCCACTGGCCTCGCGTCGACGTGCAGAAGACATCATGGTCGCTCGCCAATGCACGTATCATTTCCAGGTGTTTTCAGGCGTCAAACATGGGTTTGCTGTACGGTGTGATCCTGCTATTGACACGCAACGTGAGTGGCCTGGTTTCATTTCTTACACAATGAAATTAGCAAGGCACTGAATGAATGCTGATGCAGGCTGGGCGAAGGAGGAGAGCGCTAGGGGAATCGTGAGTTGGTTTGATAGGTTTACGGTTTAGGTCGGCTACGATGTGTATATTTGTTGGGAGAAGCAGGATTTATGAATTTTCACGTCGTGGGTAACATTGAAATCAAGTGCAGCTCTAATCATATCAGATAGCGTCTTGAAGCCGTGGAATTTTTACATAAGGCGGAGTTACTATCAAACCAAAGCAAAACCTTTGTCGCCGGTCATGGACTCGGCCATTGATATTGACTCTATGGATCCATATATTTGCGGAAATTGCTTTATTTCGTTGCACCGGGCATTGTCCGCCTCCTGGGAGCTGAAAAGGTGATGAGCAACCTTCTGGTTGTTTGTGTATGCTCGCAGCAGGAAATCCATATTCCCGGATCAGCATCACCCATCATGTTTCAAGGACACCCCTAACAGCGCCCCAAACCCTATAACGTACTTGGGCTTCGAGGGAAGCAGCGATAAGACGTTATTCGTTTGATAGCTGTTGATGCAACTGATATCGATAGGGTCTCGTCACGTTCTGTTAGAATTCAAGAACTACATTGAGAAAGACGCCCCCACAGCAATCTCGGCAGACCTGCCTAGTTCAACAGGGTGCACACTGCATTTCTGATTCCTGTGGTGATATCAAAAGTTGAGGCATTTCTATTCGAAGATAGTAAGATGCAAATTGAGCTGGTAAAGCTACTGACGTTGTTGTAGATCCCCTGGACATCACGACTATGGCTTCCAAATCCACCACAGGCCTGCCATTGGACTCTGCTAATATAATGTCAACAGTACTAGAAGGTATTTTATATGGTGAGTACTACAAGTTCTTACGTTGCATGCCTACCAACCTAGCGTTCTTTTTTCCAGGCTTTTCAGTCCTCATGTTCATAGGTACCATCTGGACATTTACTTATAAACAACGCATCCGAGATATCAATCAGCCAAGCACCGTGGTTGCCACCTTGCTGTTTGTACTCAGTACTGTGGTTAGCTTCTTACCACTCTCATCCAACTTCGTCCGCTGAAGTCTCCCAAGCACATGATCGTAGGTATTATTCGTCTCGAAGATGGACTGGTGAAGCATGGCAATACCCTCCATGATGGGCCAGCAAGATTCTTCGCAGACGTGACCCAGCAAACATTTGTGACAAAGAATACGATAATCACTTTACAAACTTTGCTTGGTGACGGAGTGGTGGTAAGTTCAAGTTTTTTTCACCTGCAAGCTTGAAACCCCAGTGACTTACATGAATCCTCAAAAGATCTATCGATGTTACGTCGTCTGGCGATCTGTGTGGATTATCATCCTACCATGCATGATGTGGTGCGGTGTCGCAGGTTATTTGCAATCATACGCAAAATTTTGGATGCTCTAACATGTGTTGTTTCGAAGCGTTTGGTATTTGTATGGTCTATGTGCAAGCACCGAGTACCAATGCCAAAAATGTCTTCGGCAACCAGACTGGACATTGGATCACGGCGTTCCTTTCCTTAACGCTTGCAACGAATTTGCTCAGTTCAGGTAAGTTCACTTCCGCGTAAGCGCTATGCTGAGGTCTGTGTATATATTGATGACCTGAATATATACAGGATTGTTGGCATACCGCATCTGGACGATCGAACGCAATGTCTCTGGAGCTTACGCTACGAAGAACAACATGCCTATATTGCGGGTACTCGTAGACGCCGCGCTTTTATACTCTGCAGCGCTTTGCACCTCGCTGGTATGTTTCGCCCTATCGAACAATGGGTTTTATGTTTTAGGAGACCTGGTGTGTTATCTCGCTGTTAGAATCTCATCGAAATCGCTGATCAGAGCTTTGATGTTGAACAACCATGTAGATCGTTCCCATCATCTCGATTGCTTTCTACATGGTCTTTATCCGCGTCGCAATCAGCAAGAAGATCCACGAATGCCTCTCGGCTACTCTTTGTTGAGGGACAAATGATCAGACCGAAGAATCTCTTCGAGATGCCCTGTGCAGCCTTCGATGCAGATTGGAATGATATTTTCCTGACCGACAGAGACAGCCTAAAAACAGATGCAACCTTATAGTCTAAGAATTTCTTCGAACAACATCGCTTTACCCTCCCGCTTGAGGACGGCGGTCACTTCACTCTAAGGAACACCTTGACATGAGGCCTTGACCGTGTACTTTAAGTAGGGACGTCGCGAATCTAAATGACCACTTGTTGAAGCGACTGGTTGGTCAACTCGTGCTACACATCCTCAAACGCGAGAAACACGCAGTATATTTGTTAATCGTATGTAAAGAATGTAAGTAGCTATTGAAATTGAATAGCTGTATGTACGTCAGTACACCGGAACGATCGCGTACGAGACATAGCAGAAATGAGCGAAACTGGTAAGTCAAGAACGTGCAGCCAGCACTCGGCAGCTGCATGATTAAAATTGTCAGGGTTAATAGGAAAGCAAGAACTTGAGACAGTATATCAGAGCACGTGTATCAGCGCAAGAAATTGTGCAAGAAAACTAGTCCATCTATCGTCGCTCGCTCATTCACATTCTCTCGGTATAGGGCGACTTCACCGCCAGTGAATCGTACCTGCCTTGAGAAAGTGCATATGTTGTGCCTGTCCCGTTCGCAACGCCGGAGGCATATGTCACAGAATCAAGGTGCCGAGACCGCGCTACGATATCGGACGCGATTTCGGTGCCGTACTGTTCCGCCAGTTGGCTGTGGCGAAAATATTAATACATACATGCGGGGATAGATAGGAAATAACCCACTTGGCATAGTTATCCATAATGACAGCCATACTTGCCATGCTGAGCCTATAGGCCTTGGGCATCATCCCTTTACCGAAGCGGTAGGTTATGTGGTTTGAGCATAAGAGACCAGCGAGCATGATCACGAGCTGGAGCGGCACCAGGGAGAAAGCGATAGTGTACCAGAAGTCCAAGGCGCGTTTCTCAAAGTTGACGTATGCCTCTTTGCATCCCGGGAGGATGGAGCGAGCGTAACAGCTTTGGGAGACAGTAGCTTCGACGAAGGGGGAGTAATATCCACAGCAATGGAGCTTGTTTTGGATCCTGAGACGGCCGGCTGCGCCGAGTTCGCGAGACCACTGGGAATTTAGCTTGCCTTCGAGGTTAAATGTACGTTGTTTATAGGTCATATAACCGGGGGTGACGAGGAGGGCAAAGCAAAGCCAGAGAGTGAAAGTGTAAACTGCTAGGAAAGAGCGGTTATTGAGGAGGATGCCAGCCCATCCGATTATGGAAGTAAGCGAGGCAAGGACGGCAGCGGCTGTGGAGAAAACGAGTTCTGTTCGGTTGCCTACGCGAATGATGTCTGCGTGTTCGAAGACGTCAAACCATGTAAGAAGACAGAAAATGAGGCCCGCAAGGCCGTATACGGATAACTGCAGGAGATCAGGAAGTGAAAAGTATGGAAAGGAAAAGGTACTGACTGCAAGATTGGCAATGAAGAGTGCCCATTTGAACCTGTTCCAGTGCATGTGGGGACGGGTGTGACCACCTTCTTTGCCACCGAACCAACCACCGGTGACGCCGTCGTAGTCTTCATCGCCTTCTGCAGGCATGCGTGCCTCACCACTCTTGAAGGCCTCCCTACCGCCGCCTCTCTTGTGCATGGCGGGATGATCATCATTGGCCTTCCCTGATCTACGTCTGCGAGGAGTAGGAGAGAGCAAGCCAGAAGCAAACTTGTTAGGTAGATAGTTGACAGAAAGGGAGACGTCCTTTGAGAGGGTGGTGCTGTCTGCGCGGGGAGATGGTGGGGCGGAAGAAGAATCATCAGCGGCGAAGAGAGGAGTGGGGGGCTCAAGAGGAAACTGCATGTCTCCAATGATTGGCCTGGTAGAAGGGGCGAGTGAATAAGACGACTGGGCGTGAGAGGTGAGAGAGGAGGGTCGACGGATGTGGCTGGGGAAGCGATTAGTATGCAGTGCCAGGGAGCGCGAATTAGGATGATGTTGAGTAAAAAATAAAGGAGGAAAAGATGGTGGATTGACAGATTTTTTATATAAAGAGGAGCACTAGCGAAGATTAAAAATATAACTTACCCGCTAAAACTTGAATAGTCCAACATAGCCAACCTGCCAACCTGCACTAGTACTGCATACTTACTCAATTACCGTTCCAGAAAAATATGGCATAAACGTTACCGTACAGTATTTGACACGTTTTCTCGTATCAAATCTTGAGCAATGTCGGATAGAATCCTAAAATCACGTACGTTTTGCCGCAGACGAATAACGTTGTAGTGGAGTTCCGACTCGGCACCACGCCACAGTGCACATGCGCGACATGTCACATTTCATTAAACGCGTGACTGACGCGTCACGTCTCTCCTCAATGTACGACTCGACACGTCCGCTAAAACGTCAGCGCACTCTCCCCATATCAGCCTCGCCAACACCTAGATCCTCGTCACTCACTCCACCTGCAGATTCTCAAAAATCATATCCGACCCCAGCACTCCGCCCGCTGCCTCCAGCGATCCTACTCCTTGCACTTCCAGGACTTCTGGCCCTTCCTCCTACTCATTCAGACTTTGGTTTTTCACTCTTTCTCTCACTGCGCTCATTAAGACACTGCTTAGCACTGCCTGCCCTCGCCCCTGATATAGAATGTCGTGCTTGGACAAGTCTGGCCGAAGTCGGCATGAGAGTCATGGAGAGTGGCTTTTGCTCGCAGGAGGGAGGATGTGACTGGGCTGTAGGTATTCATTCAGAGGTACTACATGTTTTTTTTGTCGCTTGTGCATGCTGACAAGTGTTATACAAAAGGCCGAGAAAGCACTCAGCAAAGGTCTTCTCATCGCACAAAAAGTCAGTCTCTCTTTATTTTTGACATAAACAATTGACCCTACCATTGCAATGCAGCACCCTTCGCTTCGGCCGCTTCGCCACCACCTCACACTCCTCCATGCTCATTTTGCATTCACTTTTCCTTCCTCTTCCACATCGCCAAAATTTGCACGTGCTATCCTCAGACGCCTCATCGCATCATTTGTACCCTCGGATCCTCCAGGCACCGTATATGATGCACACCTAGCCTTAATCACCCAGATTATTACACTGCCCCCTTCACCTAATACTGCTGGTAATACCAGCCCTGCCCCACTAGGGGCCCCCGCCCTCCAAGCAACGCTCACTGCCATAGATACTCTCATAACTCTCGCACGCAAAAACCACCACTCTCAAATTATTGCCCTCGCTCACGTCATCAGGTTACGCGTCCTTCTTCGTGCAAGTGCATGGGCCCAAGTTGGGGCTGCACTCGATACCGCAGAAGCCGTGCTTGGTCTGATATTCGACAAGAACGGCAAAGTTAAGAATGACGAAGGTCATATCAATGCGATGAAAAATAACAAACCTGATGACGCACTTCCCCGTTGGAATTCTATAACTGCTCACGACGTTAATGCTTTGTCTCGCGAATATTCTCAAGTACGCATTACTTCCGACCAGTCAAATGTGGAACCAAATCAAGAGGAGGAAAACACGCAATCGGATCCTGCTCATGCTTCTCTGGTTATTCATACACTCATCTCCGCTATCATATTTTTTACTTTCTCTGGAAATGTCCGTGCAGCCGAGCAAAGGCTCGTCGCGCTCCACGAAATTGTTGATGGTGGAGCACTCGAGGGGTTCAAGGATGGCACCGTCCAGGTATGCTTGCCGTCTCTCATTTGCGTTTCTCTCTCCTTGGGTCCTAACTATGCAACTTGTATAGATCGCTCTCCCACCCCACCCTCCCCTGGTGGTCCATACCACCCACCCACTGATACTTCTCCCACTCACGTTCCTCGTCAGCGCCACTGCAAAACGGGATCCAGTGGGCAGAAACCCAAAGAGAAGGCTCTGGGCCGAAGCAGCAATCAACATTCTCAATACTGCAAGAGAGGACATCGAACGTATGTTATATTTTGGTCGTGCCGTTAATCACCATTGCATTGATACTAACGCTCATCCTCATCTTACTTCAGTACCCCTCTGGGCTTCCCTAGCCGACAGAGACGAAATTGTACAGCGCACAGTAAGACTCACAGCCGATCTTTTATGCGAGCTCGTCGCGGTACGTTTAATTACATATCACAATATCGTATCCATTGTTTTATCCTAAAACATAGATATCGATCCAACGCTCCGAATTCGACGCTGCAGAAACACATCTAAACGCACTACTTACCCTAACCCACACACACGACCTCTTCCACTCATATAGCGCCCGCATCACCCTCCACGCCGCACACCTCGCGCATGCACTCGGAGATACCGAACGTGCAGGCGTATGCTATCGCGTCGCCAAATACGTAGATGACGAACGTAATGCAGGTACTGGGTATGTAGGCGCTGCTGCATGCGCTGGGGAAGCACTATTACGCATTGGACTACGTGCTCAGGCTCACGACGAGAACTCGAACCCTGTTGTGAATGAAGACGCTAGTACTGACGAAGGCGACTGGTTGGATGCTGAGACGCATGCACTAGCTAGGTCTGCGATTCAGCGGTGTCATGGAATGGGAGGGACACTTGAAGCAGTCGGGAAGGTGGTACAGGCAGCTGTGGTGGGCGCGAGAGGGGAGATTGTTGGTGCCAAGTGCGTCACTTCTTTATTTCACGCCAAAAATCTCAAATAACTGACTTGTACTTACAAATTGATCCATGGCACAGATCACACCTAAAATCTGCGCTGTCTTTGTCGACCTTAGCAGGCGAAAACCATCTCCGCGCGTTGCTCCTCGCGCAAGTGGGTGCACAGTATTTGCACACAGCACCTGCGCATGCTATGGAGACGTTGGCAGTATGCGAGACGCTTGGCGCTGGGATGGGCGCGAAACAGAAGGATGTGGATGGTGTGAAAGGTGGAGGTAAAGGAAAGGAGAAAGAGAGAGACACGGACGGTAGCGATGGCTCATTAGGCAACGCCCCGCTTCGCCTCTGGGTCGGTGAAAGATTTCTCGGTATGTTTCATTCCTTTTACGTAGTTCAGTGCTGACAGACCAGCACAGAGATATTTAAGCGCGCAAATAAGCCGCACCGAGTGGCAAAGCAGGAGGTGTATAATGCCATGTATCGGGGTGCGGTAGAAGGGATGATGGGGAGGGCGAGGTGGCCTTCTGCGGTGGAATCCGATCATGGTGAAATGGTGCCTACCAACGGGGAAGACGTCAAAATGCAGAGTCTGGATCCAGATCAGGATGTTGAGATGTAGGTGTCTGCACCTTTCGTTCGTTTGAGGGTGACGGAGGGCGACTTATCTTGGACGCTGCAGTTTCCGGCTGACTGGACTGACTAGAAGCACTTAAAGTTATTGATACAACATACTCCACGTCTGATCACATAAAGTTTGCACCGCCATCGTATAGCATATCAACCAAGTATTACATACAATACATAACACAGGCACCCTTGTAGAATAACGCCAAAGTCCGAGTTTTTCAGGTATAATCATTGCATTATGGCTGGCTTACTCCAGCATTGGGATATCGTCCGCCGTAAGGTAAGTAACACTAGAGAGGTAAGGTGAATTGATAGGCTCTGCAGAGCATGAAATACAGGTAACAAGATGTCACGGCCCATTTTGGCTACGTATAACAGTCAAAGTTCGTAGTACAAAGAGGTATACATGCACCTTGGGTATTAATCGATACATCCACGAGTTACATCAAACAAGTTCTGCAAATCCAACCCTCGTGTTTGCGTAATCAAACACTGAATAAACGTTCTGAAGAAAAACATCGCCGATGATCGTGAAATCTACAGTGAGTATGAGCAACATTGTCTTGTCCAAGATACCACAGGCTGTACGCACCCATTTCTGAAGACGCAGCAATCCCTGCTAAGCAGTCGCTGGAAAGAACGTCTGGCCCGAGGTTGTACGTCTGCGCGGAGACTTTGAAGGCACGTCTGCCGAACGTGAATGTAGGCACGGTGGAATTGATGGTATCGCACGGAACTACGCAGATGCAGATATTGGAAATCGTGGAAGAAATAAGAAGCTTACTTGTCCAGTATGTATCCGCGCCCTCCGTGTGGGCCGTAGCTCCAGATATGTTCGCGTAGTAACTTTGTGCGATTGAATAGGAGGTGATGACGAAGGTGGTCCCGGTATCAATGATGGCAGTAGCGGCTTGCGACTCAATGACCTCTTGTCCCAACCTCGAAATGACATCCATCTCTACCTGCCAGTAACCTCTATCCGTCACAGCAACATAAGTGAGTGTGTCGGAGTGGTAGAGATCAGTATTTGTTCCTCCGATGACCATTTCGCTGTCTCCTGGAGTAGTAGAGAGCTTGAACCCAAAGACGCTTTGTGGCAGTTTGCCACTTTCGTCCAGCGTTTGGAACAGTGGAGATCCCTCGAACTCTGATATTTCGCGGAATGCCAGACCGGAGAGACCGTCAGGGGGGAAAGACCCGTCCTTGCTGAACTCTGGCGAATACATCCATGCGGCGCCAACAGTCTGATCCTTGGCCTGACAAACCATATTAGTAGAAAGGAAATGGACGTCTGTGATGACAAACTTCGTAACCCCCAACAAAAACGTCATCGACGTACTCCTCGCCCGCTGTCTCCCCAGCGCCATACGTCAGCACGAACGGTTGGCCAGAATCTTTGGCAGACGAAGATGCAGCAGGGTCGTACTGTGTATGGCCAGCACAACTAACACTGCATTCGGTAGATGGAAGGACTACGCGAATATTGCTGTCAGTACGGAGATAAAGAAATATATTTCTGAGACTTACATAGGTCTGAGCTGCCAGTATCGAATACCACTTCAGAATGTCGGTGTCATACGTATCACATTGCAGAGTAAATCAAACGAACCTGTAAATGTTTTTGGGGGCGTGCCCACGTCGATCTCGCCGTACCAGAGGTCTGCATTGTAGTTGACAAGGGATACGTTTCCATTCCGCTTTGCAGCTGAGTGAAAGTCGAAGCGACTACTCAGAGGGTGGGGAGACCCAGTGTTCCGTTGGTAGGCTCCCATGGTAGCACTGTACTTACTAGTTGGCGTCAGGCTGATGAATTTAATGAAAGAAAGAATTCCAGACATACCGAGATACAAAACCCAGCTGTTCCCACACAGTCCTCGGATCAAACACTTTGGAGAAGTTAGCAACATTTGATCTCGAGTTGAGAAGAATGTGTTGTGTGCGACCCATATCAGAATGAGCATTTGGCGGAGGAGTGGGTGACCCGACAACTGCTACTACAAAAAGCGCACATCGGATTGCAGCAAACATCATCTCGTAGGTGTATCAGGTTGGTGGTGTAGAATGAGAGAGGAGACGCAACGACCAGTTTTTAATGTGTGTGTCGAGAAAGCCGCAGCCATCGCGTCTGAGCATGAATGCAAGCTTTCAGTTTGAACTGAAGGTAACTTGGACTTGATCCAAATTGATGGTGTTGCTAAAAGTCACGTGATTCATCTCGGGCGGGTCGGGCAGCTGGAAACTAACATTTTACCGCGCCAGTGAAATTATATTCGAAAGGCAATCCACTCGAGTGCTCTGGAAGACTGCAACGCTCTAGGCTAGGTCTGGAATGGTCTAGCCAGGTCCATATCTGCTTTTGATTGAAATCTTGCAAGAGGTGAAACGTTGAAACCCCCGATCAGTACTAGTTCAAGTTGGCTGCTCGCCTCCTTGCAATCATAAAAAAGGTACGACCCGCGAATATTAATGATCGAGTAACATTATACTATAGCTACCCCCAACTCAGAGTTGGTTTCAATGTCACTATCGTACGCCTACGAGGCGTCAACATCGGACTATATTTAACGCGTGCGGCCAGGTCGAGATGGTTTCTATCCCCCCATGGTGGCGAGATATACATTGAGGTATTTGAGAGTCTCTTTTCAGAGCAATCAATGACTATTCGCTTCCAACTGCTCCGATCTGTCACGCCTGGACCAGTTATAAATTAAGATTTCTTTTGAAGTTGGTTTTGGCATTGAATTATATTTTATCACCCGGACTAATAGTTCAAGTTGTACAATGAGACATATCCTGGCAGGTTTGGTGCTCTCGACCGCGCTTGTTGCCCGTGCGTGGGATGGGCAACCAACTCACATTTACGGTGTTAATTTGGGTTCATGGTAAGCGCTACTCTATGCCTCCGACCGACTGTTTAACTCAAGTGGTAGCGCAGGTTAGTCCTAGAGCCATGGATGCTTCCTCAAGGTGATAAACCAACGAACTTGGCACATACGTGTTCACTGAACAAGTTTCTTCAGAGTGGTTGGATATGGGTGGACAGTCATGCGCTGATGATTGTTGGACATGCATTGCAACTGAGTCGTACGTTCCAGTTCTCCGCTGTTTGCATGTGAAATTTAATTGTTCTGCGATAAAATAGGTCATTTGCACAGGCGTATCCAGACACCGTCGACACTACATTCGCTCAACACTGGGACACATGGTTTACGCAGGACAATGTCAATACGCTGAAGGCGGCCGGTATTAACACTGTCAGGGTTCCTGTGAGTCGATTCCAAGGTCATTGCGAACTTGGCCAAACTAACGTTGGACCATTTGATCTGCTTTTCCTTTCATGCGTTATGCATCGTGTTCATTCATAGCTGGGATATTGGATTGTGGAGGCCTTAGTCGATAGGTCTCACGAATCATACCCTCGGGGAGGTCTCAAGTATCTGGTTAGAAACGTTTTCTCCTGTATTTCAATTCTCTGGTTAAACTCGAGTGTGTAGCGTCGGGGCTTGGGCTGGCTGAAAGATGCTGGGATCCAAGCGATTCTGGATCATCATGCATTACCCGGGGTTCAAACGCCTGCGCAAATGTTCACCGGAAAGTAAGTTCCTATTTGTATCCTATCTGTTCTGTACTGAGATTGATCTTTATCAGTTGCACTTCCGATGTTCAATTCTACGTGAGCCATTTCACAGCTGGTAAAAGCAATAACTACAAATCCTTACATACAGACTCCATACAACTACCACCGTGCACTGGTGTGGACAGCAGTCATGACTGCGCTTTCTCACCTGGACCCTGATTTTGGAAGTGTCTTTGCGATCGAGGCAATCAATGAACCCATTATGAATGCGACTCAAACACCCAACTATGGCACCTGTATGTGTCATTCATCATTCTTTTATTTGTACCCTGAACCTTCGTACAGTCCAAAGGAACTTTGTCCAGGTAATCCGCGCAGTTGAGCTCACACTCGGAATATTTGTGCCGTCATCCAGTTTATCGCTATCGGTACCACTGTCAGCCTCGAACAACTTCACTGCTGCACTGAGTGCGACATCTTCAGCAACCATATTCCCAGTGGAGGTGCGAGCGGCACTTTTAGAAGCCGTTCCAATTTTACTTGAGATTGGAGTAGCGTCCGGTTTGCAGACCATATTCGAAGCCTCACCCTTCAAGCGATCCCGTACTTCATTGGTGGCCAAGTGAGTTCACTACAGGTCCTTGCTAGGATGCATCGATGATGGCATGGATAGCTTCATGGATGTGAACTGGCAGTCCGATAATCCGTCTAATCCAGCTGACGTAGCGATTGGTCCCCAAGCTTACGACAACCATTTGTATTACTCGTGAGCACGCAGTTGACTATATCAAATTCTCATGGTTTCTTAATTTTGTCTTTACAGGTTTGGCGTATGTCGCGTGAACGTAGCCTATTGCTTCGCATTAACAAATTTATAGGGGGTTGCGGCTGCTGACCCAATGTCTTACTTGATCAGTATCTGCAGTGCGTCTTCCTCGTCAGTTCGCCAATGATGCACTCATTTTTGGTAAAGATCTTTCACGTATCCAGGCTGACGCAGCGGTCGGCGACTCTCCACTCTGGTTCGGAGAGTGGGGACTTTCGACGGAGTTCAATGCCACGGACGAGTTCCTTTACAAATGGGCTGATGCACAGAAGTTGGCCTATAGTAAAGGTGCCGGATGGATTGTACGCGTTCCATTGCATTTGATCAAGATGTTTGCTCAAAGATAAATACTTCAGTACTGGAACTTCAAAACCGAGATATCACCCCTCACCAATGGGAGTGCACTTGCAAGGCAATGGTTAGTCAAGCGTATCCTAGGGTGATTTACGAAAGATCTGACGGCCGTCTATGTAGGTCTTACCTTGAGGGGTTAAAACTCGGGTTCTTGACCCAGGACCCTGCGGCGTTCCACGATCCGAATGTGTGCGCTCCGTACATGAACAGCGCCACCAATAGCACAAGTTCATGATGTGCGTTCTTGGTACCTAATAAGCGACAGCGCAGAGCGCACCTATATTGGTCCCTGCTGACCCACCATCCTTTTGTCAACATTCCTTACTGATTCCTTATAATGATTGTGCTGGTTTTCTCGCTATTATAACGAAATTGGTCTCAGTCAGACCTAAGCTCACTAGTCTAGTACAAATTATAGGCGAAGTTGTCTATATTACAATTGATAAGATAATCGAAATTGATACAGGCCGGTTCTCCAGGATGGACGTCCAACTCATCAATATCTAGCAAATGACCATCTTAATGAGCATTGTTAAAACGGTATCTGATGGCAAATTGTGTAGGTGCAGCTCGACTGGCGGTTTGGAAGGATGAGAGAACGATGCAGTATTGCCCGTATGCCACATTTTGCTGAGAAATCGATGAAGCACCTAGTGATGAGCCGAGAGTATTGTAGTGTGGAGATTCCGAGAGAAATTGGTAGGCCTATAAGTGGGCAGATGAACGACACCTAGATTTCACCCCATTCCGATATTCGCGAATAAATAGATTCTTGGTGGTGCGGGATAAACAATTGCGACTGTGATGCTAACAGGGAAGAGATATACATAAAACAACTTGGGGTTCAAAGTGAACTCTATTTGCGGATTGACCTATAAGCTGAACCCAATATCGTACCGATCTCATTTCTGGACTCCCACAGGGGGAAGACGATGCAAAATGACCCACTCGCGAAAGCACATATACTATCGAAGAAACTCGGTGAGTACTCCATCGAACCGCGTGTTGACGTCGAGAACTCACATCGAGCAGGCTGTCCAGAAGGTATAAAACTTCTTGCTGAAGATATAATGAGAGAAGAACAGGGGCAGTGGGACTGATTCTCTATCAGTTGTGTAGCAAATAGAATAGCGCTGCAACACTGACCAAGTATGACGACAATCAATGTCAAAATCGACGAATATATAAGCGCCTTTCTGAATACCATCTTGAGAGATCTGAGACGTTTTTCATCATCGTTCTCCAACCCAACGTCCATGATGTTGGAAACAGGTTGTTTCAACGATGAATCCTTTTCATCCCTTTTCTCATTCTGCGATTCGGTGTCCGATGCTCTGTATGCAGTGTCGACACCTGAAATGTCACTCCTGATTGTGTCTTCTAAGGTGGCGATTGCTCGGGTGCCCGAGAAGTCATAGTCAGCAGGGTCTGTAGAAAAAAATCAATATTAGATACTACAGGGCAGCAAGAACGAACTCAAGAGCGACACCCCCACTGTAAAAATTCCAGAGAAAAATAGCCCCGCGAGAGCACTGCATAGGGCGGAGTACGGTTGCGCAAGGTTACTGATGTTGATTTGGCCTGAAATTGATCAGCATAAGGTAGACGGGATTTTGAAAGATCAGACCATATATCTTCCAGCATCCAATCATCCAAGCCAAAATTCCGAAAAATGCACCGCCTATAGCACCACAGAAAACGCCTGCCTTCGTAAGCTTAGACCATGAAACGGTAAGTCCAATGGGAATAACTGCAGGACTGAGTATAGAGCCTCTGTATTCCAGATAGTCTCAGTATGTACTTCATCTCGCAACAATCAAAAACCTTACTGGACATAAAATAGCTTTCCCACAAGTTCATTAGTAGAGGCCATCAGCGTCGGGAACGATCTAACTCACCCATCCAAGGTCGATGTGAACAGCATTCAGCTATCGAGTTTGAGCTCATGCGGTAGACAAACGATGGGATAAATGACACTTACAATAGTTGCCCAACAGCCCATCCAGACTGCCCAGAAACATATGAAGTAGTGAGATACCCTCACTATCTCATCGCCAGTGGCATTGGGACGGAAATAGGTCCGGTATATGCTAATGTACAGGGTCATTCCCCATAATAATATCCACGCCATGTGTTACCTACTCATACGAACTGATCGTGTATGGTCAGGTGGTTGCCTTTGGAAGGATGATGCGGCAACTCACAATAGACTGGATACGCCAATGAGCTCAGCGCTCGCGGCTGAAGTCACGGCCATACTGATATCTTGTCAGAACATTGTATCTTCCCACCATGATATATACGTACAACACTACAAGGAGCACGGTGATCGCGCCACCTTTGCCCATGAGCACAGCAGCTGCAGCAGGAGCTGCAAGACCTGCGCTAATCTGACTTGGAGAAAGCGGAGAAGGATAGGTGGGAAAGTCTGGCTACAAATATTGGTGAGCTATTATCTTTGGGATGTACGGTAACTGGACTTGCATTAGTCAGAAGAGCGCGAGCACTCAGACCGAGACAAGATGCAAATGCCCACGGAACAGCAAACCAAGAAATACCACCAAGCATCTGTCGGGCTGTCAGGTTATTTCAGAGCCTACAAACGCGAAACTGACGTATGCCTTGGTGGTCGACTCTGGATGACTTGCAATTGCCTAACTTGCTCAGCCAGGAGCATATTGCAAAGCGTAAGGCTCACCCTTTGCCAGTAACCTATGCAAAATGTTCCATTAGAAAAACGTAGAGTAGATAATGCATGTATTAGAGCCAGACCTTGATCACAGAAGAGTCCACTAAAACCAGAAAGGATTACGATAGCACCAAACACAAGGCCTTGGTCGGATTTCATGGTCAAGTAGCTGCCCCCTTGATTACCTACCACTGGAGTGACGATGCTAGCCTGTTCTAAGAGATCATAGAGTCTGGAGACACTACCAATGGCGGGTGATGTTCCGCTATCAAGATATTCCATGATCGACTAGCCCCACGCAGGAGAAAACACTCACTATGCTCGGAATGTGAATATGTAGATGATAATGAACAAGATAATGGTATGACTCCAGTCGCAGATAAATGTCGCGCGCAGACCACCAAAGATGACATAGACAGCAATACCAATAGGGAGAAGAAAGCATGCCGCGATGGTGTTCATGCCGGTCAATGCGTTAACAGTCGCAGATCCTCCAACTGTCTTAGTCATGAGTGAAACTGACAGTTGAGAACAAATATTAGGACATACGTAGCAGAGACCCGCAGACCAATAAGATACACAGAAACCCATAAAATGTAAAGAGAATGTGGGCGCTTGTCCCAAATCGGGTCTTGACAATCTAAATGCCAGTGAACGAGTCAGAATACCTTCCGAATTGGTTATTCATACCTCGAGGAATGTATGGGCACCGTTGGCGTTCTGCTTCACCTTGGAGGCAACCATGCCAAACATAGCAACCTGAATGGTGCCACCAACACCATACCACCTACACAGGGTCAAAAAGGTGAGCTAACGAGGTAATCGCAGGTCCTAAAAGATACACACCAAGGACCGCTAACGCCTTTCAACTGGGATTAACACGCATCCCATAACCGATATGAAAGAAGTCCTCACCGAATGTATATGCAACAGTGCTCGATTGCAAAAGCGTAGCGCTCCATGTCCACGCACTCACGCTACACGCACGTTTAGTCCAACAACACTTGGGAAACCAAAACGAGTAGTAGTACGCACATGCCACAGCATATTAGACCAGGCTTTCATTGATCATGAGGTAGCGGACAGGTGTCTTAAAATACGAACTGTACCTTAACACTCCGGGAAGCACTCTTGTGATAACTTAGAATTTAGAACAACTATAGTATTGAACCATATCATACCGTGAATTCTTCCGAAGAAGCAGGAGAAAATTTGAAAAATTTGCGTTGCAGTGTGGTCAAGATGAACATGACGCCTGCAAAGAAGAACCCCACACCTGAAAATAGTCAGCCAAAGGTTTCCAACCTTGTTATAGACCTCATACCAACAACAACGCCATAACCAACACTCTGGGCTTCATGCAGGAGTCTGTGAGCGATGGAAGCATTCAAAATATAGACATACCAAGGAGTGGCTTGAACTCGGAATATGACGGCTCGCTGGACATGATAAATGTTGGATGGGAAAAGCTGCTAGCAGCTCAACTATGTAGTTGGCGAAGCGTTGGTATGCCGTGATATAGGGTCAGCTGTTATCTTATGAGATATTCTTTTTTTTGCTTCAGAGTGTGGTCCTTTGGTCATCTATCGTATCTGAAATGAGATATTCTTAGAAATGTTGGATCTGTGCAACTATCAGATGGCAGCAAGATATGAGCGTCCAGCACCTGGTAAATCTATGATAACACAGAGCATGAGTGAGCTGGAACTCTAAGTTAGCCAGTTGATAAGTGGTACTTACCGAACGGCATCCCGACAAACAAACTGAATCCTCGGATTATCAAGGCATGGTGATTGGCTTATCAAGAAGGCATGAGTTACGCATATGACGATATGCATACGTATCACTGTTCCGTCCAGGCATGGCATAGTACTGCCATGAACATGACGTTAATGTTGATTGGGATGCGGAGAACAAGGGGCGGCCAAGTTTCAGAGCTGATTTTTGGAGCCAAGCATTTCGTTGCAACTTGAAGTTGCAATTGCCGTTCTAGTAGTAAACATATTGATGCGCAACCCCAGAAAATGTCTTCGAGTGAATTGCGATGGTTTCATTGGATCTGGTCAAGCCGAGCTCTCAGGCTATTCATAGTACTGTACAGCTACGCACTTAAGTTCGTCACACCATCACAGGGCGAGCGAACCGAACCTATTTCGTGTGACAGTCACACGCATTTTGAGGTCATCGAACTTAAGTTGTGACATGCGGTAAAAACACGAAAACATGCAGTAAAAACACGAAAAAAGTCCTAGTGCTGCCAAAAGTCCTTATATTGAGTATTTGCAATGTGTCTCTGCGCTCGTACAAAGAAAGAAATACGTCTGCCTAATGAGACTCCCAGCCCAGTCGGTCATCTCACCCAACGAACCTATGCGCAACATGTCACACGTCACACACCCCTTCGAACTTTCGAACCTAATGTTCATTCGGTCACACCCATATCAGGTCGAACTTAGGTGCGTAACTCTACAGTATTCAATCGGTAGAAGAAAGCGGTGTTAGGCGGCGCTTCTCTCCGTTTCAATTCAGCACTTACGATTTCTTCCTTTCTAGATGCTACAGCGAAGTCACTTCACAGAAGGCTATTATGTTTTACGGATACAATAATTCCTTCACCCGGTTTATTGACCATGTCGTTGGATAGGATATAAGACACCACGAGAATATTGACACCAGCAGAGAGCAGCAGATATCGATCCCCAATATGGCCACAATCCTGTTGACATTTTTCGAAATAGCTAGGTCCAAGGCATACAGTCACGCATATCTTTCAAACTAGTGAGTCTTAGCTCGCACCACGAGTCCTCATACTCACTGTGTTCTTGCCAAAGCATGCTGTTTTGTATGTTCTAAGCGCAGGGTCATGTACTCCATCACTTACATCACCACCGTTGACGCTATATGATCTCAATAATACCGCCTAAAGACATTAGGGATCTTGCTATGAACAGAGAAGGAGCCAGTCTGAACAACACCACTCATCACAGTAGGCACCAGGGCGGGAAGAGTCGAGGGAGGCCCATTTAAATGGCGGAGCACAGAACTGGCTGCCACTGCGACTCTTGAGGCTACCAGAAGTTTGTTTATTGTGCTCATGAGTGAGTATCCAAGGGTTCTCGGGGCGGATTCTGTCGTAATCCAGTAAGACGCACGCTAACCCTCCGAATCTAAGTGTATGTTGGTCGGTACGTCTTCTTTGATGCTTGACAATATATGCGCCAATTTATAAAGTATGATGGACAGTTGGACTCATCCGCGGATGTGTACCAAACCTGCCCCGAGCTATCTATGAATACACAAGCTCCCGCGGCCCGCTACATCGCCCTTTCCCTCAGTATCAATGAGGGTGGTCGACGTTTGAATTCAGTCAACACGCACAGCACATACTGCTCCGTCGCTCCTCAGTTTATACGCAGAACCACCATCTTCCGGAGGGAACTCCAGACGTGCAGACTCTGTCGAGCATCGCGGGATGTCACCCATTCCAGAGGGTGTCTCACATTTTGTTTGCTCTCAAGACGTTCTAAGGATCAATCATCTGGAAGACCTTGGAAGATGGAGTTCACCTTCATCTACAGAGATTTTCGGTATCGCTGCTTTTTAGCTATGTAGACAGGTAGGGAAGAGCGAAATTCTGCCGTTTCCATCGTATTCTGATCATTCGTTATAGTTCAGATTTCTATCAACGTTTTCATCGTTCGACATCGTTTGTTGTATAATCCTTGTGCTTTATCGTACGAACGAGCGAACAGTTGCAACTTCATGTCTATAATCGAGTGGTCTGATGCAGGGAGATAGATAAGCGATAGACGCCGTGTGTAGCTGTTGTGTCATAAGCCATAGGAACTCTTGTTTCATGTTCGTTCGCTGGCATATCTCGCCACGACCTCGTTCTCACAGGAAAGGTTTTACGATAAACCAAATCACCTCTACTTCAGGACGCACACCAAGATCTCCCGATGGCAACCATCGATGCCCAGGACCTCCAAAGGATGATTAGTCGCTTTCGAGTTCTGATTGTAGGGAGAGCAAACGCAGGCAAAACGACCATTCTTCAGAAGGTCTGCAACACCATGGACGACCCAGAAATACACAATTCCGAAGGAAAGAAGGTGCGGATGATGATCTATGTCATGCACGTATCTATCGCTGATCAATTGTGGGTAGATTGATGCTGCCATCGTGAAATCCTCGATCAAGGTGTGTGCATCATTTGCCTTGTGGGCATACTTGCGCTGACGGACACTCAGCGCGGAAATCACGACATCACGAACGAAATGGTATTCAAGAGCAATCCCGGTTTCGTCTTTCATGACTCGTGCGGTTTCGAAGCGGGCTCTGAAGAAGAATTTGAGAACATGAAAAGATTTGTCTTGCAACGTGCACACACAACGAAATTAGAGGAGCGAATCCATGCTATCTGGTAAGCAACTTCCTTCTGATGTTCCGCGCTTGCTGATTGCCATCAGGTATTGTATTCCAACGGACGACCCAAGTCAAACATTCCAACGGTCGGAAGAGAAGTTCTTCTTGGAGTGCGACACTAGGCATGGTGAGCTTGCAACTTTATTGTCACTTGCTGCTCTCAGAGCCTCAGACTAAATGATCGATCTTCAGTTTCCGTGGTCGCGGTTTTCACCAAGTTCGAAGCTCTGCGTCCGTTTGCGTATGGAGACATCAAGAAGCAAATATACGAGGGGTATCAGGAGAAGAATGCTCAAAGAGGATTGCCCAGCGCGTTGAAGAACTGCTCACAAACACGTGTTTTGAAAGAGTTGTACAAGCCCGAAAATTGTGCCCGTCCTAAGTATCATGTATGCTTGCAGAGTAAGTGGTTCAGATTGACTTGTCCCATATCAAAGTTGATATTGGTAACCGTTCTAGATATAAACCAACAGCCTATTACAGACTGTAACAATCTACTGGAATGTAGATGATGCTCGAGCCAAGTTTCCTGTTTTTCGATGTGTTTTCCCCATACTTATGCGCTCGCATTGTGCACGATACCAAGCACCCCAACTTCAACTCCTGAGTGGTGCAGACTGTGATGTTTCCTTGTTTCTGATGCTCTTCTCCCATGCTATGCGCTATATTCGGCACTCCAGCTTCAACTACTGAGCACTGCAGACTGTATTGGGTTTCAACGCCCGTTTTTCTCATCATCCCTCGTTTTGCTTTGTGCCATGTAGATTTAGGCTTGCGCTCGTCAAATGATCATTGTTATTTCTTTTTTCAATCATGACAATCCAAGAACTAGCTCCGTATGCTACAATGCTCAAGCGGACGGGCATGACGACTGACAAGATTGTCGATGCTCATCGAGACAGTACACAGCCTGGGGGAGCAAGTCACCGCATCTAGCCCTCGTGTGATGATGCCAATTCTAGAAGTGTAGTGCCTTCTCACACATGTTGTAGCCACGACGAACGCCAGAGATAAGTAGCGCCAGTAAATCGAACAAAAAATCAATGCACCAATCTTAAACATACATCTTATACTTATCGCATCTGCAGTATCTTTCTGCACAGCACGAAAGCCATACACACTGACCAAGCCCAACCCCGCCAACTTTAACTGCAATCTTGATTGGAAAAGGAGATATCCCTGTCACGTTCGTGATGAGAGGAACGGCCGTGCGCCTGCGCTCCGACGAAGTATGGGTCAGCATCACGTTCAAAGCTTTCAAAAGCGTCGATGCAATATTGGCATTGAACTCTTGCCGGTCTGTAATCGATAATGTTAATTGCGTCAGATGGAGAAATCCTCACCTTCTGATTTGGGTTGTCGCATCTCGACATTCACAATGCTATCGTACACACACGTCAGCCGCTCCGTCCAACGAAAACCACCAAAGAAAAACACTATTGTCCCCATAGCACGTCCTCCTCCCCGACGTACACCTGAAACCAGGACTTCTTCGCCTTTTTCTCCGAAAATGTTACTATGATCTGAATGAAGAATGAGATGAACAGGGTGTCAACTTCTATGAACGATAGACAACAAAGAAAAACCCACCTGACCACGTTTATTTGCGCCACTCTCGATGCCTTTCCAAAATATCCACTTTCTCAGTCACGAGTTGCTCCATCTCAGGATCCGAAACACCTGGCTGAGGCATAACGACGACTTGGTGCTCCTAGTCGAGCGGTGTGAAACCTAGGAAACTCACCATGGTGACATCAAGGACCTCGAATGTTTGAGGCTTCACGGTGCCGAACAGCCTATGGAAAAGTATTGAGTGAAGAATTGCGGTGGGAACCTCTTTGGCGCTGTGTCTGTCGAGGATCTGGGCTAGTGTCGCATCAGAGGTTTTGGCAAGGAGAGAACGAGTGGGTACGCACGACATCGATTGTCACGGTGGCGATATTTGCATTAAAATTCCTGTATTGCGCCAGCCTTGACGAAAAAATACCGATAGGTTAGTGCTGGTGCTTCAAACTCTGCGTAAGATTTTCGACCTTCGAAGTTCAAGTGTACACAAGAAAATATCCGAGTCCTTTTTCCCTTTAAGGAGTGATCACTGTTCATAAGCTAAACCACCAGTAAACGGAAATACACTTGGATATGCCTTACATTTTGTAAAGATACACTATGCATACAAGCACGTTCTAATTAGCGAGAGGTCCGCAATGAACTCGTCAGGGTACTGTTCGAAAAGCCAATCTAAAAGCAAAAACACAGCCGGCTGCTTCCATGTTCTCCTGCATTGGTTCTGACCTGCCCTGCTGTAGTCGGCTGTTGCGAATCTGGATTAGGCGAAGGAGGAGGAGAAACATGGTCTTCATCAGGTATCCATTCATCATCTTTGCGGCGTGGAGCACCTGCGGCAATGTTCCGCTGTAACTTGATATATGAGCACTGAAAAGCGAGAAAAAGGGTCACACACACACCTCTTTACCCTGCGCGAGAGGAACGTCGACGATAGCTGGCAATGCATGATCTGTCTGAAGGGACCACCAGGTTGACAGGCGGTGTAGGTGGGATTTGAAGGTTGTAGAAGTAGGAACAGAGGATTGGGTGGTCGGCGGCCGAAACTAATAAAATGTCAGTCGAATATATGATAATGGCGGTCCACACTCACATTATCATTGAGATTTACGATTGGATGAGGCAGGGGCGCTGTAGCAGGGAACTGCAAGGGGGCCGTCGAGTCAACTGTGAAGAAGATGAATGAAAGAGACATACGTCCAGGGGATTGCGGGGCTCATTGGTGCGGGTGGGACGAATGGTGTCCGTACGAGAAGAAGAAAGGAGTTTGCGTAAAAAGCCAAAGAAAACGGGTTGCCGGGGTTCAATTGTAACTGCTAGCGGGCGAGGAACGGAAGGTATGACTGATATTGCTTGTTTACGACGCATGGGATGACGTGTTGCGTCAGACTGCGATAGAGAATGGTGTGATTATATGAGTAAAAGAGCAGGACCACATACGTCAAGCAGTTTAGCGAGGTGAGCGCTTGTCTGCAAAAGATTTCAGCACGCGAATCATGAATGGGTGAATACATACCTCTTTTGCAAGACCGATACTAGCAAGAATATTGGCTGGAATATCGCATACGTAGATTCTGGCCTCATTCAAGGTCGTATAAGCCAGTTGGTGTGAGTCAGGTGAGAGTATAAGGGAATGAAGGGCTTGGACGTTGAACGAGGCGAGGAGTTGGCGCGACTCGAAGGACCAGAGCTTGATGGTGTCAGAGGAAGCACTGGCGAGAAGAAGACAATCAAATGAGAGTGCTAGACTCCAGATGTGATCGGTGTGCCCTTGGAAGGAATCTCCGACAGTCTTGAGCGTCGACGCGTCAAACTCATGAATTGTATCGATGTCATCCGACTCGGATGCGAATACGGCCGTGATAGATTTGCCTTTTGTTGTCCAAAACACCGGTAAATTGATCCAGCCTCTAGTGTTAGATCCTTCTCTGGTGACAACCAATTTCTGTGATTGGACGTCCCACACCTCAAGGTATTGCTTAAACTTGGACTCCCATTGATCGAAGTTGCATGATGTCACCGCCAGCTTCCGAGAGTCTTGAGAGAGCCCAAGTGCGTCCACGACTACACCAGTAGATCTGAATGGACCAGCCACGAGTTTGCCTGTGTCCAAGCTCCATATCTGTATCCCATCGTATGACTCACCCGCTAGCAACGTGCTGTCCGCCGAGATTTCAATGCATTTTAAGGTCATGAGGTCATCATGAAATGTTCTCATGATTCCCGTCTCGACCTCACACACTTTGAGCACCTCATCAACTACAGTGACAACCCATCGACCATCCCTTGACACCCTCACTCCATGTACACGATCCTTGTAAACTTCCCGAGCTTCCTTGATCTCCTTACCCTCCCGCAGGTCCCATCGTCGAATCGTCTTATCGTATGATCCGCTGATCATTTGCTTGCCGTCGGGAAAATAGGAAATGTATGGAATGTATTTGAACTCTTGACGATCACCCTCGGACAGGGTCAACATATATGGTTTATGTCCCTCCAAGGTCATCGCCGGTGTCAGAACCGATGTGTTTGCTGCTATACTGGGTTGTTTCGAGCTGGAAGCCATGGCGGTTGTATTTTATGGCTATTATTTGGGTGTGTTCGGTGAGTTGTCCTCTAAATCGTATGCACTAGGCCTGACGTTGCCAAGTATCGAGACCCGCTGTACTTTTCCTGTTTGGGCCAATCGTCAGTCCATCAGCGCAGGATGCTCGTGTGGGGTATTCACGTTACACGAATGTTATCAAGGACGAGGAACGATACCTTGATTGATGGGCTTGCTATCTTTTATATCTTTCATGGCTGTGCGTTGTACAGCATGTTCTTTTTTGGCCATCGCCATCAAACTTACCTCTCTCTCCAGAGCAATATGTAAGAATACAGCATTGCGAGCGGGGTAGAAATCTGATCATTCTGTCACCCTCAAACGGAGACAGATACTTGCTTCGAATCTTCAGTTGAATTTGTAGACTCCTCTTTATATCTGGGCCAAATGCACCAAGGGTGGACGATGGGTTCATCGATTCCATTCGCCAACTGCAAGTACTGTAATACACCTTACATTCTGTGAAAAACGACAAATTTTGACACGTCAAACATGTATTGCAGTGGGTGACCATGCTCGAGCTAATATGAAGGAAGTTCAAGGAACCGATCATTCTCAAGCACCTGCGTAAAACCGGCTTCAAAAAGGCAAAACGTCAGATCAAGAACTCACGATGACACGATAACCACTTACCATCACCACCGGACTGAAATCATCAATCGTCTCATCCTCCGCTTCCTCCGAATCATCTGTGTCTTCTTCCACTACGAGATCCCCTCCATCAATCTCTTCCTCTTCCTCTTCGTACATTTCGACCAGCAGGGGCGAACCAGCTTCCTCGACAATAATGGGAGAAGGCGGATCAGGAACTACATCTTCCCCTATCTTATCATCATCACTAGACCTAGACTCAATAGGCTCAAGCCCAGGAAGGTGATCACTCTGCCCCTCCAATCCAACAGCCGACATGGTTTGAACAGGTGCATGAACCTGATTCGTATGCTGGGATTGAGGTTGGAGCGACGGCATAATCTGAATAGGCACCGGAAGATGCCCGTGATGCAGAGGCGGGATCACCATCATGCGCCGTGCTGGCTGAGAGGGTCTGCTTTGCTCTAAGGACGGGTTCCAGTTGAAGAAGAGGCCGCTATCTGTCATTTGTAGACATGATAGATATAAAGGATAGGCATCGGCTGTCGTCGTATTTTGCTATGCGGAAGATGGATAGGCCAGGGCAGCGAGGTGCCTCTGCAGTTAACTTGCTGATTTCAGGGTCTAGAGATAGTACGATAAACAAACCCTTGCGCTGCGATAGGTTTAACACTGAGAAGTCCATGTGTGGAAGGAGACTTTTAGTTAGAATTGCGATAAGCTTCAAGTCTCACTTCAAACCGTCACACTGCCAGATAAACGTTTTCAATGCTTGTGTGATTCTTTGCGCGAACCACTTATACGTCAATAAAACCAGTACTTCGTATTAGATCCGAAGACGGCACGTACGGAGCATGCCTTGAATGTACATGTGAAATGCTGGTGGACGAAACCGACCGATGGACACACCGCATCCAGCCCTTGTGTGATGATGCCAATTCTAGAAGTGTAGAGGGCTGCCTTCACGCATGTTGTAGCCATGACGAACGCCAGAGATAAGTAGCGCCAGTAAATCGAACAAAAATCAATACAAAGTCTTGAAACATACATCTTGTGCTTATCGCATCTGCAACATCTTTCTGCACAACACGGAAGCTATACACACTAACCAAGCTCAACCCCGCCAACTTTGACTGCAATCTTGATTGGAAAAGGAGATATCCCTGTCGCGTTCGTGATGAGAGGAACGGCCGTGCGCCCGCGCTCCGACGAAGTATGGGTCAGCATCACGTTCAAAGCTTTCAAAAGCGTCGACGCAATGTTTGCATTGAATTCTTGCCGGTCTGTAATCGAGAATGTTACGACAAAATGGCGTCAGATGGATAAATCCTCACCTTCTGATTTGGGTTGTCGCATCTCGACATTCACAATCCTGTCGTACACACGTCAGCCGCTCCGTCCAACGAAAACAACCAAAGAAAAACACCATTGTTCCCATGGCACTTCCTCCTCCCCGACGTACACCTGAAACCAGGACTTCTTCGCCTTTTTCTCCGAAAATGTTACTATGATCTGAATGAAGAACGAGATGAACAGGGACTCAACTTCTATGAGAACAAAGAAAAACTCACCTGACCACGTTTGTTTGCGCCACTCTCGATGCCTTTCCAAAATATATCCACTTTCTCAGTCACGAGTTGCTCCATCTCAGGATCCGAAACACCTGGCTGAGGCATAACGACGACTTGGTGCTCCTTAGTCGAGCGGTGTGAAACCTAGGAAACTCACCATGGTGACATCAAGGACCTCGAATGTTTGAGGCTTCACGGTGCCAAACAGCCTATGGAAAAGTATTGAGTGAAGAATTGCGGTGGGAACCTCTTTGGCGCTGTGTCTGTCGAGGATCTGGGCTAGCGTCGCATCAGAGGTTTTGGCAAGGAGAGAACGAGTGGGTACGCACGACATCGATTGTCACGGTGGCGAGATTTGCATTCATACCTGCAGGCAGACTGCAGAGTGTGAACTGAGTTAGTGGAGCATGAAACAAACGATTCGCAGTCGATCGCCTAGGTTCGTTGGAACTCTAAAAGGGATGTGGATCGGTTGTACGTTGTCGGTAATCTTATCTTGGCTCAAGCTAATTTCATTCTCCGTGTCAAATTATAATTTTGATCATCATTGTTCGACGTTCTGCACGTATTTATCAAGCCGTGTACATATTTCTCCCGTCACATCAGATGTATTGAATCTTGCAACGGCAACGTTTCAGGCAGAACGTAAAAGATCAAACGCCGTGTAGGTGGAGCCTAGCAAAAGTACTAGTGGACACGGTCGCTACATCAACACCCGGTGCAGTGATACTATTTAAAAACCACATACCAAAAAGAGGAAGTTCACCAAGTATGCCACCGCGTGTATTACGCTACATACACGGACATCGTGAGCAGGTGATTCCGAAAAGGATCAAGTCTCACGTACTTTGACTGGATCTCCAGTGGTGTACCCTAGAGTATACAGAACACGGGACAGTGCCCATAAACCACATGCATATCCGGCCAAGACAGGGTGTCTCATTGAAGTTGTCAAAGTGCTAAACCAGCCGCAGATGAGAGAAGATATGCAGGGGTTCAGCAGAACTCTCACGTCACAATAATAATAGGCATGTGCTCAATCGTGTTTTGGTGGGCGCCTAAGAATCATCGTGAGTGAGAAAGGGACCATGTATTCGGTGAATGATGATTTACGTTGGGCACAGTTAAAGAGGAGAGCTTCTTTAGAAGCATCAGCTTCTGCTTTCTCGGCATACACTGCAAAACACCCTTGTTGAGCATTCCGACATTACTTGGTAGCAATAGCACGTACGTTGAGGGTACTTGATCCCCGATTTTTTTCTGTGGCCGCCTACAACTAGTGCCTGCCAGCCAAGAACCCAAGCAGTGGATACCAGTCCAGCTGCTACATATCCGAAACTTGAAAATAGTGATGTAAGACACCATTCTGTCGAGCGCGGAGGGACTTACCTAGGGGGGAAAGCAATGGATGAAGACATGATGGCGGTTTGGAAAGAACTTGTGCACGTAGGACAGGTTAGCTGTGGGTCGCCCGGCGACAGGGGACACGTAATCTTCAATGCCGGAAAACACTTGGGAAATCAGCATTCCAGTACTGACACACTAAATTTAGCAAGCCTGAGTAATTTGGCTTGAAGTGCATGATTTGCTGAACGTCGCTCTTTCACATAAATTAATGCAGTCAACAGACAACGCAGAGATACTATTAGATGTGGGACGATGTGTGTTGCTACATAGCAAGGAAGGTAGTACAGCTCTTCGATAAAGACAGGTGTAGAAATGATTGACAGCCAGAGATGGACATATATAAAAGAAGATTTACGGTACGACAATAGGATGAAAAGGGGTCCAGGAGGTTGCGAACTAAGCCATTTGTGAGATCGCTTCAGATGGGTGGCAGCAAGCTTTCGGAGAGATTGTCGAAGGAGATGGAGAATGACTCGTCACGATGTCTGCATCTACCTCATACTCCACGGTTTTCTCGACGTTGATTTCCAGCTGCAGTAAAAGTCAGATAAACCTTATGGCAAAGGTGAAAAGTTGGACCTTGGTTCCAATAGGATCCACCCGCGACTGTAGCAAAAATGAGCTAGACTAATAATTCATTTTCTGATTACTCACGCAGTTATGGTGGTTTGAGTGGAAGCGATTTGACGGCGCCAAGCCCGGGAATGCCAAAGGGAGTTCTGCTGACAAGCCCCTCTGGGCTCGCTCTTGCCGGAGTTGCTTCCGAGCGTTCAATCTGACCAAAGTGAATATCGGATATGCATATAAACGAAAAGTTTATAGTATACGTACGTAGCCAACAGGGAGTTCGCATACACTACAGATCAAAATGCGGGTCAGTAATCGTCATTTCGTTAGAATGACCGACGCACATTTACTGATGACGAAATGCAGTCCCATGAAAATGAGGTTGGTAGGCATTACAAGCCACTGTAGGGTCAACATAGATTAGAGATACAACAGGAAACGAATGACCATCAGGCTCACGCAAATCATGGAGACGACGGTTGCGGCACTGGTACAAATAGTGAGCAACTGATAATCTCGAATTGACCAAGCTTCAGCATTACCTGGTGAGGGAATTGTTCTCCAATGTATACAAGATGACGGAATTTATGACATAGTCCATACTGTTCGTGTAAGCCTTCGCGAATGTGCACGGAGCGTGAACTCACCTCGAAGAAGCTTTGCGGTTAGCTCGCAATGAGTGACAAAGGAACACCGCAATAAGAACGTCGACGAGAGATGACAGTGCAAGACCCAACGTGAAAACCCACTACATTCCCACAACGTTACATGGCACTGTGATACAAAACGTGGGACTTACTCGGAACTCCCGCTTGAACTCTGTGAAGGTCTTCAGATGAATCCTATGCAACGTTATGATTGTTGTGTAGCATCACATATCATTCACTTACATTTCAGCCGTCGTTACTACAGCGACAAAAATAGATTAGCACATCGTATCGTGGTCAATAACGCTGACCTACCAGAGGCAGAACCTAAAAACAACCCTTAATTTCAACAGGCCTGAAGAAGAACGAGGTGACTCACATAACCGCAAAAATGCGAAGACCAACTTCAACAAAGGGCGTTCAGCACTCATCCAATTTGAACAAGACAAGACCTACAAGAGGGGCGGTGATGCGCCAATCACAATGGCTCACTGCAACGGAACGTGGTATGCACTTAGTATAACGATCAATCAGAGAGCTTACGTTTGTGTATGCGATGGGCGAAAAAGCTGCATGATTCGGCCTTAATTTCTGGACATGTATCACCAAAAAAGACTTACCAGTGGACAATGAACGTCAATATTGCCTGCAAAATTAGTCAGAAACTTTGATCGTGTTTGAGAATGACAAGTGTCTGAGACTCACAGTCAGTGCTATTGTCATCTGACACAAGACTAAAATCAGAGCGTGTGTAAACTTGGATCGAATTTACGCACTGCCACGGTGCTGCACAACGTGGTCAAACAGAGAACAGACAATTGTGACAAGAAAGGACGTACTTGGGTATATCATTTATGTTCGATGTATCGCCAAAGTTCTGTATCAGATAAATCCATATCGATGCACAAACCAGTGCAGTATGAACACTATCCAATGCCCTGAACATGGTGTAACTTAGTGTCAGTACTTGAGAGTCATGTTCACTGAAGGTACCGACCATATCACGGCAACCTTTCCAAAGAACACCATCGTCAAAGGTTCAGCGAAGCAACAGGTCACTATATGCCACTCACGATGGCCTTCCTCCAGGGTAGATCTGTGGGGTATAGCTTAAAGTAAACGAATGATTGTACTGTAACGATCCCCGAAAGTCTAGCATGTGGCGAGAAACCCATCAGGACTAGTGGACAGACGGGATTAAGTTAAAACTTACGCAGAGGCCACGAAACCGCCGAGAAGGAGGGCGCCATATGTCGCAGGCACGCTAAGCATATTGCACAGGAAGTCTGTGTGTAAGAAGAAGAATCGAAATATGGAAAGGATAAAAGAGGGCACAAAGTATGAAGAAATAGCGAGCGGGAGGAAAAACGAACTGAGGTTGAAGACAGGCGAAGAGAACGGGTTTAAGAGGGTTTAATGTAGTCATGAGGTCCCAGTATTCCAGAGGCAATACTATTCAACGGCATGGTAGGCCCCAGCGAAAACGAATGAGGGGACATGAATTCTTACTTGCCCTTTTACGGACATTTACGTAACTGCCGTGTTTTTTTGTTCCAGGTTCAGATTGCTCGATGACAGGATGTTATGATCCATGTCTCAAAAAGAAGGCGCCCACTAATTAACATGACGGCATTGCATCAATTCAGTCGACCTTGAACAAGCAAAGCTTCACAAACCAGCTATTAGAAAATCTCTTCAAAACTCACTTCAAGTTGACAGGCTCGCATCCCTCAGCACCGAAAGGCCAGCAGTGTCGAGGCCACGCCAGTCTTCGCCTATCAGCGGCTTATATCACGTTCCTTGAGCTATTCCGAAAAGAACACTCTTCTTTTATTATGTTAAGTTGATCAAAATTTCCCGATAGGTTCGGCACTCACTGGCAACGGTGAGTTCGACCCAACGTTTCATAAAGATAGCAACAGAACGTTGGTTTGTGGGAGACGTTGATACGGTTGGTTCTCAAGTCAAAGTCCAAAACGCAAGTTGATGCCACTCCTCGGACGTTGAGGTGAAGAGGCACGGTGACAAAACATCAAAATTTGTTTTTGATCCACCAAATTTTGATTCAGGCTCATACACCACTACATAGTCCGGCTCCGGAATCCGAGGACTCGCATTTGCTTGGGTGTTTGTACATACATTAGACATGCTTCAAAGGCTGCCCTGCATGTAACTTAAGTACTTGTGTCATTTCAGTTACCGCATAACATATTGCCAATTTGCAGAGCGACTCCTCGAAATTACTTTATGTAATCCCGGTCAAACCGCCGATCAAAAGAACTCAAAGTATCCCCAAGGGCCAAGGGACCTTTAGTACGTTAATTGTTACACCTCACCACACAACATCATACCCCTGATCTCTGCGCAGTGCCAAAATGTAGTTCTCGAGCGGTGGTGAGATAGTCACTAAACTATGTCGGACGGGATATGATTCGGATCAGCTGTTGAGGGTGGAGTTTCCGAAGGGATATGTGGACTTCCTTTCGCAAAGTCGTCGACTCCCTCATACTCAATAGTCCGTTCTACATTGATTTCCAACTGAGAATAAAGTTAGTCACACCTAAAGGTCGCGACAGCTATGACACATCACCTTATTTCCAGGATCCAAACGTTTCTTTGTCTTGTTAGCGTACAGTTGTGCTGTTGTAAGAAAGAAACTTACCGAATATTTGGATTGGTACCTGCTGGGAAAAGCAACAGGAAGCTCGTTCGAAAGGACTCCGAGTCCACGCGAGCGTTCTTCCTGAAGTTGTTTGCGAGAATTCAAGCTAGAAAACATAGTCAAACTTCGTTCTCAACTGCGCCGCGCTGCTCACGTTGCTAGCAAGGAGTTAGCGTAAACTGAATTTTGAAAAATGTTTTCAGCGACAGAAAACAGATGGACCGTAAAACACCCACGTTTGCTGAGTACAAAATGAACCCCAAGGAAGATGAGGTTGTCCATGGCCACCCACTATCATCATTCAGTGTCAAACGGGAGACAGGTACATCACAGTGGATGACTTCACTTACGCATATCATCGAGATAATGGTGGCGACACTAGTATGCATAACAAACAATACATGAATATACAATCATGGGCAAATTGAGCTTCACGCACCTCGTGAGCGCATTGTTCTCCAATGTATACAAGACAATGGTGTTGATTACACGGTCCATGCTGCCCAGGTGTGTGAGCTTCGCATCCAGGCCGTCTAATGTTATGCGACTCACTTCGAATGCGAACGATTTCTGCGCAGCGTAAAGCACAGACCTGCAGTGACGAGGACGTCCACCACACATGATAATGCGAGACCCGTGGTAAACACCCACTAGTAGGGGGAATACAGATATCATCGAAAGGCCCAGGGTGCAAAAGACGATAACTTACTTCGACCTTGTGTCTGAATGCAGTCATTGTCTGCAGTTCGATCCTGAATATCACTCAGTTTCGTTTCTATGCAAAGGAGTACGGCGAAAGAACTCACATCTCAACGGTGCTGACTAGTACGCAAAGGCATCAAGCAGTGAATTCGGGTCCGCATGTAAGGTAACTCACCAAGTGCAGCAACTTGGTGGTATAGCCTAGTGAGCAAGAGCACACAAAACCTCAGGTTGACTTACCCAATCGCAAGAAAGCAAATACAACCTGCGGCACAATCAGTCATGTCATTCTAAACATCGAAGAGTGAGGCTTACAATAGGTCCACTGATCCGCCAATCGTTATGAGTTACTGAAGCTCACTAGGTAAGTGACAAGGTCCCATAGTATAAGGTGAAGCTTACGCTTGTGAATTCGATGTGCAAAGAAACTGAAATGGTGTTGGTATACAAGATATATACATGACAACAGCAGCGCACCAGTGCACAATCAAAGTAAGGAAAGCCTGGTTTTGTGAGATCATAATGACGCTTAACGAAATATGAAACTCACGGTCAGCGCAACGGATATTGCTAATGGACTGAATGACGAGCAAAAAAATCAGGCGTGAAACAGGTCAATGAGTGAAAAAACACAAACACAGGTATGTAGTCTATTTTACTTTCATCACCGAACCCCTGTACCATGAAAATCCATGATGTTGTACACACGAGACCGGTGTGAATGGAGTCTAATATCCTGGACAAAATGCTCTACTGAACATTTTACGAGAAGCAGAAAAGTGACGAAACAAACCAAGTTACAGCAACCTGTCCCGTGTCGGAATATAAACAGTCAGCGTGGACACTCTAGAACAGAGTAAAAAGCTATACTCACAATCGATTTTGTGGTGCTTGTATCATTGGGGTATTGCTTGATATAAGTAACTGTCTGTGCCGTTATGACCCCAGATAATCTGTTGGCGTGATTCATATACCAGTCAGAATCCATAGGGTGAGTCGGGCTGAGCGTTACATACACAGAAGCAAAAAATCCACCCAAAAGAACAGCACCGTATACTGCTGACAAACTAGCCATGATTTGAAGAGAATGAATGAAGGAGGGGGCGGAAAAGCGTGCAGCAGCAAAGATTCAACATGATATATAAAGGTTGGACGTCGACCGTTGGTGACAATTTCCGCACAAAGACAGCGGCTGTAGTGGTAGTATCGATCGCTCATTCATTGCTCATCCACATGATCCAGGCACTTCATGGCAAGTTCATGCGCATCCACAATTGGAAATTTCTAATTTCCTGCCATCAAAACTCATGAAAATGACTGATCAGTCATAGTGGTACTAGTGTATCTGGCCATGCAACCTACTTCAAAACAATGATTGATATTAACTATCCAGTCTCCGAGCTGCTCCTTGGCCAGTGTTTCGTACAATCGATGCCACCCTGCGAATAGAATAGAAGTGCCAAGACTTTGATGGATGAGTTATAAGCCCGGGCGAGTTCACCCACGGTTAATTACGGTGGCACATTGACGGTAGTAGTGGGCGTGGACAATGAGGTGTTATAATTAGTGATGCCATATTCGCCCTGAAATTTTCTTGAAGATGCAGGGTGTACAGAAATCACCATAAAGATAAAAAAACCACTAGCTGGTCTTTCCTCTTCCTGTTTGATGACAGATCGAATCAAGTCAATATGTATATGCCCTGTTCATCGCCGCAGGTTCTCTATCTCCTATATTCTGCAACGGACATCTTCTAGGAGCTCATCGAAGCCTTCCTTCTCAACGATGTCTAAAGCGGCGCGGAGGACTAGCATTGAGTCGGGCTGCACGTTTGAATTCATCTGAGATGTGTGATGTCAGATAGACCCGTCACGATAATGTAGCACTAACGTCAATATAGACTACGTCCAACCTATCAAGCTCTAAATTGAGAAAGTTGAGACCGAGTAAGCGAGCTTAGTGAAATTCATCTTACCATCCAAATAATCGGGCCGTGTCATGATTTGCTGACATCGCCACTGTAAATGTGTCAACCATATGAAGCACGGTTCTCAGAAAACAAAACAAATAGCATACCGCTGGGATAACGGGGAGTTTGAGAGGATCCCAAGAGTCCCCCGATTCCTTCTGGTTGGCTCTGTATAGACGTACGAACTCTCGGAGTAAAGTCCAGCAGTGCAGGCTCCATTTTTGCTGTAGAGATTGATTTCCAAAAGTTCTGCAACCATCATGATCGCCAAACATACCTGAACGACAACTTCTCCATCATTGTCGCAATCTGGTATCAGCCCGAGGCAGTTCTCGAGCCACGCCTTCTCCGAGCGCAGCAGGTCCTCCGCAGCTTGCAGCATCTCTTCGGCCCTGGACACCTTATTGAGGTAGGATTGACGTCCTCCCACAACGTGCACAACACTGTTTACATTCTCAGCGTCTGGCCGTCTGCACAATAGAGTGCGCTTTGACATCTCCCAGTCCAAATCTTGGACAGAGCGCACCTAAATAATTACCAAAGTGAGCATGTGCATGTTATTACACAACTGCATAACTGACTTCCATCAAAGTTGCTGCTTTGCCTGCCAAAAGGTCAGTAATAGGATTGCGAGTTGTTTTTCTTGTGACTCACGCAATAACGTATACGGCCATACATCATCCCTAAAACATTCATTAGATAATGCTGCGCAAAGAGACAGATAGCCTTACGTGGTGAATACAACAGTGACGATGCCTAAATAAAATTGAGAGAGATTGCTGAAGTATGTGTCATAAGCACGCTACCTCTTATGGCCCAACGTTCAGCGTACTGTTGGATCTGTAAAAGAAGATTTCGGCCTTGGTCATTGTTTTGAAAATTCTGAATTTTGGTGATGACGAGAACGAGCGGACGACGACGTCCATTTCGCATGGCAACTTCATATAGCTTATCTAGTGCTGCACTGCCAGGTTAAATTTAAATGCAGACTCGTAGCCTCTTTGAACACGCACCACGTTCAATATCCATCGCGGGACCGCCTGTGAACTGATATTAGTTATAACACCTAAAGCGTCAATAGATGATGTCATACCGGATCGAGGGTCCGGTCTCTGGAATAGTCCCGCCTGCATATCCTCGCTAAATTCATAGTTTAAAGCATTTCCTAGGCGCAAACGAAACACCTCAAGGTCGGGATGGGCCTCAAGAAATACCGCCCCTTTGTTACGTATATTCAGCATTGCATCGAATACCATTCCAGACTTTCCCGCTCCCTGAATCATAAAAGTTACTGTCAGACCACGCTAGCGCGCCAGGGTAATGCACACGAGTATCTCACCTTCGGTCCAACAAGGAGAAAATACGAACCTGCGATCTCTCCCTTCACAATGGAATCGACGAAGTCTTGTTCCTGTCGTCGCGGATGTACTTCGGAGAGCTTTGCTGCCAAGCTTTGCAAGCTAGCATGCTCCAGGTCAGGTGTCAGAAGGTCAAACCGCGATAGCTCCTGCTTGATTAATTGCACTAGGGCTGCATCATCCCACGTTTTGTTGAATGCTGCTTCAATCTTGTAAGACCACCACATCAGATACGTTTGCCTGTATAATCCATCGCTTATGCTCACCTTTGAAAGGACGTTATGTTTGTACCAAAACACATATAGATTCCCCCCGATAAAAACTAGAAGAAGTTGATCGGTGTGCGGATTGGCTGAGAATGCACTTACTGACGCCCAGCCCTATCAGGGTCTTTAGCGCAATGTCAACGACTAGCGAAGGATCCACTTTGCTCCAAGTACCACTTCCGCCTGGTGGGAAGGAAGAATTATTGTCTGCCTGTGGCACCTGTCGCGAGTGTGCAGAATGGAATCGAACATCGAGCTTTCTAGTCCTGACACGTCCAATTCGCGACGGAATAAGTCCTCGCGCAGAAATCACTGGCCACTGCTGTCGCACACGGGTCAACAAATAAAGCCGCTGCATGGTCGCGGATTGCGTAGCGAGAGAAGTATCGAATAAAAGGCCGTCCGCCCTGATTCTGGCATCCTTATAATATTTTTGGGCGCGATGCTGTAGACGCCACGTACAGCTACCCAGTCACCTTGACATGATACTCTGTGCCTTGAACGAATTATGTCACATCCACAGGCTCAGCAGTATGTGTCTGCAGTCGAGGGAGGTTGCTGCGGGTGCTTCAAGGCTCGGCGCCCAGCGAATTCTAAGCGGTGTAATCATTCAGCATCGCCTTCGAAGTAATCACCTGTGCTCTTCTGTGTCCGTGTAACACTCGTGGCTATGTCCGTAGCTATTACATAAAGACAACGTACCACAGGAATGAGGATACCGATTAAGTGTCTTGGCTTGTCCTTCAAGCCGTGATTACAGAGTATTAGAGCTGTAAACTTAAACCTGTTTTCCAATTGAAACCGCAAGAAAAGCGACGAACCATAAGCATGAAATGGCACGACTCCCTTTTAAGCGCAACAAAGGTCTAGCAGCCACCCCGTGCGAGCAACCTCTGTTCCACGATGTACCTCTAACTTGAAATGGAAGTTCGGCGCTTAAAAAGCGTAAGTTGAATCAACAGCATGGCTAAGGAACCTTCAATAGGCCCATAGGGGCTTGCAAGGTTGAGGAATACCTGCTGAAACCGTGTGTGCGCGTGCGTGTGGTAACAAATGCGTATAATTTGTATTCGCACTGTGCAGTATTGCATGGGGATGTCACTAAAACGCACTTGAGAACTCCTTCATCCGATCACCACGGTCCACAGTGCACTTTTGTTTACTACACGTGTCACGCAGTCATCAGTGACTCGGCGGGTCCGAAAGACAATTTGGATATTTATAAACAAAACTGACCGCCCGTGGCGTTGCTGTCCAAATCGCTCGCGAACAAGAAGAGAGCTGCCCATGTCCGCGGTTAAACGACTCAAGTCCTGGATCATGGCTATCAAGAACGGGATCCTCGCTCTCGCCTCAATCGCGAGGCAACCGTTTACTGGCAGTGTTACGTGGTAGAATCGTAGAGCAGATCTACAAATTAACAGGTTACCGGATCAGCAAGCACTCTCATAGTCAATGATGATCTCATAAGAACGGGATACGACTGCTGACCTGTATTCTTTCACAACAGTCGGGTGACCTTGATGGAAGGAAGACTGTCGTTCCTTCTACCTGGACTATTTGTGCCAACTCGTGAGACTTCACCTCATCTACTACATCCGTCATGAAGGAGTCAATGGACTTAGCCATTTTCTGCAAGAAACTGATATCGAAGCACATAGTAAGGCTAGAGTCATGTCCGCATCTGTTTGAACTTCCGCGAGTGATTCGGTCAAATGCACATGCTGCGGGATTCATCTGAGCACTGACCACTGCGGGCGTTCTGAAAATGAAGACATACTGAATCGCTGATACTCAAGCTAGTCAAGCTATGCGCTGTACTTATCCAGTGCTCGTTTCCCGGAGCCTACCATTGTAATGCAAAGCAAAGAAGGACCCGGAAACGTTCAATGATGCGGTAATAACTTGAACTTTCCCTGCAACCACCTAATACGTAATACGGACACACTTTACCGCTCTGCGTCCATCGTGATGGCTAAGCGTCTTTTCAGTTTTGGGACCCATTCACCTAATTTACTTCACTCCTGAAAACGTTGCATCCACACCTTTGATCGCCATCAGTAGTTGTGTAGCGTGCACACCACTTGGCCTTGAAACTTCCCCATAAGTGGTCTTACCAGCTTCCCTCCCGGCCCATATTTACGTGTTTCGAGCATGATTCGCCGCGCATCCATTGATTTACTCCGTATCAGCATTGGCGACACTCTAATTGCAGAGATCACCCCCACGTTGACGTCAGGGTTTGTCACTGCCCTGTATACAATCCGCAAGGCCATCACGCTTCCAATTGCTGGGTTCTTTAGCGATAACATGCCGTCGTTTCAAACCTTCTTAAACCATTCCTCAGTCCGGAGATAGGTTGAGTGAATGAATAATTTCATTACGACCTTTACGAGCTGTCCTTATCTGTAAGGCTGCTCAGCTGTGCAGAGTGTATTTAAAGGACCTTATTTCACTCGCTTCTTCCCCCTTCCACCTTTGTATCTCAGGACGCAACGAACCCATAGTGCCGGCTCACTATGTTACGAGGTATGTATCCCAAGGGAACAGTCCATAATCATTCTAACTTGGATTCAACGCATTGGGGTAGTTCATGCAGCTCGTTCTTTCCGTGACGCAGCTTCAAGTATTTCAGGTGCACCCAACTCCTACCCTCGAGGTGAAGTATATGGAGACTCGAGACGGAATCAGGCTATCATCAGTCTCTTGAATGTCCTGAACGAATTTAGTAACGAGTCTTCTCTGGACAGCGGTTAGTCACTCCCACTGGCCATCACACACTGCTAATCGTACACCCTCAGATACCATCCTTCCTCCCGCCTTGGAGGATGACGATCGTGAGTATCGGCCAGTGCAGCACACAATGATGGCCTTATATTCCCGTTCAGCGACAGTAGATGAGAAACTGCAAATCGCAGGATCAGAATCATTCAACACACTTGAGAGGTGGGGGTGCCCTCGTACATTTGTCTTTCACACTGAGCGATCTTGATAGACGAATAGAAAATCTTGACAAAGAGGTGGGAATATGATTAGGTACACTTTATACTTTGACACTTATCTTCTATGTAGCTGCGCAACTTTGCTAATGCTGCTCGCCAACTTGGCAGTTCCATCGGAATCTTATCCTCTAGTTTTCGACTACGAGAGCGCCTTGCGAAATTGCTATTTCTGTTCCGCGAGAACGCAGCTAATTTGTTTCCCCGAAAGATTTCGCGTCAACCTCGAGAAGCGCCCATCATTCATCAGTGGACAGAGCAACGGCGCACAGAAAAACAAATGTTTCCAAAAGCCCACACTGATCCTGAAAGTTTTCCCGACCAAATTGCTGGTTTCGCAGAAGACGTCGTAACGTTTCTGAACTGCCTAAACGAGTTTCCGGAGTTTACAGACGAGGCCGTCAATACGTCAATGCGTACTTTCGAATGCGATCTGAAGGTAATTTTCTGGCCGGACATGCAGTCGATCTCTTTGTTTATCGTGTTGTCTAGTATTGGGCCTCGTGTCTTCAGGAGTACAAAGGTAGTGTGCCTCCGGCTGATCTACTTGAGAATCGTGCAGACTAGTTTCAGGTCAATTTCGGTATCCAGCAGTGCAGCGTTATATCCATGATTTGACATCGGAGATTGGGGAGCACATCGATATCATCACAGTCAATCTGTCTATGTTTATTGAAATCGGTAGACAACCAGTCTCCTTATTAATTTTATATTCACATTTTCTTCCAGGTGTTCCCACGATTCGATTTGCCCAGCAGCATGCAGCATCGAACTTGCTAAACTTATCGACAGTCGCGACATTCTTTTCAGTTGTAACAGCGTCGACCTTACAGTTCTCATACCAGTTGACGGACGGCGTGCTGGAGACTTCTGTCAATGCGTTCTGGTTCTCTTCATTGGTTTTCAGTATAGCAGCCGCTGTGAATAGTCTTCTTGGTCTCACCTGGAAGCAAGCAGTCTAGTAAGTTTATTCCATGTGCCTCTTGTGTTCGGTCAAATGACAGTCCCCAGTCGCTCTCCAGGCCATAAGGTACCTTGGTGGGTGTTGATATGGATCAAACGATCGCCTTTGGTGTTTCTCGTGATGTCTGTGGCATGCTTTTCCGTGGGCTTGATGCTATTCACATATGCTACAAAACAGGTATGGGACCTATTCTACTGCAGAAAAGATATCCGAGACATAACATTCACACTCAGGGATTTGTCACGTCCACGATCACCACTGTTTTCACGGCAAGTCCATGGATAGTTCCAGTTGCTTTTGAAACGCATCCTTACCCGAATCACAGGTAGTCACCTCGTTCGGCCTGGCTGTTGTTTCGGCTTGGTTCGTCTCAGAGCGCAGGGTCTTTGTTCGCTACCATGGTCAAATCTGGTTGGATGATGCAATCAATGAAACGATCAATGAAGTAATCCACCGCATACTCCGCTTTTCTCTAGTCGTGGCAATGCGAGATATCATTCGTTGGTGCCTCTTCGCCATTAGCGGCCTGTTAAGACGAGTGCCTCTCAAGTTCCCCGACGTGATTACCCGGATTGGACATAGGGACCGTACACTTCCTACTATGCAGGAGGGCCCGCCGATGGATGATCTTTCTCACCGCTGTGACATCTCTACATCCGCATGCTCGGCTTTTACTGAGCATCCCACTTCGATAAAAGGGCTTGCAAGTGAGGATAGTAAACCATCTCACCCAGCCATCGCCCGTCAGCGCTTCAGAGGAGCTGTGCGTTCTATCATCGTAATGCAACAGCAGAAAGCAGGACGACCCATGATGCCGCAACGGATCCCATCCTTTGACTGGAACTCTGCCGTGGGGATGTCTCCTACCCGGCCCTCGTCCGTGGATTTGGACGCCATTCGAGGACCGCGAGCCACTTTAATTCCAAAACTTAAAACCCTAGAGCCTGTACAAGACCTCTCCGTACACACCGCCCTTGTCCGGCATTTACAGTTCTCCCCGAGTGGCAAGTATCTAGCTACGTCAAGGTGCGTTGTGTCAAGTTCATCGGAGCTTCTCGTGCTGAGGTGAAGCATTAAGTTGGGATCGATCTTCCGTCATCTTTCGTGTTGAGGTAAGCATATGAAGTGCTACGTTTCCACACTTGTTTACACTATTCCTACCTAGGATGCTTTTTCAATTCATGCCATTCTGGTACACGTGGGAGGCTTTATCGGTCAGGTTGCATGGTATGTGGCGCACAAATGTTCCTCTGTTTCTAAACATCAAATATGAACGGACAGGTCCGATTCTGGCACCCTTCTTTTGACGAGGTTACCTCGCGGAATCAAGGTTTGGACAGAGGATGGATTCTGTAAGAGAACGATTGAACGTCCGCACTCAGTGTCATCCGTTGTGTGGCTTCCTGCGAACGAGAGTGATTGGCTTCATCTCTTCTGTATGATTGCATGTTGCTGATGCTTTCCTACAATAGCACAATTTTTTTCGGTCGAAGGTAGCAGAGTTCTCAAACTGGTCAGTGCAACTGTTATCATCCGTGCCTCCTTGTTACTCATGGATCCATTACCAGGACATTAAAGGAAGGGTGATTAGATCATTCTGCGCCAAAGGAATTTTGTTTGAATTTCTTCCAAGGTTCTTGATTCTTACCACTTCGGTGGCATCCAGTTGCACAATGTGGCTGTGACTCCAGATGGTCAGCGGTTGCTAGGTGTAGGTCCACTGCTCGCGGCACCCAACGGGATGCATCCAAGCCGCACTACTAGGGTTGAGAAGTGTATAGTAGGTCAGTGATATACGTATCCGCGAGTGATCCTTTTGACTCCACCTACCACAGTCCTCAATATGGAGACTAGAACATTTGAAAAGTAAGTTGCTTTCAATATCTCCGAACCTTTCCACTGATAGAATTCAAAAGTCAAACACCTGTCTTCAACGATGTGCGCGACATTACGATGTCTAAAAGGGGTGGAAATGTATTGATTTCATTCGAGCACAAGGTACATTGACAGGGATATGCGTCAGATTCTCTATTCACGCCGTTTCATATTTGCAGACACATCCGCAGTTATGGAAAATGGAGTTGGTTCGGGATACTAAAGACCGTGAAAACCCCTATGCCCAAACCGCTAGGCTTATTCTCCGTCACACGTATGAGCCGACGGTTCGTGTGGATTTTGTGGGTCCGAGCTACTTCGGCGGTGTGGACGATCAGCTAGTGCTGTGTGCCGGCAAAGGTGTGTTTCGGCTAAGATCTTGTTCAAACACCCAGATTCTAAATCATCCGTCTTAGCGGGCGATATCCATATTTGGGAACGTGATACTGCAATTTTGCTCCACTACATTAGACCTCAGGCGTTCGGCGGAGATTTGACATGTGTCGCATGGAATCATTCCACTGACGACCCCTGCATGTTAGCGACAGGCAGCCATGACGGTACAGTGCACATATGGAGGACTCCGATGTGGGACTGCTCATCTGATGGCGGTTCGTATCTTGAGCATGCTGGCATGTTAGGAGCGGACCAGCATACGTCTTCACCCATCCTTGGCCCACCACCTGTTCCTGGATCCAGTCGAGGGCACCGATAAAAAGCATTGACCATACGCACCAAAACCTCCAGTTAGCATTATACGCAAGCAAAACATGTATTGTGTTCACGCATGGATATTCGTTATCGCCATAAATAGGTATCTATGGTCTTCATTGGTATTTACATATACTTAGGACTGTGTTTCAAAATATTTCCTGGCAATGAACTGGGTTTGTCGACCGTGTCGACCTGCACGTACTGTGCTCGTCTTAACCAACTACTCAACCTAGTAGATTGAAGAAGTGGGGTGATGTGGCGTAGCATTTGCTCAATTGATCTGGTAAGATTCGTCCGTGATGATGCGTTCAAGTCATGATTGCATGGGAGCATGACAGTAGTATACGATGCATAGTGGAAATCTCATATGAATGGCACAAACACAATTCCAATTAGATGGTGGTCTCGTAAGGAACGGGCGTCATCGTTTGCGGCGTGTTTTGGGCGATCGAGACGGTGCGTGCCTCCCGAGGGAGAGCGTGGACACGCTTCAGTGATACACGCTCTGAACGGCGGGTTATAAGGTGCATCAAATACCGGGAAGTCTCGATCACTTACCACCCTTCTCCTTGGCAGCAGCATGTGCATCGTGGTTGCGCTTCACCCTGTCCAAAAACTCCTGCCGACATTTTGAGTGCCTCACGTGTTCGACACGGAGATTCACCCGCTTCTCGAGGTAGCGGTTGCCTACAACCTTGTAGACAATGACACCGACGGCATGGGGAGTGACGTTGTAGACAATGCCAGTCCGTCTGGAGGATGATTAAATGATAGAGGATAGATGTGACTTTGAAGTAGCGCACCCGTGGTAGTATTTGTGAGGCATACCCTTTTGTTGGGCGGCGTTGGCCTTGATATCGACGATGTCACCAATGCAGTAGTTGATGAGGTATGTAGACATTTTAACGGGGCCATGGTCTGCACGTAATGTCAGTCGTCGAGTCTGTCAAGGACTTGATCAAAGTACCGACCCTTGAAGCCCCGCTTGAACATGTGGCGCGTACGCGCGCGGTAACCGAATGAGTGAGGCATTTTGAGGGCTTGAGTAGAACGTTAGCAGCGGGCTAGGATGAAATTTGGGAGACGTACAATGTCGTCGGCGGCGGTGTCGATATTGAGTATGTGAAAGCTTGTTGCACCGGAAATGTCCGGGTGGCTTGCTTGGTACTTTACAGTTGTGGCACAGGCGAGGCTTACATCCTAATTAGGCCACCAACATTGTGTACACCGTCAAGGCCATCCCTCAAGAAAAATGCCCAGGTATGAATGTCATTAAACATGATGAATAGACTGTTGAGCAGCTTTTTAGGGCCCCACGGAATCACAGCAAGACGTGAGCGTCTCATTCTTCAAGATCCACTTGAGTGGAAGGCTTTCAGCTTGCTGATTTATGGCCTTGTTCGAATCGCATTAATCCTACAGATACAAAGTCCCTCGTCGCCCATTCGGTTCAGCTCGTCTCGATGCTGAGTTGAAGGTATGGTTAACCCGGAATCCTGAATTCAAATTCTCATGTTTTGCATCTGACAGCTTGCTGGCGAGTACGGTCTACGAAACAAGCGTGAGATCTGGCGTATCGGTCTCATCCTTTCCAAAATCCGTCGTGCAGCCCGTGAGCTGCTCAAACTTGATGACAAAGATCCCAAGCGTCTCTTCGAGGGTAACGCCCTCATTCGTCGGCTCGTTCGGATCGGTGTGTTGGACGAGACACGCATGCGTCTGGATTACGTGTTGGCATTGAAGGTGGAGGATTTCTTAGAACGTCGTCTCCAAACACAGGTCTTCAAGACCAACCTCGCAAAGAGCATTCACCACGCCCGTGTTTTGATCAGACAACGTCACATTCGGTATGTACATCTCATTTTTCATTGCTGTGATTCTGAACATTATATAGCGTCGGCAAGCAAATCGTTAACATCCCATCGTTCGTTGTCCGTCTTGACTCCCAGAAGCACATCGACTTCGCTCTTACATCGCCATACGGAGGTGGACGCCCCGGTCGTGTCAAGCGCAAACGCGCTGCCGCTGCCGCCAAGCGGGAAGAGGGTGGCGAGGAGGAGGAGGAAGAGTAAACTTTCTGCGTGTTTATCTCGGTTTCTATGTCATTTTCACATTTATGTCGTCCCCATGCTATGGACACATGCAAAACAACCTTTTGACGCGCTCGATGTGACATCGCGCAATGCAGCTTGCTGCCACAGAACTGAAATCAGCGGGGCGGCTCGTAGCATACGAACTCGACTTGTATGAGTATATTGACTGAACAACTTATCATTGGCCAAAAGCTGCAATTTTGCCCTAAGTGATCGAATTATGCTCCGCAGTGTAGTGGTCTATTGTTTGAGGTCACCGGGTCTAGATCTGAGACAACTAGTTCGGCCGACTAATTATACCACGGTGAACCCGGAGGTTCCACACATAAATATTGACCGTCATCATCATCCCTTGAAACATCTTATCATGTCCGACGCAGCAGTCACTCAACACCCCCCTGCAAGTACGTTCAATAGCGTCGACAGTCATGCAGTTACTGACGAGTCCCTTGCAGTCAGAGTGGGCGGTCGTCGTCTATCAGTTACCTCGCGCCCGAGGCCTCGTGCCAACTCGTGAGTGCTAATCGACGTTTGAGCGTTTAATATTTAATCCTTGAAACCGATCCAACATGCAGGGAAGCTGCTGCAAACACTGGCGCAAATAAAACCGAAGATACTGATTATCCGCGCCCGGTAAACCACAGCGAGGAGGAGCCACATGCCCCTCCGCACAATGAAGAAGAGATTCCAAAGAAGAAGAAACATCATGGACAGGGCAGCCATGACGATAACAGGCTTCAAGAGAGCGCTTATCGCAAGGCGGAAGCTAGCAGGCCCACCAAAGACAATGTCGGTGGTAAAAGCGGTTATGGTGGTGGTGGAAGGATCGCTCAACCTGCGGGAAAGACCTTTGGGGTTTAGGAAAAGGCCAATGTTCTGTTTGAGAATGCTGGATCCATCAAAGAGAGAAAGATGTATTTGTATAGGTGTCATTCTCGTTGAAATGTACCATCATCTTTGCAGCCAACTAGGAATGTGCGGCATGGTGTGCTTATTTCGGCATGGACGAACATAGCAATGAAGGCACTAGAGATACAAATAAATCAAATCATGGAATGGATGCTGCTGCCTTCTTCCCCCGGACTTTCTTCGGTGGCGAAGCTTTCTTCTCTTTTTGTGCAGCGAGCAGTGCAGAGGTACGACCAAGAGCAGCCTAGAAAGCGAAAAAAACAGGTGTCAGCATAAGTTCTTGGACGGATCGTACAACAGAAATGTTGGGACGACTGTACTCGTCAGTATCGGCCCACTGCGATGGAAAATTCGCAGTGGTAAATATGAATTATGACGAATAGCCCAAACAGGGCTGAGTTAATATTGCAAACATGTCCACGCCCAACTTTCATACACCTTACGGTGGTTTCCAGCGGGTTCTAACGAGAGTGCTTTGTGTTGTCGAGAGGAATCCTGATCCATGTCCAGATATAAACCATCAACACTCACAGCTCTCAGGTCGGGACGGTACCCCCTCTTTGCGACGGAAGCAACGACTCCCAATGAACGACGGCCTCCTGAGCGGTTACGGACGTTTGCGGTTGATCGTGCGGGACGAACAGCGTGTGGTGATGCCTTTGATTTCCGGGTGGTGATTTGTAGTCCAGACTCAGAGCTCTGAATGTCGATGGTCTATTGGTACAACGTTAATGGAGGTCATTTGATCACAATAGGACTACACACCTTGGAGTTGGCAAGACCGGAATATTTATGCGAGTGCAGGTTAAGGAGGTTACCCTAATACAAAGTAAGCTTAGCACTCGTGTACAAGTTCGAATACGCGACATACAGGCTCCTTGGAGAAGCTGGGACCTTCAGGGACCTTCTTCACAAGGAAGGAGTTGTATTTCTGTAGATATAGAGGAATTTTTTTTCAGTATTTGCACTGTGGAGTACAAAGACAACGCAACTGACGCGGATAAGGAGCCACTGGAGGTCGGTCGACATTTTGAGGATGCTGCTAAGCCTTACAGGTTGTTCTGAACAGCGACCAAGTGTGGCTGAGGTAACTGTACAGTTGAACCAAACAGAGGCAAATACTTCTGTCGGGGATAGCCGATACACTTGGGTCGATAATTAAGTTCAACGGTCCCGGCCGGGCTGGGCTTCGTCTAGGACTAGCTAACTCTCGAATGACCGGTCGACGACCTACGTAGATTGACGGGTATGGAAAGGGTTGGATTTTGCACATTGCCAAGCCTGTATTGGGCCTAAAATGCGTCCAGCCTCTGGATTGCATGGCTGCTGCAAGTGGTTATAGTCGTAGATACTAGACAACATGTTACAAGGCTAATATGTAGTTTGCATTAGACGCTTCGGAGCTTTCCGGATCACTGCTAACGACGTTGAAACCGATTTACGTTTATCTCCGCGCCTGAGACTTTTCTCTACTACTGCTGTCGCTGGTCTGTCGTACTCCTTCTTCACTGTCATCATGAGCCAGCGTATGCTTTCCTCCGTCCTTCGCGCACGGCCTAATGTCGTCCTTCGTCGTGCTGCGACCCCTGCCCTCACAATACCACAACGTTTTTCATCATCAGATTCGCATAGCCAAGAAACGTTTGAACAGTTCTCTGAGCGCTACGTCGCTTTCTTCCAAGGCGCACAGGACCTCTTCGAGGTACAACGTGGTCTCAACAACTGCTTTGCACACGACCTCGTCCCTTCACCTGGCGTTGTTGAGGCTGCCCTCCGTGCAGCACGCCGCGTAAATGATTATGCAACTGCCGTCCGTGTTCTCGAGGGCATCAGGGAAAAGGTTGAGAACAAGCAACAATACCAGGCTTACTTGGACGAGTTGAAGCCGGTTAGAGAAGAACTTGGTGAGTGCTCATGTTATTCGGATACATGTAGCTTGTCTACTGACCGTCGTTTTTCTGTCGGCATTTTAGGAATTGACACAAAAGAAGACCTTTACGTCTCATAAGTTCTACCCGAGCAGTACAGGTTCCATGTAAGCCGACTTTATTCACGTGTTTTTACAGGAGCTAACAAGCCACGCGTACACAGTAGATGCAGTGCCTCACATATTATCGTCACTTATAGTTTTCCCTAATCCACAGCGCGCGGATTTACACCCTGTTGTGGCCTATATTGAGCACTGTTTTACTCGCTGCGATATTGACCGTTGAGGCCAATAAACTTTCATTTAAGCAAGGTCTTCTCTGAAAGAACATTTTTTTTGCGTGCACTCAACTTTTGTGATTTTGTACGTGAGGATTTATTACAGGCGAACTGGGGAGACCGATTCATGCGCAAAAGCATGCAGGCATATAATCGCTGAAGTTGTTCAATCCGAGGGTTCAGTTCCTATGGATCCCGCGGACATAGTGGTTGTGGGTATGGGTACAGGCGTATAAACTTCTCCTTGGACCCTTAAGCTGAACCAGTGGCTGGATCGGGTGTGCTTGTTTTCATGAGCGGGTTGTTCCCTGAATCCCCTAATGCAAATTGTATTGTGTATGATCATGGAACGTTTTGATATCAGAGGCGAAACACGACTATTAGTGAGTAGAGCTGCCACCGTGAAGCACCACATTAATTACCCTCAACTTCTTCAGGGTGACTGACCCTTGTGCCGCCCGGCGAGCACCACTCTGCATTACCAAAGTCTTTAGAACTGCATCAACTGTATGGCCACCTGTCTCGGCTATACTGAAGCGCAGCTCCTTTCACAAGAACAATTCACTTACGGCAACCCTCCACGTAGCGTTTGCATGCTAACAGTGCATGACGTATGTTGTTTCAGGTACTACATGTGTCGGAGGGTGGTTGATCTAGGCTCGTGACCAGCCTGATGTACACCTCCACGAACAACCCGAGTGGCGTAGTCAAGGCTGATCTGTCGCCTAGCCTTTACAACACTTCAGTAGCCCTCGCAACCCGGGACTCTTCCACTCCCCAGCTACTGCAGCTGTCTCGGTAGGATTGGATTCATCGCGCTACTTCAGTGAGATGGTCGGTCAACACACGCTCGTGCCAAAATTTCAAAATCCGGAGTCCTTCGACCAATTAACGTCGCCATGCATTGTACAATTTGTGGTCAATTCCTTTTTCAAAAAAAAACACTAACTTCTCTTAGACCCATTTGATACAAGCGCTGTTGTCGAAGCTTACCCTTGCACATTCTCAAAGGTCGCCATTACAAGACGTGCTAGGCGCGAATTCTGGGCCTCAGTAAACATTCCGGCGGCGCTCGCAACATAATTTCTATTTTCCAGCTCGATCGCGCTACTCCAGGTACCTCCCCGCAATTTCAATTTTTTTATCTAAACCGATTTATTGCCCCTTATTATCATAGACCCTATGCCGGACATCGTAGGATGCTGGGACCTGGCCTCGGTATCTGTCGTGCATGTACAGGCGCTCTGTCGTCGATATCTCCGCTCGCAGCAGCGGGTCAATTTATTCTGATATCAGTGCGTTCTCTACTGCATATCTTTACAATCGAAGTTCACCGTTAGTTTGTTAAGGGCCATTGAAAGACCCGCCGGTCGCGAAACGTTTTGGATCAGTACGGAATCCCCGTTCCCACAACGACAAAACTGCGTGTGGGTCCCGTTTATCGGTTGATTGTTGAAGGCTGCATACGACGGCGGAGATAAGTGAAGGAATGAAAAATTCGAGTGAAGGAACTTGGTTCGCCTTTTAGATAAAACCGTGTTCTATCGGTTATAATTGTACAAAGCGGCCTAGTCGTGCGGACCAAGAAAAAAATCTAGGCCGCCGCCGTTATTGCGACCATCACTCCACAACGACATCAATTCCATTTACACAAGACTACATAGTACTGGCTGCTAGCAACGAACTTTGACCTACTCGAGACGACAGCAGGTAGCGCTGGGTTGAATTCCGACTACGAGGCCCACGCCCAGCTGTCAAAGGATACTACCTACCATAAATGTCTCGAAGCACTGAACGCAAATCAAATTCTAAAAATGCTCAGCGCTCAGCGCGACTCCAAAAATATCCCAAACGTCTTGCGCAACTGTCCGGCCGGACGCTTCTCGCTTTCAGTATCTGAACATTGAGGCCCCCTGAGTTGGCTCCAGGTTCAAAAATAGTTATTCATGCACTTGAGCGCGACTGAAGCCTATCAGTCCCCTTAACTCTTTTCTTCGGGACTGCTTTCATGATACATCGTAATGCCCTGTCGATCCAGATATTATGATTGTCGATCAGGTGTTAATGAGGGAAAGATATTTAAAATGACGTATGCAGCGTTCGAGTCCCCCATCAAGGCCGCGTTCACTGGTCAGCAAGGCGAAGTGGGGAGAAGTTTACCCCCAGACCTGCCTCGTGAACAAAGAATTCAAATGATTCCAGGATTCTGTTTTTGCTATTATGTTCTCCAGGCACTGGAACAGGCCTGAGGCGTAAGCGCCAGCGGAACGGGCTGGGATTGGGCAGGGATACCCCACAATCACAGCAGAAAGCATGAAACCCATTTTATCTCTCATCAATGTCAGTCGTTGGAAGAAGCTCGGAGCTATTTTATTTAGGTTAAAGCTAATGCCAGAAGTCAGAAAGCAGACCAAACAGGCAGTTTTCAAGGAAAGAGTATAGGGACTTCGCAAGACATAAACATAAATGATAGTAAGATAAACCTGAATCAGAATCAGAATCAGAAGGCACTTGAAGACGAATACATTATCGGGCATCCCCCCGAGGTATACGGATGCGGCGGCGTTGACCTAGTCCCGAAGCAAATAGGCCGTATTGTTTCGTCATGAAAAAAGTCACTTGGGCTTTGGGCAGTCACCGCGTCGCCTGATATCGAAGGACATCGGTGATCGATGTACAACAGCGGCATATTCATTGTTCATCACCATGCCGATATTACATACTCTTTAGGGGTCGAATAATCGATTTGCAAGCGCAACACGCTGGCATACATAGAATCACGATCCCTGTTGTCCAAGTAAACAAAGTTCCAATGACTCACGACGCACACAGTCATTAAAAAAGAAAAAATGCGTTTCTTCGAAGACGAAGATCAAGTCACAAGTTTCTTCGTGCGAGTCTGAACGACAACAGCTTTGATGGTCCGAACGCCCGGATATTAAGGCGCCGCTGACGAGGAGGGCCACGACTAGAGCAATGGCGTCATTGCTCAATCAAGCTGATGGTGGTGGTGGTGGTGGTTCGTCCCTAGATCACACATGCATCTCAGCGTGATACAATGGCGACATCGACCGTTCCGAGTCCTGACTCCCTGAAAGAGGAAAAAGTCATAGAACCATCGAGCGCCAGCAGACAGCGCAGCGCGTGTTTCAGAAACATTTGCTTGGTATGATCACCGGGCACTAGAAAAAAAAATAGTGATCGATTTATTGATCCCTGCTTCAGCAAAGAGCTTAAATCTTTGAAAATGAATGACGCTGCTTGCGAGTGACTGACCGAGAATGTCTCAAGTGAGCCTAGTACTAGGCGATAGCCAGCGACTCGGATGGCGTCATTAATTGTATTGCGTGGACCTGGTCAGAAGTTAGTCTATACATACCTGGCCCTGAATTAAAATTCCGCAGTCAATTGGCATGATGGAAGTTGTGAACCTTGAAAGTATGAGGAGGTCGGTATAGCTTGCGGCCACACAAACGACGAACCTATTGTTTTGCAGAGAACCTTCTCAGAGAACATCCAATTGCAAGGACAAGTTCTCAAGCGGAGTTTTGAAGCACAAGTGTAGAGAACGCTCCCCGCAGTCAATATGATGTTTTGAACCTTGAAAGTATGAGGTTGGTATAGCTTGCGGCCAGCCAAGTGGCCACACAAACGACGAACCTATGATATCCTCAAAGAACCTTCTCAAAGAACAAGGACAAATCATCAAGCGGGCGGAGTTTTAAAGAACAAGTGCAGAGAACGCTCCACGGTTTTCAAGAACACCACGTAAGTATTGTATTCCAGAGTCCCAAAATCCCTATGATAAGTCTGCATATATATTATACAACAGATAGACGAGTTATAGCCATACATGAAAGTCAGAGCGTGATATGTCAATGCGATGCGCTAAGCGCTTTTATGATGGTGTGGGTAGGTATACTATGAAAGGGAAGCAGAATCAAAATATTGTCCACGGGCCGTGTGTGGGGACGGGATAACGTCAGTAGCATGAGATGATGGGTGTTGGTACAGCTGAGTACGGAACATGAAGAGATCCGAAATAAATTGAAACAGAATCGAAGCAGGAGATGGGATGCACACATGGCTACAGCAACGTTTTTGTGCTCACATAACCCAAGTGCGTGAGTGCCACCGTTGACGGCGGGCGGCAGTTATCATAAGGTCGAAGTCGTCAAGATCGTACAAGTTTTCTCTGCAAAAATGCACCTGGTTGAAAAAAGTCTCACGCCAAAATTCCCTCGTCGCTGCTTGTGAGTGGCCCGTGATATGCACCCGCAGTGGGCGACCCTTGGGCAAAGCACCACCGCATCACAAACGCATTGTAGAGCGAATCGCCTGACATGCCATCGCTACCTGGCGCGCCAAGTGGTGCAGACGAATGGGCTCGAGGAGGTAATCCAGGTACATCAGATCCAGTAAGATCAGCTGGCCCATCTGTGACACTCCTCTGCATGGTTGGCCGCTTTGACATCACAGCGTTTGTCGGCGCCATCCACTCCCAGTCATCAATGTGTGTCTGCTCAGGGCGTGCATAGTTCGCCGGATGCCCGGCAATCATTACGCGCGGGGCTATGTTGGGTGAAGCGGAGGGCGTCGAAAGCGTCGAAGAAGGAGGTGAAGGGGAGTCACAGTCACGTAAATGTGTGACAGGGGCTTGAAGCGCTGGGCATTGGGGGTGCGAGGGCAATGGTGACGCAGAGGAAGTAGAAGAAACTTGGGAAACCACAGGAGGTGCAGCATAGTTAGGGAGACGGAGCTTCCCTGACCTCGACATAAATGGAACTTTCTCCTTCCCGTCTTTCGTTGGCGAGGAGCAGAATGTCATCTTGTGTCCGAATGTGGGGGGCGAATTTGAATTCAATGGGCCGGAAGGATATTCGCGGGTGACAGGTAGTGTCACCATCGAGGGAATAATAGGTTCTACAAATTTAGCTATCAACTGACCGTCTTAAAAAATATGAAAAAAAGCTCACCAGGTGTTGTCTCTCTCCGAATCCTACCAGATGTCAGTCGTGCTGCACGGAAAGCAACACGGTAGTTTCCGCCATTGTTATTATCCCACCATTCACTAGGACCTGGAACACCGGTCACCCTATAACGTGCGGCAAGCCATAACACTCGTGACCCCAAGCTGTGTGCATAGTCCTCCAAGCGAATGAGGAAAGAAAAGCGATCCCACCCGCACTTGTCTGCCCCTAGAGCAACAAGGTCGCCAACAGTTGTCTTCGACGAGGAAGATAGTGAAAATATGTGGGGAAGTGATGGAATGGAAACAACATATTGCGCTCTCACTTCGCTGACAGTTTGCCATTCGTCGAGGGTAAACCTCAGGGCGACGTTCTTCTCGTATGCCAGATTGCGCACTAGAAGGGTACCACTTAAATAAGGGTTGACACCTTTTGATGAAGCGTGCGAGAAAGTGAGAGACTCGATCAAGACATTGGTATGAGGAGAGTGATTAGTAGCGGGGACCACCGATGAGATAGCGGTGTCCATTTCGAAATTCGGCGACGCAGAGGGGAGTTTTGGGAAGGGAAACCCAGTTGAGGGGTGATCTTCACCTTCCGTCTCGGTTTCTTCCTCGGGGGTACTGACTGCTGTTGGGCAGGCTGAGCGGCTGAAGATGCGAATAGAGGCCAGGGCAATATCAGTGTCGGGGAAGTGCACATTTTTTGGAGCATGGGCAGTGGGGGTGGATGGTGCGGATCGGGAACGCAAGTGGAGATGGTTACTATTGCGTTGGGGTTCAAGTGGAGTAGCGGGAATGGAGAGTGTGGAGGTTGATGATTTAAGTGATGACTTGAGTGGCTTGCCATTTGGAAGAATAATTGATGATGTACGAGAGGGTTGTGGTCGAGAAGATAAGATTGAGGGTGAAGAAGGTGGAGAAGGGGAACAGCGTGGAAAGGGAACAGACGGAGGTAATTGGGAAGCACCCTGTGAAATTTTCACTGAGGGTTTAGCGTTAACAGACTGAGTAGTAGTCTGCTCGTCGAGGGAATCAGACGAGTAGTCATCTGGGTTGTCATCACCATGAATATGGAATGCGGGCAACTTTCGAGACTTGTTAGAAGTGGGAGGTTGATGTTTTCGCCTTGGAAGGGATCCTAAAGATACGAAAGCTCCTGGACCGCGTTCATTTGAGAAAGTTGGTGTTGTTGAGCGAGTGCGGTAGACATCAGTTGCTGCAAAAGTCATCTGAAGTGACGTCAGATATATAGAAAAAATAGGAAACGGTTGTTAAATACCTCTGAGAGCGCTAAGTGAAATGCACAAAGCCTCGAGCTGAAGGGGAGGTAGAAGGAGATGGGTGCACTGAAACAAGAGAAACTGTTCATTTTTCACGACATTGGAGTGATCTCCTCCGAGATTTGATCGGGGTTCGGCATCTATAAATGGTATAAACGGCTGAACGATCGAGATCTCACGCGTTCCTTATCTTCAAGCCAGCAACTACTCTAGACTCCGTTCTAGCCCTCCATTATCTTCCTGGCATCGCGCACAAATTGCGCAAACAATTTGTTTAATCCTAAGATGTATTACACTGCCCGTACATGCAAATACTGTTCAACCACACTATAACCACCGAAAGTTATCTCACGGACGCCAGAATTTCTGTTTGAGACTCGCTTAGCCACTCGTGCACTGATTATACACCTGACTCAGTTTATTGTTTTTATTTCCCATGACGTCATTATGGTTGAGTCTCTGCCTACACCTATGTCAGACTATAGTCGAGCGACTCCACTCTCCTTGTATGTCTGTGCTGCTCCTTTATCGTCACTATCAGATTCCTACATCACCCGAGAATCTATCTCTGGATTATGTACCGCTTCTGACTCGGATGTTCGACATCCTCGGATTTCTCATCTCCTTTTTCCTCTCTCTTATTTCTCCCGCAACCGTTTGCACCTAATACTCATGCCAAGCGCCAAAGTCATTAAATTTCGCACTCACTCGGTTACGACCCTTGCTTCATGGCTAAGCCCACATATCCGCTATCATCGTGATATACCCGAGTCTTGCTACAGCTGGCATATCTAGCTGCGATAAGCCCTGCAGAACACGTCCGTGCCATGTAAAACACTGTGTCAATCAAACGTGGGAAGTGTCTTTGTGTCGCTCGTGAGTTGTATCGCCTTTTACAGCCGATCATCTCGTTCCTCGAACACTGGCCTTTCAAATACTTATCTTTCGACTATGTTTGTCCTGTGGGGAAGTCGATATCAGTGGTCATTGGTCAAACAGCTCACCTTATCCACCCTCTGTCGATGCACTGACTTTCCATATCAAACCTGCTACTGACTCGCCCCGCCTCGATTTCGATTTCGATCGGAGCACTTGCTGATCAGGTTCACTCCAACATTTGTCAATCAGATCTCATCAGACACCTGTGAATTCAATGGCACGTTCCTCACCTTCGTTCCTAGCCGCTGGTGCACGTTGGCAATCTCACTCCTCACAAATCCTTCTTTAGACCATTCCTTTTCATACATCATTCGAAGCAAGTCTCGAAAGTCTGTGAATTGACGCCGTAATCACTTCAGAACCATGGCCTCGCCCGATTTTAAATGCCAGCTCTTCATCGACCTTCCTCATCGAGTATTCCAATTCAATCATGCGTATGGGCGCTTAGATACCGCAGCAATGGCTCCACTATCATTATCTTCGCATAGAGGTGGATGGCTGTTGCAATAGTGATAACGCTAGGTTGTTATCGATTCCAAATTCCAAAGATCGCCACCCATGCTTACTGAGGCTTAGATCGGCCGCTCGTGCCACTTCGTTGGAGCCACGAGGCTCATAACATTAAAATGTCATAAAAGTTAGGACAGGCAGATCGTCTGTAACTCATCGTGGTGCTGATTTCCCTCCCCGACATCGTTTGATTGCCTGGCAAGCGCACGTCCTAGCCAGATGCGTTAACACTACTTACTTCTACGACCCCAGAGGACCACACTCTGAAGCGAACACCACTTACTCATACCATCATGGTCGACCATCTGACTCAGGCTGTTCTACGAACCTTGTGTCAACTTGAAACATCGCGTTAACAATTGAAGTGCCCAGCGTGGAGCCCGGACGTGTCATCGAGAACAGGTCTGGCATAGCAATCGTACAAGGCAGTTCTATCCCAACTCTCAAAACAATCCAACGGACGATAGGTCCGAATGAGCACGTTCGACAATGTTCCGACTCGTGACAACACAATAGCGAAAAGCCCATCGGGTGGTTACCGCCGACGCTCACCATTCTCGCGTCATGTTGCCCAGGCTTAATTCGAGAACGGGCGATTAGATTCATGCCGGCATGTGGCGATGTCGTATAAAGATGCCGACGATTAGCTTGGGTTTCCATTTTGTCCACTATTGCGCCCATCTTCCAAGAAGCGGATCTTGAAGGCGGAGCCATGAGATGAGTTCTTGGACGGCAGCCGCCATCTTGATCGCTGATTAGATTCCGTGCGTGTATTTGTGCTCGGTGCCGCGACATGCTATCGATAAGCTGAAGTACGTACGATCAAAATGTCGTTAGTCGTGAGCTAACGCGATCAAAGGACATGGATACATCAGAGTGGTTGACTGGTGAGGTCAAGGTTCGTGCGAGACGTACGATATGCGTCATATAATACAAATTGACGATGATGGTTGCTGGCACGAAGCGAGACCGTCGGGCACGGAGATTCAAGAACGGCCGCAGCTGGCGCGCGGTTAATGCTCTGGAATGTAAAATGACCCCAGCAACCGCATGCTGATAGGCTCTACTTTGTTGCAGATTACAGGATCTCACCTAAAGGGTCAAAGACAGGAGAATGAAGGGGATAGATCGGGCGCATTAGCCTGGTATCGGAGAGTAGCAACATGGTAAGGGGTACCTAACTAGGAAGAAATGTCCTCCGAGATGGAATGCCGAAGGGGTTAAACCATACTCTTGTCAGTATATCTCCTACTAGTACTTACTGGGATGATACATACCAGATCGGAATTTTTTACCTTTGATTTGAGTGCTTGCAGATTTACTCACGGTGTAAGGCACTTTGTGGGCGAATTTGGGAGTACGGCTGCGCCCAAGTACGTCTGTCAGTTGTCCACACATGTCGGAGAAGATTAAATATTAATTATCGGTCACCACACAGGCTCAGCGCTCACCGTCGAGAATTTGCTGACGCCAAGTACTAGGAGTACTAGTACTCAGTGAGTCTAGAGTCCAGACATACGTCTGTGGCGGTGACGGCCACCGTGGGAGTGGTGATGCCCGTTGAGAAGCCGGATGGACCTGGAAATACACGCCAGCGTAGCTTGCGTGGGATTGGATGACTATGATACGGAATACGTTTAGCGAAAAGGAAATTTGTATAAGAAACAAACCATAAAGCATGGGAACTCTTATCACGCGGGATTTTTGGATAGGCCTTCGATAACGAATGTATACGTACTGCGGCTGCAGCGGACGACGACGAAGAGTTCTCAACCAAGTAGAAGACGGCACATATTGTGATGGTACTCACTGGCAGGGTAGTAGCGATCATATGTTACAGCATTGAGCGATTGATGGTCGAGTGAAAAGTCTGCTTTCCATGCAGAGTAACTGGGTAATACGGGAAAAGAGCATAGATGACGTCAGAAGATCCAAGACTTGAGCTGTTCCTTCCAAGTCGCTGTGAGCAAGTCAGCGGTAGATTATGTCAGCGTCTACGCTGGCGTTAGTGGCCTAAAAGGGAAGTCAACTTAATCAAGGAAGGGACCCCCCGGGCCCTGGTCTAGAGTCCCCCTGTAAATTTAAGGGACTCCAGAATTAAATATTAAGGACTCGAATGGCATCGCACGGCTCAACTTCCTGATATGGTCTTTTTTTTAATCCCTGTTCTATCTCCGCATTATTTCAGCTTGCCGCGGATATAATCACATCGTCGATTACCACTACATAGCTGTGGTGCAGCTTCTGCGTTTCCATCGCATTAACGTACTTAACAGAGAGGGATGGCCAGGCTGCTTAGAAACTGGCGTCTGATCATCATTCTCTGCTATGCCGTTGCAGATGGTCGAGCTGTCGATCAAGATTTACCGATATCACCGAATCAGTAGTACTTGAGCGCTGAGCATCATGACGGTCGATGGCTCCGACGTCGAACTAGTGCTGTACGGCTCTGATTGATGTCTCCGGCATCGAACTAGTGCCGTACAGCTCTGATCCTGGCCTGGACCACTCACTTCAAAGGCGGTGTTTGTCACATCGGTGATGTTCCGAGTCTACCTGATTGGAAGTGAAGCTAGCATTTTTCATCCCGTCACATCTCCTCGCTGACGTTGACGGCTCTGTCCAGGCTTCCACCGCCACACATGCTCGTTACCCGATGAGCCCGACAAGTTCATACAGATAATTCATTTCTCGAATTCGAAGGATCTACGCCATCGCCTACTCTTATTACCAAATATCTATATCAATGCCAATCGTACGTCCTCGCTGCTTTGAGCTCGAGAGTCAAGCACTGAGCAGATGATTGAATACCGTTCAAATTTTGTAACACACGGCGCAGAGATATGGTTGCAAAGTAAGAATGCTAAAACTGTCGTTGTCCAAGTCAGTCGCTGCTGATGAACATCATGTCCCAAAGCAAGATTGTAATGAGATCAAAGGCAAAGCACATCCGGACTAACTCTAGATCTTGAAGGACCCCATCGGTCTATAATACTCAAAGAGTGCAAATGATACGCATATATATAATCTACTCAGCCTCCACGCTTGATCCCTCACTTCCATCTTCATCATCTGGAAGTAGAACGTGAAGGTGGTCATCAGGGCAGAATCGACGAATATCTTACCGTCTACGAAATCACTCCTGTCATACATTTGCTTCCTCAGTTGTTCTGGCTGTATTTCAACCTCGTCATCCTCGTCATCACACGGGGGATTTGCGATGATCTCTTGTAAAGCGTTTTCTAAAGGATATCGACTTTGCGCATATTCCAGTGGTGTGAGGCCGCCTGACATTGCCCTAGGGAGGGCGCTCAGCACTTCGTTTGACTAAGACGCGAGGAACGCACTGTTTACACTCTGCGCCACAACATATTAGTTCTTGAACAACTTCAAAACGATCCTGATCTTCTTCCATCTCCTTTAAAGCGATATGAAGTGGTGTATCGCCATTCTTGTTGCGGAGGTCAAGGTCGACAGCCCCGCCACAGAGAGCCACTACATCAGCCGGATGTCCTTGACGTACACTGAAGATCACGAGATGGATATGAGGAATCACATCACGGTATTAAAGCTTGCGATACGAACGCGAGGTGAAGAGCTTTCCGATGCCTCGCGAAAGTGAGTACAAGTAAAGTAGCCTTTGAATACGACTTACCGGTATTTCCCAATCTAACGTGTCGAGCGCCACATGCATCAGCACAACATCACTCTGTATGTGAGCGGCTTACGCGTCTGTGCAGTTCAAGTCTCCAAGGAACTCCTCAGTGTTCTCGTCAAAATAATCAGGGTTTTCCATCATCTCTTCCAAAGCCCCCTCAGTTAAAGCATTGACGAGGAGCAGTCTGTCTGTGATGAAGATCTGAGGAGAAGTGCATTGGGAATGGCCTCCAACGCACTGATAGTTTTGCGTCTGTCTTCTTCTTCCGCCATACTGTAGTTATATTCAAGCGCTGTCAGAAGATGATGGATCGATGTCTCGACTCTCCAGGAGCACTGCCACCATGTCAGCAATTAGTACCGTGTTGTGCAGTGGCTGTGCGATTGAATGTTCGATCGTGTGCTAAAAATAATACACCTCTTCACTATTGCGCTTCGAACTCGGTGCCATGATTTTCGTATGACCACTAACACTGCCAAATCTAAGAGCAAAGGGTTCTCCATGGAAAAGTAGGTCTATCTGTAGCAGATACGAGACAAGGGCTCTTCACCAACATTTGTACCTTCCAAGCAGCACACCAGGCATGCGTCCATTTCTACCTGCGATTGACTGTGATGGTGACAGCCGAGTGGTTCTCGCGAAACAGTCGCTGAAGGCCCGGTTTCTCTTGTCTCGAAGAGCCTTGTTGAGTGTGAAGGGCAGACTCAGTGGATCACGATAAAGACATCTAATACCATCCACATACATCGCAAATATGCCAAAGAGCCGCACGATATCATCAAAGAGGCGAGGCTGATCGCCTCTTTCATTTTCACAACTGACGTCGTATGCTCTTGAAACACAGGCCTATTTTCCCCTCCACTCACAAGCGAAATCACTTCGACGCATATGAGGTCTTCCCGGGCCTTCCATCGTTATCGTGCCCTATCCCGAACAATGTGGATTCGGACATCATCAACAACTCAGTACTCAACATCCATCCAGCCCGATACCATCATGGTACCGTTTGCGTTCTCGTTGCTACCATTCGTATAGGTATTTTAACCGGCTTCTCTTCGCCTCACTTCCTCCTCCGGTCACCATCGCCTACTTATTCTTCCGCCCTTCCTCCTCGTATATCCGAGTCTCTCATGCTCGAGAGAGGCTGATTTTGGACGAGCAGCTACTTATGAGCTGCCTGTGATTCTGAGCCTTCATCGAGCGGTATCCGGGTAGTTGGATGGCGTCATGGTCCATGCTGTTGGACACGGTTTCGAGGGGTGAAGAAGTCCATTGCGGCGATTCATCTGTTCAGACAAGGAGGCGATGGAGCCGAGTGGTGGTTCAAGTTCACGTCCAGTTCTTGTACACCTTCAAGTTATCCTTGGGGAAGCAATTCCAGATAGTACAGTACCGACGGGATGAGTGTATGTAATCATAGTGAATAAAATATTTGTGTACTCCTAAACGTTTTGCGAGAGCGAGCCCATTAAGTAGAACAGAACGAACGAAATCCAAGATGGTAAACAGGTGTTATATGAAATTTGTAGGATGTGCATAAATCTCCAGTCGATTGACATAAGGACATGCCAAAGCAATGCAGCCTGCTACTGTTCACGACACTTGTGCCATGATGTGCCGTGTGCGGCACGACTCAAGTCCAGGCGCAGGACATCGTTGGCTATCACTAGTGTGTTGCCCAGGGCATACACCGCTGAGTGGAAATTGAGCGGAATCCAGAGGAGAAGCCGTCCTTGGGGACCTACAACCCATCCCTCCTCGTTCGGAACGTAAGGAGTTGAGGTTTCAGACTCGCAGGTTGAGGAAGACTCGCAGGATGAGGAAGACTCGCAGGATGAGGATGGGGGTGGGGCTGGGGTTATAGACTTGGAATCTTGGAGAAAGGAGGAGGCGGAATGAAGGGCATGAGTCAGGTCGGATGAGTAGTGATGTTCCGGCCCGGCTTGGGCTCAAAGCCCCGGCTTAGGCTCGGCCTGGGGGGGGCTTAGGCTCACCAGATTTCAAGCCTGAGCCGTGAGCCCAAGCCGGCCCAAAGCCGGGGCTTAGGCCCATGCAAGCCGCGGCCCACATGCTGAATTGCATGTAATTGATGTCTGAGCTCCACCATGCTGTTCCCAACACCACGAACACCATGCGCAAACGCCCAGCACACATCAGCAACTGCTGACGTGGCTCAGACGAATACGGACGATGGACGAGAGCAGGAGAAGGGAAGAAGACAAGGAGGAGAACGAGAACGAGAGAGAGGAGATGGACGATTGGTAGCACTCGAGTGCTTCGATTCTGCACGCCCGGAAGAGTAAGCACTGAATACTATAACTCAGATACCTGAAGTGCATCGTCGAGGAGGCGTAGGTACTTGCGCTCGCAGTACGTGAGTCGAAGAGGGATGTATTTCGAACGGTCGACGAACCACTCGCCGACTTTGGATCCAATTGTAGGCTTCGCTCACCAAACAATCTGCCGCCGTTCTTGAGTTCGAAAATACCCTGTTGCACTTTAGGCGTTTGGCTGAATTTGTGAGGGTGCTTACGGTGTAGCCCCAGGGCATTTTATCAAACGGTCTGACTACGAACAAATGAAAAGAGACACAAAAGAGCAACCAGGTACGACATACCATCAAGAATATCAACTACAAGACAGTCTCTAGGCTCGGCGCCCTCCACAGCGATTGGACCAGACAAATTATGGACGCTAGTCAGGTCCACGTCTCTGATATCATCGCTCGCTGTCGGAAATAGTGGGCTTAAATCTGAGTCGAAGCTGATAAAGGTGATTCGAGTCGAAGCTGATAAAGGTGATGGGAGTCAGAAGCTTAGAAAGACAAAAATAGAGTCGGGAAACGTACCTCCGGTGAGTGCCACTGAACATGCCAAAGCCGCGGCTTAGGCCGCCGGCTCAGGCTTTTCGAAACTCAAGCCCGGGCCCAAGCCTTCCTCAGGCCGTGACTTAGGCCTGGGCTGGGCCCGGCTTATTTGGGCCCGGCTTGGGCCGGCCCAGGGCCTCAAGCCGAGCCGTGCACATCACTACGGATGAGAAACATATTGTAGATGCTTCAAATGATTGGTGAGGCCGGATTAGAAATTCTAGATCCCACACCCGGATGGTATTGTCAACTGACCCAGACACGATGCGTTTGCCATCAGGGGAGATTGCGACAGACAGAACGCGTCCAGCGTGCCCTCGGATAGTGGCCACTGCCTCGCCAGTCTTCATATCCCACACGCGGATGGTCCGATCATCCGAGCCAGACACAATGCGATTACCATCTGAGGAAATCGCAATAGTGTAAACACCGCCAGTGTGGCCTTGGAGAGGGGCGCCCACTTGCTCGCCGGTCCCCATATCCCACACACGGATAGTCTTGTCTCTTGAGCCAGATACAATGCGACATACATCCTGCGAGATTGCAACAGAGGTGACCGGATCAGTGTGACCTTGGAGACGGGCCCTCAATGCCTTGCCAGCTTCCATACTATCCCACACCTGAATTGTCCCGTCAATCATACCGGACACTATGCGATTTCCGTCTGATGAAATCGCGACAGACCAAACCCAGCTAGAGTGTCCACTGAGATAATATGCCTCGCCAGTCTCAATATACCATACATAGATTGCGTCAGAGGCACCAGATACGATGTGATTTCTATCCGGTGAAATTGCGACAGACTGAACCTGGTTAGCGTGACATTGGAAAACACCTGATGCCTTCCCAGTTTCCACATTCCACATGCGGATATTCTTGTCAGCTGAACCAGACACAACCCCCTTCCCGTCCGATGAGACTGCAACTGACAGAACAGAGTCTGTGTGCCCTTGAAGAGGAGCAATCAATGCCTTGCCAGTCTCTATATCCCACACCCGAACTGTTGTATCATTTGAACCAGATACGATAGAACATCCATCGGGCGAGATTGCAACAGAATTAACAGAGCCAGTGTGGCTTTCGCGGGTAGCAACCAATGCTTTGCGTATGGTATCGGCATCCCACACCCGAATCGTCTTGTCAGTCGAACCAGAGACTATGTGACTTCCATCCGGCGAGACTTTAACAGACCAAACCGAGGAAGTGTGGCCTTGGAGAGGGGATCCTACTGCCTCGCCAGTCTTCGCATCCCACGCCCGGATAGTCTGGTCATCTGAACCAGACACGATGCAGTTTCTATCTGACAAGATTGCAACTGACGTCACAGTTTGGGTATGGCCTTTGAAGGGGGTACCGATTGCCTCGCCAGTCTGCATATCCCACAACCGAATTGTCTTGTCTTCTGACCCAGAGACAATGCGTTTGCCATCAGGCGAGATTGCGACAGACCGAACAGGGCCAACATGGCCTTGGAGAGAGGCGCCCAATGCCTCACCAGTCATCGTATCCCACACCTGGATGGTCCTGTCTTCTGACCCAGACACAATGCATTTCCCATCCGGGGAGATTGCGACAGAGAAAACAATGCCCTTGTGGCCTTGGAGTGGGGCACCAAACGCCTTGCCAGCCTCCATGTCCCACACCCGAATTGTGTTGTCCCACGAACCAGACACGATGCGTTTACCATCCGGCGAGATTGCGACAGACACAACAAAGTTAGTGTGGCCTTGGAGGGGAGATCCCAATGCCTCGCCAGTCTTCGCATCCCAAACCCGGACTGTTTGATCCCACGAACCTGAAACGATGCGGTGTCCATCTGGCGAGAATGCAACGGACGCAACACATTCAGTGTGGCCTTGAAGAGGGGGACACAATGCCTCGCCAGTATTCATATCCCACACCTGGATCGATCCATCATATAATCCACACACAATGCATTTTCCATCTGGCGACAGTGCAACCGAGAAAACCATGTCACTCGCACAGAGTATCTTCTCCATCTGAGGCCAATTTTCGACATGACCAACGACGATGTGGGGGGTGCGAGGAAACTTTGAGGCGAACTTACGGAACATTCTTGACTGCGTAGGAGCGAACGGCAGAGCGGACAAGTATAAATGGGGAGTGCTGCGTAGAATGGTGGCTGCGAAAGTTCGGACGAAACGCAGGGTATCCCTGGTGGCGTCACTAACGTGCGCGAACTCGGTATGACCCTACGACCACCCCGCTAATTGTGAGAATTCGTTGGGAAAAGAATGAGCTTGAGCCACTCACCGAAGACCACTTTGTGATGGATGAGAGGGTCGCTACTGAGCCACCGAGGTTTTTTGTCAGAGCCAGTGCTTCCAACCACCAAAGAAGGCGCTCTTCGTCGAAGAAAGCCTCGACTTCATTGGCTAGCGATGATTCGAAGGACATGGCTGCCACATGCATACCCCAGAATCGACACGAGTATGATAGCTGCCTCGAAATAGAGTCCTTGACTCGTGTCTCCAAATCAGGGACGGAAGAGTTGGGCAAGTAAGAATTCTCTAGGGAGCAAATGTTGAAGCGAAGTCCGTCCTTCATGACCCGAAGTGAGGCAAAGGCGAGGTCGCTCTGTACTGATGATGTATCAATGAAGAAGTTGTGGCTCCGCGATTTGTCGGTGAGAAAGTCGTAGAAGGACGCGTGGAGGGGACGTATGGGAGTATGGGAATCCGAGGTGCCCATCAAAAGCGACCCCAGTGGCCCAACGACCCGGTCCATGTTGTAATCGCAAGTCCCTTCGGGAAAATAGAGTCGCATGGTGGTCAATGCAGGCATGGGAAGTGGTTCCAACGATACAAGAATTTGCCCCATCACAGAGCGAAATATGGGGATACCTTCCTCGCGCTCGTCCTCTGGCATGTAGTGCTGCCGTGGTCCGGTTCAGTCCGGTTCAGAGGGTCATAGAGGAGAACCAAGAACCGGACCATTGGTTCGGTTCTATGAAATGTCCGAACCCAGAACCGGACCACAGAGAACGGTTCTCTATGGTCCGGTTCGGTTTTTTTGGGGTCCGAACCTGAACTGGACCCAAAAATTCTGTAGGGAGCGCAGGTAGAAGTTCGAGAGTTTTCTCCTGCATCTACGAAGGTGGGTAGAGACCCTATGGTAATATCTTTGAGTCGAGTCGTGTGCGCATTAAATATGAATGATCTGTCAGGATAAGCAGCGGTCAATTTGCAAGATATCATTTCGAGTGTAACAAGCACAAGGCATTAACACAGAATACGAGTAACGAGGGAGACAGTAGGTGCTGATAAACTGCTCTGTGTGTGTGCTGAAGGAGGTGTGTGTGTGAACGTGTAGTGAGTACAAGGCGAGACCGGAGTAGATGATGTGCTCAATGGCAGGGTGCGAAGTTAGGAAGTTGGTCAAATAAGACTTATCACAGCTTCAAAACGAGCTCTCCCGCTCGCAACCTTCATCTCAGTCCAACGGGTTTCGACGTTTGAAGTTAGGGTCCAGAACTGTTGCAAGAAAATACGGTCCAAAGCGCCACCCACAAGCGTTTGCGCCATCGTGGAAGTGGTGAATGGTGGTGGCTGGGAGTGCGCAAAGACACAGGTAACGTGGCAGGCACTTGTTGTTGTGCCGCAGTTGATGGTCTCAATACCAAGCGACATTGAGAAGTAGGAGGGCATGAAAGATGGGGCGTGGCATGAGAACAGGTGGGAGAGAGTTAGCACGAGAGAATGGGCACAAGAGGACAGGTACGAGAGAGCAAGCATGAGAAAACGGGCACAAGATAGCGAGCACAAGCGAACTTGGTCTTTGTCGGCGCATTGATTTTAGGGGTGGAGGCGGTGGTTTCGCAGGAGTGGGACGATGGGCTTGCGGGAGGAGTTGCACAATGAGACATGTGGTCTGATTCATCAGTTTGAACAGTGCATATCATGACTTACCTTGTCAATGGGCCTCTGCATTTGATGGAAACAAGTAAATCTTGAAGCTTAAGAATCCCTGAGGCCAAAGTGGATCATCAAAGGAAGGTGTCAAGGTGTGCTTCAACAATGTGGCAAGCTTCTTTCGGTTCGCGGTTCGGAACGGTTCGGGACCGGTCCGAACCAAAGTCAAACCGTTCGCCCAATGGCAGAACCGAGAACCGTACTATGGTCCGGTTCTGGCTGACACCTGGACCGTGGACCGAACCACAGGAGAACCGGACCAAAAGTCCAGTTCGAACCATGGTTCAGGACCGGACCACGGCAGCACTACTGGCATGATGTCTGCCAAAACACGTTGATACATATCATCCAACAAACGTGTTCCTTTTGCAGATCTTCCAGAAACCACAGCATCGAACCGACCCTTTGGATCCATGCCGACTCTGTTGGTGCCCTTGATATACTCGCAGGTGAGACGAGCCCATTCAAACAGGCCGTCGGATTTCAGGGCAAGCACCTTGAAGTGCGCATCATTGAAGACATGATGCAGACCTTCCAACTTGTGGGAGATATAATGCTGTATGTCGAGTTCTGTGGATGCAGACGAGATGCCATCTAAAGAAACGTGGCGAACATGCGGTGCGGCGTCCAGAGTGTTGTGAATGTCTTCGAGTGGACGGGAGGTGAGGAGAATGCGGAAGTTCGCTGGCAGTTTGCATGGTTGTGAGGTGGAAGTGTTCAGTTTACCAGCGAGCAGACGAAGAATTTGTTCCCGAGAGTTGGCTTCGCCGCTCTCGTCTAACGCATCGATGACTATCAGCACGGGTGCAGCGATGGCATTTGAGGTCGTGTTTGTTGGTCCGACGATGAGTTCCTGCCATTGCTTTATGATATCTGGAGTGCGCTTGAGTCCGTCGTGATCACGAACTGCTCGGGCCAAGGCTCGTCGCACGATAGGGTTGCAGTCCGCCAATTCCCTTGCGATCGTCGTGAATATTTTGTCCTGACGCCGATCCACTTGCCGAGTGCGATCGAAGCAGAAGCATGAGCCAAGACCACCGTTTTCGATATACCAGTTGGCTATTGTATGGGCGACAGCCGATTTGCCCTTGCCTGCTGTGCCAGACAACCATAGAACACGTGGAGCGCCCTCCTCGGTGCTGCTGATCCAATTCTGAATGTCCTTCAGAAGGTCTCGCCGAGTATTTGACAAACAGCATTTAGACGTATTCAATCCGGCGCCCGTTGCGTACTCCATCCCTGCAAGGTCCAGAATCTCGGCTACGCCAGGGGTCATGGAGTGTCAGATAAGGCTCAAAGAGACCTGAAAACGTCTCTTACCCATACGGTGAACGATCACGACGGTGTCACGAGCCGCTTGGTCTCGGAATTGCTGCATGAGACTGTCCAGAACATTGTTGTAGCTCTGAATCGTTTCGTCCGTTTCGTCGAAAACGTGCTTGCCGAGTCTTATCCCTATAAAAGCAGGAAACATTGAGTCCCAGGCGATAAAGCGGTGGAATCAACTCACAGGCGTTCTTCGTCTCAGAGTAATGGCTGATAAAATCAGTGCACTCCAGTGTTTGCTGCGCTATCTTCCCATATATCGCTAGCATGGGTTGGATCTTGGCCAATTCCTCCTCTTCGGCGATGAAAGTATAGACTTCAGATATCTTTGAGAGTAGACCGGAAACTGCGACATCGCGGTCTGCCTGATCGAGAATCATCTATAACCAAAAATTCGTTGACCTACAACGGCAATGATCGAGAAAGAAGCTTACCTTGGACGCGCAAGTGAAGATACTCAGTGCCACCTTCGCGTAGGGATGGACCTGCATGTGAAAGTCAGTCATGTACAGAAAAGAGATAAATGATTGTACATTTGCGATTTCGTTGGCAATGGAGCTGAATGCCTTCAAGGGTCTAAGCAACGGGGAGAACGTATCGATTGTATCAGAAACAGATGGTAGGTTGTTGACCGTGGAAGAAGCATCTTTGACTATTGTTGGGACCTGGCCGATGCCTGCAACACCTTTGGTAGCATTGGCGATTCTTTCGTTCACAAACTTCGGGTCCAGATGTTCGGCCTAAGTAAAGACGTCAGCATATCGTCGAAAGAGACAAATGAAAATATTGCAAACTTCGTTGGTCGAACTTACCTTAGCTACAATCCCAGAATCGGAAGACTGCTCGCGATATGCTTCAGAAGTGGGAGCAGTGAGATCCTGTAGAGGTGATTAGTAGCAAATAATGGCAAGCGCCCTGGGAATGCTCAGAATTGAAATTGGACATGCCTTGTTGGACTGAGTGGGTTCAGGGTTGGGGGACTGTTGAGCGCTTCGAGCGAAGCCCTTGGTCACCTTGCTAAAGAGCTTGCGAACTGACCCCGAGGATCGTCCACTAGACCCACTCCTCGAAGGCGAGAGAGAGGATGGCTGATATGATTAGAAACAATGTGTGGTTCTAAAGACGAAAGTTCATACATCTTGACTGGCTCCCTTCCTGCCTCTGTCCTCTACCGAATGTGGGTCTGAATGTGGCTTCAACCACTCCCAACGTTTCTTCCAAGGAGGATTGTTTTCATTCATCTAGTAAGCGGGGAGGATGGCTAGGTGGGTAATGCCTTGGTGAAAATGGAACAAGGAGGGTGGTGGGTGGCACGAAAGATAGACAGGCGCCCACTACTGCATGTTGCGGCGATGACGGTTATTATTAACGATGAACCATGTGTGCTTGGAAGCGCCCATTATTGATTGGCCAGACCACTAGATACCATGCTAGAATGTTATCCAAGGCTGAGCGCTGAAGACTCGTGAGTAAGCCTCGCCGTTATTTGGTGCACTCGACGATCGAGTAAGAGTTACACTGCTGCAGTACTTATGGGATACAGTCACAGTTCACTCAGGATTATCGATTCAAAATCCTACACGTGGGGGTGGTAAGAACAGCCATAATTGTGTCATTCTACTGACGATGTACTGGAATCGGAAAGACTGTAGAACAGCGAAGGGCGAGCCTTCTTCTCGAATTCCGCCATAAGATGATAGCACTGACACTAATACGTCAGCAATTAGTACCGTGGCTGTGCGATTGAATATCGTGTGCTAAAAATAATACACCTCGAACTCGATGCCATGATTTTCGTATAACCACTAACACTGCCAAATCTAAGAGCAAATTGTTCGCCATGGAAAAGTAGGTCTATCTGTAGCAGATACGAGACAAGGGCTCTTCGCCAACATTTTTGCCTTTCAAGCAGCACACCATCCATTGTTGGCATGCGTCCATTTCTACCAGATAGCTGCGATTGACTATGACGGTGACAGCCGAGTGGTTCTCGCGAAACAGTCGCTGAAGGCCCGGTTTCTCTTGTATCAAAGAGCCTTCTCGAGTGTGAAGGGCAGACTCAATGGATCGCGATAAAGACATCTACCATCCATCGCAAATATGCCAAAGAGCCCCACGATATCATCAAAGAGGCGAGGCTGATCGCCTCCGCATGTCATCCAAATGTGAGTCTCGCACAGAATGGTTTGGCTAGTCTTACGTCTCTCCATAAGGTGGTTTCTATCTTAGGCCATAACATCGATTCAACCCGGCAGACCATGAGCTTTTGGATGCCATATATGCCTTCGTCTCTGATCGCATTGTTGTCTTCGAACGACTTTTCGCCTCATCCACTCATTTCAATTATGGCCGCAGATCCATCAAATCCGAGTCCGCGCGAGCAGCGCTTCGTCCTTCTCGCGAAATCTCTCATGTTTCAAATCCTAATTGGCGTGACATTCCTTCACGAGACCGCGAAAATTGCGCACCGAGATATCAAACCAAGCAACATACTTCTCACGTCATCTGGCCGAGTCCAGCTCATTGACTTTGGCATATCCTGGAAGGAAGGGGAAGATCTTGCCGCGAAGAAAAACGATTTATGGGTTGAAACCCCAGAAAAGATGTACTTTGAAGTTTCTACGGGGTATGATGTCCCTATCTGAGCGAGTATGAACCGGGCTCACTCAGATGTAGACCATACCGGGCCCCTGAGCTGCTGTTTGGGCCTAGGAATTATGACCCATTCGCGATCGACTCTTGGAGCCTCGGAGCGACTTTTGCGGAATTCTTCACTTCCGTTCGTCTGTTTAACCCACTTGACGACGAAGACTTCGGCGATGAGCAGTCTGACTCAGACGACGATAGCCCCGGCGGCCCATCGAAGCCAGCCGAGCCGTTCATCATACCAAAGAGACTTCGCATCGGAGATCCCACAAACAGATGGGCCAGGGATTCACTGTTTGATTCCACACGTGGAGAGATTGGTTTAGCATGGAGTGTTTTCAAGATACGAGGTTCGCCAAACGAGACCAACTGGCCAGTGAGTGACTTTCGATTTGTTACTGGGATCTTCTTTTCTGACTCCAACAAGTCCTTCTTGAGTTTACCGGATGCAAACAAGTTGTCCTTTATAAATGTGGAGCCTGTTGACCTTGCCTCTATCCTACCCAATTTTCCTTCATCCGCGCAACGGCATGAAGTCGACACAAAGACACACATACCCCCAGAGACCATGTTACCAACTCCTGCTGACCTTATCCACCGATTCCTTGTATACGAACCATCTCAGCGTCTCCGTCCTTCCAAGGCTTTAACTCACCCCTGGTTCACCTCCGAACCACCATTACTTCTGCCAGATGACTTTCCTGTCTCGAATATCCCTGGTGAGGTCCCAATAAGCCTTAGCTGGGGCGCAAAGTCTTTGGGAGAATGGTTTGCAGACGTTCATCCCAGTGGCGCAATTTGAAGGGATGAGTAGAACGACGGATACGACAGGATCATTTGTTATACAATGCACATAATTTACAAAGCATGATAGAAAGCCAGAACTCGACCATTACAGAGCTGGAAGTGCCCATGCATCATGCATGTATCTCAGGCTGCCGCAGGCACAGGCTTGATGGCTCGACGAGCAAGAGCGTGGTTATCGATGGATATACCTGTGCAAGAACAAATGAGAAACATATCCAATGAGATAATCACCTCACTAACTCTGTGTTGCATTTGCAGTCTTATAGATACCAATGAGACGGTGACTGAGCTCGAACATGTCATTCCTGCGAATTCATATTAACTAACGTGGTTCTCGGGAGAGAGAGAATTGTCACCTCAAAGATATGATGATGAACTGTGCGTTCTTGGTACGATCCTTGATATAATTTGCTACAATCGAGACATTCCTGAAGTCTAGGGCCGCATCTATTTCATCCATGAAATAAAGTGGTGTAGGCTAGGACAGGTTCAGGCCACTGGAACTTCTCAGAGTTGATGCGAGATTTACCTTAAACACATGCAGAGCGAACACGAGAGCAAGTGAGCTAAGGGTCTGGAGAATGATTAATATGTGTTTTCTAATCCTCATAGCAGAATGTACCTTTTCGCCCCCAGAGAGATTTGAAATATTCTTCCAACTCTTCTTCGGAGGCATGACGCTGAAAATGATGCCCTCTGAGAAGGGATCCATGCTGTCGACAAGCTCAAGCTCTGCGTTGCCCCCAAGAGTGATCATCTAATGGAAAATATAGAATTTCGACGAACCAAAGAACGTCAGCACGGACCTGGTACATTTCCTTGAGTTTCAATGAAATCAAGCTGAAGCCTGCCATGAATTCATCCAAGCGTTGTTTCCGTAGACCATCGTAGAGTTGCTTCTGCGCATCGCGTGCTGCAGTGGTCTCCTCTAAGTCTTTGGCACGTTTCATGAATTCCTCCTCTCGCTTCTTGTACTCCTTGAGAACGTCGAGGTTCGGATTGGTATTCTTAAGTTTCTCTAAAGCGACCAGTTAGCAGTAATCACGTGCGACTAAGGTGGGGGAACATACCATCAAGATACTCAGAATCTGCAAGCATATCCCTCTTCTTGAAGCGTGCAAGTTCATCGGCACTGTATATGTATAGCTCGTTAGATGGTGTTCGCTGGCGAGCCTTTTTCGCAGGTGCAGAGTCTGCATGTTCCTGCTTCACCACCCCTTCACCACTGCCTGAAGCTCCAGCGACTTGATCAGCACCTTCCTCTTCGTCGTCGTCATCATCATCACTGCGAGTGGCTGTAAGCCTACGAAAGTTGAAACAATCCATAGACAATGGCTCACTCGATTTCGTGAAGCTTAAGTTGGTCGTGTTCCGTCCGCCAGTGATCAAGTACACGCTCATTTTCAGCACACTCTTTCTTCTTGTCAGCTAGCTTCTGGGTGATCTCAAGCTGCAAAACCTGTGAGTACCGAAATATCAATTGCATAGCAAATAACCAACCTCTTTCTTCCTGAACTCGTCGATTTCCTCGCGTTTTTCCTGGAGTTGCTGCTTGAGTTGATCGAGATCGTCTTTCGAGCTCTCCTGAGCAGCCTGCGCGGCCTCCACCTTCTCCTTGAGATCTTCCAAATACTGTGCGACCTCCGCCAGCTGATCCTTCAACTCCTCAAGCTCTTTCTCGACTTCCTCCAGCGCTGCGCGGTTGGTCTCAATGCCAGACGTATATTTTACGATGTTCTTCTCTGCGGTAGCCTTCATAACCTCAGCCTTGGTGACCTCCTCGTTAGCTAGCTGGTGCAGCAACCGAATACCGTCAACGGTCGACTTCTGCTTCAGCAGCTTGGAGCCACCAATTTCGAGGATCTTCTTTTCGAGATCTTTAATCGCGGCCTCGATAGCGCCAGTCTTGGTTTGCAGTTCTTCAAGCTCTTCTGTTGATGATGCAATCTGGGCATCTAGAGTGTTGATTCGAGCTAGATCCTTAGCGTTGGGCTTGCTTTGTGCCCTGGAAACTACTTAGTAGCGACCGAGCATAGGATAAATGGGATGCACGTACTTGAGATCGTGCACACGCCTCTCAGCGTCAGTCAGCCGTTTCTTGCCATTATTGACACCCATGGTAAGCTTCTCGATGTTAAGCTCTATTTCCGGGACTGCCTGAGTAAGCCTTTCGGCTTCTGCTTCGATATTGCGAAGCTCCTGCTGTGCCGCCTCAAGACCACGTGCCGCCGCCTCACTCTCTTGCTCATAGGTTCTCAGAACTTGTGGGCTCACTGCCTCCGCTTGGAGCTTGGAGCTCATTGCACCCCGCGAGACGTGGTTCCCACCACCCGACATCGTTCCTGATGAATCAATCAGCTGCCCTGCAAGCGTGACAACACGCCAACGCCTCGTGCTCCCGAATGCAATCCTGTTTGCTTGGTCCAAATTATCAGCAACAAGGGTGTTCCCAACGCCTTTGTAGAACGCAGATGCAAAGCGGGGATCCTTTAGCTTGATGAGATCGAATAGCCGCGGGACACCCTCGGGTGTGACCACACGCTCGTTGAGTTTGTCAGTGGGAAGCTTCTCCAGCACCATGAACGACGCACGCCCGATGTTCTGCTTGCGCAAAAACTCGATGCATGCTTGACCCTGGGCGACAGTATCTACAACCATGTTGTTAAGGGCGCCACAGGCGGTAGAGACTGCGACATCGTATTTGTCTGGAATCGTGCCTAGGCTACCGAGACGGCCCTGTGAGATAATGAGTGATTGAAAGGTTGCACAGAGCACGAGACCATACATGGAACCCATCGATCCGACCAGTCTGCTTGAGCTTCGTTAAGCTATCCAGGACTTTGTTCTGCGATGTGCTGGCTGCTTGGGATGCTCTAGCCTCCTCTGCCTTTTGCCGCAGGGAGCCTGCCTTGGATCGAAGCTCCTGGACACCAGCCTGAGCAGCCTGAACGGAAAGGGAAAAAAAGACGTCAAAGTCAATCACACCCTGCATGCCCGCAGACATACGTGGAATTTTTCCTCACATGTCCCCAACTTCTTCTGCACCTCTGCCTTTTTCATCTTCAAGGAATCCAATTCATTCAGCTGGACGTTCCATCAATGTCATCTTTCCCGCTTGACAAAATGGAACAGCACCTTGCCCTCTTGCTCTACCTGCAACTCAGCCAACTGCCCCTCCGCTTGCGTAACAGCGTCTTTCAGCCCTGTAGCTTTCTTTGCAAGTGCGTCCCGTTCAGAGCGTGCTACGTCAATCGCAGCCTGTTTGACATTGATCTTGGCAGTCCACGGCTGTAGCTCTTTTTGCTTCGCCTCAATCTGTTCGTGAAAGACTTGTGTCTTGTCTACCAATCTATGTTAACAACAGTGTCAAGTGTGGCGAGACCATGGACCCACCCTTCAAGCTATCCCGGATCCCTTCAAGCACCTTCTCTTCCTTCTCCAGGTTCGCTTCGTGCTCCGTAATCTCACGCTTCTTCGTCTTGATTTTAGTATCGGAGTCCTGGACTGTGTTATCGGCTTGCTTTTTCGATTGTTCATCCTATTTGAACGACATGTTAGATCTGTCCCATTCAGAATGCCAATGAAGGTCGGGAAATAAGCATGGAGCGGGGAGACAAATGAAACACGGGGATGCGTCGAACAAAATGCAAGGAAGTAAGAACAACAGCGAAAGAAACTCACGTCTGCCAACGCCTTCTTCAGCTTTTTCGCCTTCGCGCTTGCATGCTTCCGGCGCTCCTCAAGGCTCACGGACTGCTTCTCGCGTGCCGCGTTGTCCTTCGCCGCTTCCTCGGCTGCTGCTTTCACTTCCTGAAAAGATAGGATACATCAGCATTGAAGTAGGAAGAGCAACACACATCCATACCTCGTAAGCCTTCTCGCGCTCCTTGTAATGCTTCTCAAGCAATTCTAAATGAGTGATGTCATCCTTGTTGCGTTCCCTCTCATCTTCAAGCTCCTTCTCCAAATGTTCCTGCCCCACATATCAGCAGCGCAAATAAGAGGAAGAAAGATCAAGCACTCACAATTTGCGCGGCGAATTGTTCATCATTCTCTAAACATTTCCACAAATAATACTGCCACAGCCGGCTGAGAGCCCGCACATGCTCGTTCGCAAGCTTCAGCCATGCCAACGCTTCCTTCCTCTCTGCATCCAACTTCGCCTTCTCCTTCTCCACGATCCTCAATCTGGCCACCTTCTCGGTTCTCTCCTCTCCTAGTCGATCCACCTCGGCAAGAGCAGACTCGATTGGTGCTTTGAGCGCAGCAGTACCGATAATGTCCTCTAGGTATTCAAGTAATCCGTCATCATGCTCAGAATTACCTTTAGGCTTCATCTGCGCGATAGATTCAACTTCGCCCTGCAGAATAAGGAAACGCTTGTGCGTGAGGTCAATCCCACGCCCCTGAAGAAGTGTTTGGACCTCAGTGTAAGTGGACGGTCGTGAGTTGAGCGTATACCGAGAATTATTAGATTTGGTTGCTGTGCGAGCGACGACGAGTGAGGAATTCGGGACGACACTATATGCGTCGGGTCCAGGCTGGGAGGTTGAGTGACTTAGTTCGGTCAAACGTTAATATGAAGGAACATACGAGGTCGATGATCTCGCGGAAATGAACTTCTACGCTGCACTCATCCAAGTCAGGATACCGTGCAGAATTGTGGATGAGCTCCGAGAGCTTCCCTTGGCGCATCTTCGACGCGCGGTAACCAAACACAAAAAGGAGCGCATCGATCGTGTTAGATTTCCCGGAACCATTGGGGCCTACGATGGACGAAAAAGACTACCCGTTACCGAAGTTAAGTATAGTACACGTTAACTTTAAGAAGCGTACTAGAAACGTACCTTGTGGAAGGGCCCGATCTCTTGTCTGCCTGCGTAACTCTTGAAATTAACAAGTACCATCTTGTGTATCACAAGACGTGGCTTAGGACCTGAAGGTTCTTCAGCGGGCGGAGGCCGCATTACCGACACAGGTTTCACGCGGGGCTCAAGGAGGGAAATTTCTTCCTCTTCCTCCTCCGGTGGGGCAGGGCGTTTAGGCGTCATTTGCGACAGCTGCGATTGACGTGGTACACGCCGAGGCGTCTGCATAAATTCTTCCTGGAATCCGTCGAGGTCATCTGTGTTGTCTTCGGCAGTGGGTGAGGGATGCTTGGGGGGTGTAGCAGGGGCAGATTTGCGAGGCCTGGGAGTGACCTCGACATCAGCGGGAAGCGGCATTGCCTTTGGCTTTCTAGAAGACACTTTAGGGCTTCTGGGAGGAGGTGTAGCATCAGATTCATCACTAGATATAGTAATAGGATTGTGTTCGTCATTGTCGGATTCAGATTTGACAGGCTTGTGGGATCGGGGAGCCGGTTTGGGCTTTGCGGGCTTGATATCTTCATCGTCTTCGACGTTGTTTTTTGCCTTGCGAGGTTTCCTTCCCTTAGCCTTCGACGCAGGTTTGATTTCTTGAACATCGTCATCGTCTTCAGGTGCTTTGCGAGATGTTCTTCCGCGTTTGGGTTTGGCGGGCTCAACTGCTTGAATTTCCTCCTCGTCTTCCGAGATAGTAATAGGTTCCTTCATTTCCTCTACATCTGAATCTTCTACCACGGGTTTGCGCGATCGAGTTGCCCGGGGCTTCGCGGATGCCTTCCGAGAGGGTTTTATTTCTTGCACCTCGTCGTCGTCGTCGTCCTGCACAGTTTTCTTCACTCGACCTCTCCTTGGTTTCTGCAACTCCACAATTTCATCGTCATCGTCATCATGATCCTCACCCTCAACAAAATTTCTCAACTTCTTCTTCACAGGTTCCTCCTCCTCCTCCTCTGTCTCAGCCACCTCTTGCAGCGCGCGATTAGGTTTCACAGACGAGCGTGTAGATGCTCTTGCAGACGCTCTGGAAGAGGGTGCTGCAGGTACTTTCGAAGAAGGGCCCACGCTGCCTCTTGTCGATGTCCTGCGTGCTCCGGGCGCATTTTCTTTCTCCTCTACATCGTCTGCGTCGGTTCGTTTGCGTTTCGCAGAGTTTGATGCCTCTTGCTCAGTGGACGGTCGTAAAGAGCGAGACGACCTGCGGGGAGGCATCGTTGGGAAATTTCCCAAACTTACGACGATCTTGGTTGATCCAGGAGAAAGGTTCTACGCGTGATGCGTTGTGTGACTGTTCGCGTGTGTCACATCACATGACTAGCCTGTAGGTTGACCCGACTCCCGATCCTCCTTCTTTGGCACGACTTAATACTTACTTATCTCTCACACAAGCTCGGAGTGTCGTCACGGTGTATCGTTCGGTAAAGCGAGACAAGATCCGAACAATTGAAGATGGATTGAGTTTGACCATCCCTTGTATGAGATCGTCACGTTTTGTTGCCAATCATGATGTTCATCAAATCATTTTATCCGTTCCCGCTTCCAGTTTGTCCAAGGACCAAGGTGCAGTCTTCCCTTTAATTATTCTCGTCTCTTTAGGACATAGACATCACGTCTTTTTCAAATCCAACTTAACAGTGCATTTCCTTTTCCCTTGCCGTCCTCGACTATATTGAATACATCTATTTCTCAAACTGTGGTGTACTATCATCTCTGGGTCGCTTTTGCTGATCATAATAGCATCTATGTTTGCACCCAAGAAACCAATACTTTGAGTATACCATTGGTTTTTCAGTTCGAGGTCGAAGTAGGTCGAAGTAGAAGTTTTATTGATAATAATATAATGTAGGTCCTGGTACTATCTTTGACTTTACGCTGAAGTCCACAGCAAAAATCCCACCATGCATCATGCCGAGGCATCGGAATATCATACGGAACAGAATTGGAAAGGTTCTCTCAAAAAATGGCTGACTCCTCCGAGTTGAATAATGCAGCATCGTATTCGTAGGGGTGACCTTCAACCTTATAGGATGTTTAGCAGCCGGTCAAGTCTATTTTTTAAGCATAAAACCAGTGCTCATAATTTGTTCGTGTAGTCGCTATGTGTCAGCTGCACTTCCAGGTCATGTTCTGGACCGTCTGATTGGGCCATACGGCCAGTGGACATTCGAATTTGTTGTCATTGTTTGCTTGTACAGGCTTTGATCGCGCTTACCGTCATGACCAACCCATGGGCCCTCACAAATGTGGTCATCAATGGTACCCATAGTCCAATGCCACGGTCGTGCTGCCGGTCAAGACACTGACCGCTTAGTGTATTCACAGCTCTAAATCGTTCAAAAGGGTGCATGTTTACAAGGTAGCTATCCAGTTCTCCCCTCTGAACGCTCCTTCACAAAACACCTCCCTTATCCTTAGACTACTAATCACAATGCCCGATATCGTGCAGGTCGGCTCCAACGTAACCGACAAGCCCTCATTCAAGATTGACATTCCCTCGCTCCAGCAGCGCCTCGCCAACTTGAAGAGGAAGCGGCGCTCCAGCTCTTCTGAGAGCTCCCACCCAGGACGCTCTCAAGTCGAAAAGTCACGAACGGAAGTTGAACCGAAGGAGGAGGAAGAGGGGTCACCAAACCTAGCAGAGGCAAATCAGGCTGTATCGGACAGGCCGCGCCTGTATATCAGGATCCGGCGTCCAAAGCCGCAGATTCATCCTGTGAAGGACGAAGGTAACACGCCGGAAGTCGAGCCGAAGGCGGAGAAAGAGGAGTCACCAAGCCTGGCAGAAGAAAATCAGGCTGTATCGGACGAGCCGCGCCTGTATATCAGAATTCGGCGTCTAAAACCGCAGATTGATCCTGTGAAGGACGAAGGTAACACGCCGGAAGTTAAGCCGAAGGCGGAGAAAGAGGAGTCACCAAGCCTAGCAGAAGAAAATCAGGCTGTATCGGACACGCCGCGTCTGTATATCAGAATCCGGCGTCCAAAGCCGCAAACTGATCCTGTGAAGGACGAAGGTAACACACCGGAAGTCGAGCCGAAGGAAGAGGAGTCACCAAACCTAGCAGAAGCAAATGAGGCTGTATCGGACAGGCCGCGCCCGTATATCCGAATCCGGCGTCCAAAGCGGCAGACTGATCCTGTGAAGGACGAGTATTCCGATGCTGGCAAATCACAGGAGAAAGAGGGGGATGAGGACAGTTATCGGGAGGATAGCTCTTCCGAGAGTAGCGATGAGTCGGCCGATGAATACATACCTCCACGCAAGCGCCAGCGTCTTCAAGCCAACCCGTCCTCGCGTGTCCTCCGCTCCTCCAAGGGAGTGCAGACAAATAATTGATTGCACCTGTGTTACTACTATACAAGTGGTTCATATTTTGAACTTTTTCTAACGGTGTAGAAAGCTGATGGAATTACATAGAAATGGTTGCCTGTGTACTATAGAAAGCTTGGAAGGGGCGTTCTCACAATATTGAAGAGGGACTCTTGGGGAAGATGTAGTAGATAACTGCAACCACTACTGTAAATATTGTATCACGAAATATGTACGTCAACTTATGAATTGGATTCGGACAAGGCATGGACACAAAGAAGGGTATGCGTGAGCATTTCAGTCGCTTAATCTTGTTGCCCGTACGTGTCTGAGACTATTTATCTTATGAACTCGTTATCCTGGCATTCGAGCAGTGCACCCAACCAGTACTAGTTGACGGGTAGCTGCCTCGGGGACCGCTACAGTAGTCATTCCTCTGTACAAGTAAGCCCAGTCCCTTAGTCTTGCAACGAGCATCGAATACATTTATTGGGCAGGCTTTCGAAAGAGTTTCTACGGAAGGACTGGGCCGTCTCACAACACAAGTCGATATTTGAGCTCCGGAATTTGATACTATCATCTAATTTAGATACCGGTAAACACAACTTACACGACTCCTCGTATGTTAACAAAAATTCCTGTAGATCGAGGAATGGATGTTAATGATCAATCACAGACCTAAACTATACATCCGCCCAGCCCTGATCGATTCCTTCTCGCATGACCCACCTGCATCCCCCTAACCACTTTCTTATCCTCTCTTCATCTCGTTCCTCCCCCTCTTCCAACACGCTTGTGTCACCAGCGCCTTGCAGTGCCAACACAGCCCACCCAACAACCATCATACCCGGAGGTCTTTGCTCTCCCGCAATATCCAACGCTTCACATATATCACCAAGCGTACTTGCGACTACCCGTTGATCAGGCATAGAGCCGCGCTCGATAATGGCAATAGGCGTGTTTCGAGGGTATGGACGCCCCTCTCGTCTCCTTTCACTATTCTGCAGGCCTTCCCTACTGTCACTGTCGTTGCGAATCATAGCGTCAACAACCTGCGCTATCCGGGCGACGCCCATGAGGATGAGCACAGTCCGCGAGCGTTCGTAACCAGGAAGCTTGACCTCCTTCCCTTGTCGCCCAACTCCGGTGCACACAACGACACTTTCTGCAACGCCACGCTGCGTGACTGGGATTCCAGCAAAAATAGGCGCTGCAAGTGCAGACGAAACGCCCGGAACAACGAGCGGTTCGAACCCATGTGCTCGGAAGAAGAGTACTTCCTCCCCTGCACGGCCATAGACGACCGGGTCTCCTTGTTTCAGCTGTGTGACGAGATAATTTGTCAGTGTCAAAGAAATGAAGAATCGGACGTACTCTGACGACAGTGAGGCCACGTCGAGCAGCTTCGACGGCTGCGTCCATCATCTCTGACTGCGCGCCTTCGGCATTGCCAGGGAATTTGCGTGCAATGCGCACCTCGACAGTTTCAGGTATGAGAGCCAGTACAGCAGCGGGAACGAGCTTGTCCGAGAGAACAAGATCTGCGTGTTTCGTAAGCGCATTATGAGTTGCAATGGTGAGAAGGGAGGGATGTCCTGGGCCGGAACCAACGAGGAGAATACGACCTTTCTTTGGAGGCGGCAAAAGTGTTAAGTTATGTAGTGAACTCTCGTTTGGAACCTGAACTGAGCATGGTGAGGTCGTTTGGGGAGAGTCGCCAGACAATATGAGCTTCATGTCGTCTTCTGACATGGATGCCAACCGTGTGATAGCCCAATACTCGCTGACCTGAGCAACCCATTTCATGCGGCGGCGGGAGGACTCGTCTTTGCTTTCGGTAGTACTGCTTCTCCAACCAGGTACGGGCCTGTTAGGAGTGGTGACACTACTGTCCTCACCTTCTTCACACTCTCCGACCTCGTCATCTGCATTCTTAGCCAAACGTCGAAGTTTTCCGACCTGCCTGACAGCTCCGGCGATGTCTTTTGGAAGCATGCTGACAATCTCTCGTCTAACACGCCCCGCGAGCCTGCATCCCTCCCCATTGGTTGTCACACCCACTTGTAGCGCACTCTGCCCGCCTGTAGATGGATCAGCGAAACGGTGCGTGGACGCAAAGGAGAAGTCGCATAGTGCAGGATGGTCGGTGACGTTTACGGGGATGTTATGTGCATGACAGATACGTGCAAGTGCGGGTGTGTCCACCGTGTGTATGGTGATGCAGATAAGAGATATAGATGGGTTTTCGGCGAGGAATGCAGAGAGGGACTCTTCTGGAGCTGAGGGAAGTAGGGAAGTAGACACAGAGGGAAGCATGTCCCAGTCTGTGAGATTTACTTGCTGTTGGTCCGCTCTCCATCTCAGCTCGTCGCATACTAACCCTCTAGCGAGTATGATCACTTGCATACCTGCCTCGAGTGCCGCGAATGCCCTAGAGGCGGCCAGGACATCACCGCCAATAATAAGGATGGTGTTTCTGGGTCCTTTGAATGTCAGAAGGAGGGACGCTCCACCTACTGGCGCGGGGTACTGACTCGATCCATTGGAGACCATGGAAAGGATAAAAGGAGGAGCAGGGTGTGCTTTCAAAAGCTGGCATGGTATAGCAAATCACATCTATTAAATAATTACATAAATATATGTCAAGAGTGTGCTGAGCAGGCTCGTGACTATGTGCTGAGCAGGTTTCTGTCCACGGTACACTAGTTTCCGAGGTCTTTTTACGTTACACTGCTGGTACCTTGTTTTCGCCACGACTTGGCAGCCGAACGCCAAGGATTGGTGACAGGACGATAAACCATTTCCTTCAAGCATTTATCTACCAAGTACCACAGTCGTGAGACATACACGTCTTCATTGGCAGAATTGTTTCGGCATAATCTCTATATATCCGTATCACAAACAACCCTGCATGTCCTGCGTCACCATGTCATCATCTATCATATATATGTGAATATTGCCCCATAGATAGGACTAAGCCGCTCACTTAGGATTCATTCTTCTGCAATCTGGTATAAACGAGCCACATGAAAGCGTACATCGCGGCACCAGTCAGTGAAGCGATCTATGATTTATTTAATCAAAGTGGAGAAGCGGTAAGCGTAGTCGACTCACCCCAGCGAACAGAGCGGGTTTCCACCAAATATATTGCGATGTAAGCAGAACACCGGATATAGGTGGTCCTAAATGAACATGTAGACGGTGAAGTAAGAAATGCTACAAATGCACCCACCAAGTAAATTTCCGAATGCTGCAGAATGAATATGTGCGAGTTCAAAATAATATAGAAGTAAATCTGATCATACTCACCATCGAAAAAGAAATAGATGCCCATCCACCCGCTGTGACCAGATCAGATCATTCGCACATACCGAAGCTCAAGTTATCACTCACCCAAGTTCAGAGGGGTTGCGTGCTAGGGTAGCCACGAGTGGACCCTCCATCGCGGTATCTGCATTATCGATCAACAACTTCAACTACTAGCATGTAGTGAAACAGAAACACTTACACACCCCTGAAAAATAGCCATAAAATACATCAAGAATAACGACGCTGGCCAGGGTACGCAATCCCATCATGCCCAGAATTACCGATCCGCACGAAATTGCCGCAATCACGGTTAAGTTCAGTACTCCTGTAAACGCTGCGATATACCCTGATGTAATTCGTCCCGCACAACTGGATGCATTTAAAATCACAAGCTAACGATGGCATCAGTAGGGATATCACTTGCATAGTGCTAGATCGCACAGTGTAAAATGAAAAGGTGATGTTGATGCCATGTTTGATAGAGTCGAGTTGAAGAAAATATGCTGGGTAGTTAAAGCCAATCTTGAATATAAACACCCTGCATAACAAATGATCATTTGAAGGGATTCGAAAGATGCCGTATTACAGGTCTTACCCTGATATCGCGAAAAGAAACGGAACATAACGAAAACATTTTCTAGCTGTCGCAATATAGTTCACTGGGGTCGTCGGCGGATCAAGGCGAGTTCGCACACACAAGCATGCAATCAAAAGGAGCATACTAGTCAACCCTGCACTTGCACGCACGCCATTGGCAAAGCCAAGGTGTCCATTCAGGAGGTTGTTGAGCATAATTGGATGGACGAGAGAACCGAACGATGAGCCCAAAATAACGAACGTCATCACCAGCGTGCGTTTTTGTCTGAAATAATGCGAGATGACAGCCAGGCCCGGGACGTACAGCAACCCTACCGCGATGCCTGAGCCTAAGCCTTGAGTAAGGATTATCTATTAAGATGTCAGGAGACGAAATGTCAGAAAGCCGGAGGGCCTTACCTGGAAGTACTGATGTGGCTTTGCCAATGACAGCATGAAAAGAGAGAAACTCTGCAGAAGCGATCCAGTAATGACAAGATGGTAACTAGGTAGGCCTGCTGAGCACTACTCCCAAGACACTTGCATCTAAGTACTCACAAATAACCTCGATCATAGAGTGAGCCTGATATAATACCCCCAGCGCCGCCTAAAAACCCTGTCAAGCTCCCGATGGATCTGCAAGCGACCATGAGGATACTCACGATAGAGAAGCCTGTAGAACTCACGAAATAGCAAATGATGTCTCATTTGTGAGGTAATACCGAGTATAAAAGTCTGGAGCGCAAGCCGTTCAAACATAGGTCTATCCTCACGTTTATGTGTAGCAATACCTTCGTAGACACCAAATGAAGCGGTGTAACTTTTGACATTCAGCAATATTCCTCATCAATGATAGGGCACAACACTCACCCCCAAGTGCAGAACATTATGAGAAACCTGAACCAATCAAGTAAGAGCCAGTCCCACCAAAATTGTGTCTCCTTACGCTCCAAAAGCAGTGGACCAAGCGGCAAGACCACCTTCTGGAAACTCTTGCAGGAGCGAAGGAAGGTCGGAGTCATTGGTGACTGGGTATTCAACTCCCAGCTCCTCTGACCCCCCTTTGTGCTCTTGTGCAGCCCGTGGTTCCGCAACAAGCATTTGAGGTTTGGTTTCGACTGCCATTCGCGGGATGAGACAAGTGGTGGCAGGAGCTGTACATATACACAAGTCTGAGCGCTTAGGGCTGATCGTTCACATACATGCTGCGGACCCGGAGTAACGTGTAACGTGCGTAAATACTTACATGGATGGTTCAACATTCAATGTATTTTTGTAGCATCTGCTTCACACTGTCACATACCATTTTGAACCCAACGAACATCACAATCTACGGGTCCCTTTCGGAAGTTAACGTTCAGGCCTCAGGCACGAATGTGCGGATGATACATGACATGAATGCGGTACCGGTTCACCAATTTTCAGACGTAGAGAAGACAGGAGTTATAGTAAGACAGGGCTTCGAAGCTTCGGGTGAACTTCCAAGTTGTAGAATGTCCGAGCCAAAGACCCTTGGAAAAATTCGAACAGGTTTCAGTTCCTGTTGTCACGCAGTTGATACAGGGGGTAGCATCATCAAAGGGTGCATTGGATCCAAGTTGGATCAGGCTGACACTCGTGAACAAAAAGTTCAGGCCACACGATTCAATATTCAATCTCCGATCATGTGTCCTTCCCCGGCGGCCCGGCGTCTGTCCGCTGCATGCATGCATGATACATTCTCTCTCTGCGTTGTGCAACATTCCTCAGTCATATTCAAGCTTCATCGGTGTCATCCCTGATCGCCTTTGCGGGACACTTGGGGAATGGTCTTTCCTGGTCAGACCATGTAGGAGGAAGACAGTTGTTCCTTGATTACGTTGGTGTGGTGCCAAGCCAACCAGAACACCTGCCTGGAAGAGACAAGCGAGTGTGCAGTGACCTATTATATGCTCGGCCGCCAAGCCGTGGCGAACAAGGTACCAGCAGTGTAACGTAAAAAGACCTCGGAAACTTTGTCAGCTCTGATAATTAGATTATAAGTAGTACCTCCTATGTTCGTTCAGCCACTTGATGCCCCTTAGACAGACATTCGTTTCTTCTATTAGAAAGGCACCGAGGCTCACACCCTTGGGTGAGAAGCCAATGCACACTTCAGTGGAGTGCAAATCGCCGTTACCGATTCGTGATACCTATCTCTGCCCAGCACGTATGTCTCCAGGCCGTTCATGCGACTGATATCACCCTTGGTCTCAGAAAGATTCCCGCTGGCTTCTTTGTGACAGTAAAAGCTATGAACGACTTCAAAGGAAAATAGATTGAACCAGTAAACGTTTTTCAACGGACAATCAAACTTATCGTAGCTTTATCTTACAGCGAATTGTGACAAGTGACGCGTCGTGAATTCATTCCTCCTTCATTCCACTCCGTTGCCCTCCTCGGTAGCTTGCAGGAAAGACCCTCTTCAGCCTCAGAGTCGATGACGGTCCGAATGGCATTCAGGTACTACACATATGATCAATAAAGCATCTCGCTCCAACGGAGAATGATAACCCACATAGATACTAGAGGTAGAAAGCATGCTCCCGGATGTCAACAGGGATGTAGATCAGAAGCGGGTTCTGGTTTACGGTCTTGGTGATATAGAGGTGCTTGATGGAGAGGTTCAAACCCTGAATGTGAAGCGCCGTGAGCACTAGCATCAGTCATGTGTGATGAAACAAGAAACTTACGAGCCAGCCCCAACCTTGTATACCAGCAGTAGTGGCATTGAACTCCTTGAGCGCATCGAGCGACCCGAAGGCCTGCTCGATGACCTTCTTAGGAAGACCAACTTTCAGAGAACTACCATTACCATTGCCCTGACTGAAATGGGCGCTAAATTCTTTCAGAAGAGTGGTTGATTCTTGCTTGGTATACATGGTTGGGTACTGGATGTGGGAAGGTAGAAGGTATAGCGACCTGTATCAATAAACCGTCCATGTGTTATCAGAGTATCCCTTTCCCTATCCTACTTACATTGTCATTGTGCTACGAGGCATGTCAAAGACACATCGATAGAAAAACCCTGGCCAGACATCAAATCGGTTCTCTCCAGTATACCTTTGGTTGGCGCATGCATCCATGACATGCGTACTAATGATACAAGATGCGAGTCCTAAGCGATCACAATCGCAATCCAATGTTGACATGAACGGCTTTAACGTTCGTATAGCTAAGCCGAGTATTATTAGTGCGGTGTCGTTTTGAAGGACTTGAGCTTACTTTTCCAAAGCATACTCGCTCAGGTCACGACCAATTCCAGACTGCTTGAAGCCTCCAAATGGCATCGATATTTCAGCCTGGTTGGAGCAGTTTATCTGCCAGGCGTCATTACACAAAAGACGCGCAAGATGAGATAACAAAGCAACTAACCCATGCAGTACCTGCTTCGAGAGCGTGTGCAACGCGGATTGCTCTGTCGATATCCTTGGTGAACACCGATGCGGCAAGTCCGTATGATGTATCATTAGCCTGTTCAATGACCTCTGAAAAATTGTTAGGGATACGATGATCGCGCAACAAGAGCAATCTCACCATCTTCAGTCTTGAACCTTATGACGCACGCGACAGGACCAAATATCTCCTCTCTGACGATTTTCATGTTGGGCTGGCACTCCGTGAAAATTGTTGGCTCGATGAAGTATCCCTCTTGACCAATTTGCTTGCCACCAAGGTGTACTGTAGCACCATCGTTCTGACCGGAGGTTATGTATCCCATGATGCGCTTTATGGTCGTCAAAGTATGTTTTATAATGACATTGGATAAACGAACCTCAAATTGAGTCTTGGATACTTGTGGCCCTTGGTACGTGTCAGGTGAAAAAGGATCGCCGACCTTGATCGCGCGTGCTTGCTCTGTGAACTGGTCCAAGAACTTGTCGTATATGCCCTCTTGAACAAAGATACGAGAACCTGCAGAACAATTTTGACCGTGGTTAAAGCTACAAAAACGATGAGAACTAGCACAGGTCATGTGAACGGGGCAACATACTAGATACCGTGAATAGCCCACTTGACTGCCTGCTCCAGGTCGGCGTCATCGAAGATGATATTGGGGCTCTTTCCGCCAAGCTCAAGGGTGACAGACTTCAGGTTGCTCTTTGCAGCAGCCTCCATAATTTTCCGTCCCGTCAGAGTGCTGCCGGTGAATGCAACTTTCTCGATAAGAGGGTGCTCAGAGATTGCCTGCCCTGCTGTTGAACCATATCCGTTCACGATGTTGATGACACCAGGAGGGAAGCCCGCCTGCTCGATCAGGGTACAGAAGAGAAGAGCAGAAAGCGGGGTAAGCTCAGAAGGCTTCAGGACGATAGTGTTGCCGGTAGCTAGCGCAGGTGCGATCTTGAGAGAAAGAGAGAACACTAATTAATGTAAGCTGTAGTCCCGCATGCTCCTTGAATTCACTCACTCGGAACATTCCATGGAATAATTTGACCCTAGGCATGAACTGAGATCCCATTTAGATATTATTCAGAGAAGAATCCTTACCACAACACCGATGGGTTCATGTCTGGTATAAGCGAGTTTTTTCTCATTGGTCTAGGGCAAAATGAGTTTGACTGGTATGAGAGAAAGGAAAAACGGACCTCGATAGTCTTCCCGCTGATCTTGTCAGCCCAGCCAGCATAGTATTCCATGACAGCAATCGCCCCTTTATTGTCTTTACCGTAAGCGGTATTGTAGGCCTTCCCTGTAAGGTATGGGCTGCTTCGTTAACTCAAGAGTAGCGGTGGCGCAGAAGTACATACCATTAGCAAGGGCATCAAGAGCAGCGAACTCCGCAATATGTTCCTCCATCAAAACGGCGAGCTTCGACATGAGCTTCCCGCGCTGAGTTCCAGGAACTTTCAGGCCCCATGAAGTCTTGTAGGCTTCCTTTGCTGCCTTCGCAGCGATGTCTATATCTGCTTTTGTCCCAGCTGCGATAGACGTGACCACCTTGCCCGTTGCTGCACAAGTAAGCTATGAACCATTCGCGACGAAAAAATTCGCACCAGGATTGACAACACTGTACGAATGAGATCGACACTCAAGTGTACGAAGAAGACACTCACTCGATTATGCCGCCCTCAACAGGGTCGACGAACTCTCCATTTATGTAGAGGCCCAGAGGGATCGTAACAGTCCCCTTGTATGCAGGGGTGTCGAAAGTCTTGGTGAATGTGGACGGCATTACGAGGGAGCTGTGAGGAAGTGCAAACGATAACGGTCAACCTGAGCAAGTTTATACCGGGCTACTTATAGCCTTAGGAGTGATCACGCTGTATAACGGGCACATGAACAACTTAGATAGTAGAAATGACAATTCTCATGGGAAGAAGGGACTATACATACCTCTTCCCCGTCACGGTGCTCCGATATTCACTGTTGTTATGGCAAACCTTCGAGCTGCTACTAAATTGGCAGTGCGGATGGGCTCAAGTTCAAGCCTCATGCACATGGTTTATGTCGCCAATGATCATGGTCGTGCATAAAAAGTGCCAAGTCGCTACTCTGCATGTAGGGACTACGTGGGGTTTGTCGGATTTCAATCATGAGGCAAAAGTCAGGATCTGGCCAGTCTGGGGCCAAAGTCTAGGGCCAGTTGGAGCTTGGCGGTCTGGGGCTTCGGCGGCCAGAATGTCAGAGATTGATTGGCGGCATCTGGAACACGACGGCAGCCAACGGCACTCTGAGCAGAGTTCAAACTCCGCTTGATGTTTCGAACGCAATCCCGCCAAGTTCCAACCTGTTCCAACGCGCCGCTTCGAAAGTTGAAACACACAAACATTTCAATACATCGACATCGAACCCTACAGACGTGGAAGAACTAATGCTCATCATAAAGTCACTAGTGACTATGATCGTGATAAGCACCGGAAACAGCCAGCTTGCACCCAGCACTAGTGCATACTTGGTTGCCGTGTTAGATGTCGCAGGCAACCCCCAAGCCTCATATTCCTTAGTGCAGACTGGCCCTTCAAAAACACTTGATTGCAATTTGGCGAGATAACTGTCATACTCCCTGTGTACTCTCTGACTTCCTCAGCCCTGGCCTGGTTTCCCGTGGGTCTGGGTATTCGGTCACCCAGCAATCCAATGATACATTCGTCACAACATGTGGACGAAACAAGGCGTTGAAGGGGAATTATTCCAGTTCACCTGGACGTTCAACGGAGCGCGGCACGATACAATGTAATGACAAGACGAGCCGACCATAAGTGTATAGAATGAAGATGGTCGAGACCCATCACTTGGCGTGAATCACTTCCTTTGTTATGATCGATGTACTATTAATTGTATGGGAAGCAGCAGGACAATAAAGCGGTACTATATCCTCGACCACTTTAACTTGTTCTGATTGCCATGATGAAACAGAAAACGACATTGTCATTCTTCAAAACCATCACCACGCATCGTGTTTCAAGACTATATATACCTGATGCCTTGTACAGCAAATAGGTTCACAAGAGAGTAAGTCACAGGATGTTATCTGACTGATGCAATGTCGAGCGCTGGTCCAGGATGTCTCGGTTCAAGCCTTATTAAAACTGAAACCAAAATTCACCAATTGCTACATCATGCATTGTTACAATCAGCTACTCTCTGATTTGGGCGGCCGTTTCTGCTATATAACAATATAGATGGAGCTGGAGAAGCTACCCTGCATCGTCATACATCCCAAGGCATCAGTTTTGCCATGGTCGCGTTGGCTGGCATCCCGATGGATGCCGCTGCTGTCATGTCAACGGTGCTGGAAGGCATTTTATACGGTATGTATCGCCATTAGTTCTCCCATCCATAGCCAAGTGGCCGACTCGCTAATGTTCTTTAGGATTTTCAGTGCTCATGTGTCTGGGTACCATCTGGACATTCACCTATAAACGACACATTCAGGACGTCAATCGGCCAATCGCTGTGGTTGCCACCCTGCTGTTCGTGCTGAGCACTGCGGTTAGCTTCTCCCCGCATGCATCCAATGTCATCTACTGAGGCCTCAGAAGCATATAGTCGTAGATATTATTCATCTCGAACATGGACTGGTGAAATATCGCGACACGTTCCCTGGCGGACCAGTGGCGTTCTTCGCAGACGTCACTCAAGTTACATTTGTAATCAAGAATGCGATATATACCTTGCAAACTCTACTTGGCGACGGGGTGGTGGTGCGTCAAATTTTCTCAGACCTTCTTTTGCTTACAGAACCTGTCTTTCGGAAAAAAGATTTATCGATGTTATGTCGTTTGGCAATCTGCATGGATCATTGTCATACCGTGCATGATGTGGTGTGGCGTCGCAGGTTAGGTCGTAATCATACTCAGGAAGTGGTGTACTCTGACGTTGTCTCAAAGCATCTGGCGTTTGTTCGGTCTACTACTTTTCTCAAGCGTCGATGGCCGAAATTGAAAATTTCTTTGCTGCCAAGATTGGTCATTGGGTCGCCGCTTTCCTTGCCTCCACACTTGCAACTAATATGTTGAGTACCGGTGAGCACACTTCCGCGTAAATGCGATGTTGATACCCAATACCAACCTGAATTTGTTCAGGGTTACTGGCATATCGCATCTGGACGATCGAACGCAAGGTTTCTGCAGTCTGCACTACGAAGCGGAAAGTACCTATATTGCGCGTGCTTATAGATGCTGCAGTTTTATACTCTGCGGCACTTGGCTCCTCAATAATATGTTTTGGCCTCTGGAACGACGGACTCTATGTGATGGGAGACCTGGTAATTCAGCTGTTGAAACCTGCCATCGCAAATCACTGATTTTCGATCAACTAGATTGTTCCGATCGTCTCGATTGCCTTTTATATGGTATTTATTCGCGTCGCGACCAGTCAAAGCAATCAACATTACCCCTCGACTGCCCATAGAGAAACCACTGAGACAGAACGAAGAAAACTGCAGCAACATCCTTTGCAGCCGTTGATACAAAGGCCGAATGATTCCGGATTTTCCTTGGGTGATAGCTCGAAAGTAGAGACACATCCATTAACATAATCATCTAGCCACGTATAATTTTATACAGATACCCTCCCACTTATAATTATATGACAACTTAATTCAAGCAGTGGTTACCTCAGAGAGCGAGGACACGAGGATCTGATGATGTACTTCATCTTGCGCTGTGGTTCGAAATATCAGATACCTGCAACTGATCTCTGTTTCCTTGATTCCAATTTATATCCTGTTGAAAGATGCTACATGGAATCTGCTCGGTAGTTAGCGCTCAACGTTGCAACTTTCAGGGGTCAGTTGAGAGTACGTATCAAAGTGGCTCCCGTCCTTCCGAAATTGTCGTGTGGGCTCTTTGAGAGCAGTTAAATAACTTCCACAACATCATGACGAACGGCGCTCCGAAGCAGCACACGGCTTATCCAGAGCTCTGAGCCAATTTCCGTGGCATCAGATCTTCGATGACTGGCTAAAGAGCAATTAGACCAAGTTGATAACACCTATTACCGCAGATAATCTATCTCGAACCCTATTCAGACAAGTAGAAAATAAAGTACAGTCAGATATTTTGGCGTTCCTCGTGAGGTCTAGAGTGACGTAGCCACCATCCGAAACAAGAGAGTACGAATATCAGGTTGTATAAATTGCTATTTTAGCCAGGAGGATGTATTATTCTCCCTGAATGCAATCTGCAAAGTCTGCATAGGATAATGCAGCGGGATTCCTCGGTCTGTGTCAACTGTCCTAGAAAAAGTCGAGAGGAATTCTTGAGTATCTTCATTGATTGCGATGCGAATAAACACCATGTAGAAGGAAATCGAGATGATCGGATTGATCTAGTTGATTGACGCTCAATGATTTTTATATTAAGTGTTGATAGTGGAATTACCAAGAAGTTTCCTATGACATATGTGCCATTGTTCGAAAGGGCGAAACATATTACCGCAGACAAGTTGGCCGCAGAGTATAAAACAGCAGCATCCACAAGCACCCGCACGATAGGCCTTATACCTCTCCTGGTGTGAACTGTAGAGATATTGCGTTCCATCGTCCAAATACGGTATGCCAGCAATGCTGTACATATTCAAGTTCGCAAGTGTCTCGATATCGCCCTTGCGCAGAAATGTACTTGCCTGAACTGAACAAATTGGTTGTAAAAGTAAGGAAAATAAACGCCGTGACCCAATGTCCAGCCTGGTCAGTGAAGACACTGTTGGCATCACTAGCCAGTGAAAGGTCGTAGACCGTAAAACCCCCGCACACTTCGAAACAAATGAACGTCAGAGCACACACTTTCTGAGTATAATGGCAACCAAACCTGCAACTGCACACCACATCATGCATGGTAGAATCATAACCCGGACAGATTCCCAAACGATGTAACATCGATAAACCTTTTTGTCAGAAAGGGAATTTCTATAAGCTATGAGGGCTTCAAGTTGGCAGGCGAAGTTTTGATCCTACCACTACCCCGTCGGCAAGCAGAGTTTGCGTGAGATTCAACGCAGCCTTGACCACATACGTCTCCTGGGTATAGTCTGCGAAGAATGCTGCTGGGCCGCCTGGGAATGTGTTACGATACTTCACCAATCCATCTTCGAGCTGAATAATGTCTATGACCATGTGCTTTGGAGTCTTCAGTAGATGGTATCAGATTCAAGTGACGAAAACCTGACCATAGTGCTCAGTAAGAACAGAAGAACGGCAACCGCAGCGATTGGCCGATTGACGTCCCTCGTGCGTTTTTTATAGGTGAATGTCCAGATAGTACCTATAAACATGAGAACTGAAAAGCCTGAAAAATGCTAGTTTGGTGGGCATTAAACGAATACACTCGTTGCAACTCACCATATAAGATGCCTTCTAGAACTGTTGACATGATGGCAGCGGCATCCAGCGGCATACCAGTGACTGTTGAAGCCATGGGGAAAACGATACCTTGTGTATGTACGACTGTGCGGGTAGCATCGCTAGCCACCTACATTATATATTGCTACGAGTCGCTATAGATATCAGGCCATCAGGTAGGCTATGTTCTCGGAACCTTGGCATGATAGATGCGCAGTGATGGGCTGGTCGTGGATGACAGCATAATGCGCCCAGTCGCGGAGATCAGAAGTCGCCAGTGTATCACTATGGATCGTTCTTATCTCCCGCAAGCTCAAACCCCAGCCTGAGAGCAAGTGAATTGAAGTCCTTGGAAAATGCAAAACTGAGGTGAGATGAGATATATTTAGCCACCTGTGACGTTGGTCAGCGTACGAGTAGCCGGCGGCTCGGTATCAATTGCACTCACCTCATGCTGTGCTGCTCATTTGCATTTTGACCTCCAAGTTGCTCTTTCATTTTGTTTCACGACACTATCAGCCATATGTACATGGATACCATATACTCCTTCCAGCCCGCCGTAGAACACTGACGCAAGCTCACATCCTGTTACCACTTCTCATTGTTCCTTTTTCGTTCTTTCGTTCCAGTGCTACTAGTGTATGACGACCACCTGTACTAGCTTTTCATGAATTGGTCGCTATCCAAAATGGATCTAGGTATCACTGGCATGACAATACGACAATGACAGCTACATTGCTCTACCTGATGGTGACTTAACGGTAACATTTGGAGCGATCTAACGCCATGATGCTCGCACCATGAATCCAACGATTGGTTCTGCAGTGACCGATGGTGGCACCTCTATATGCAAACGATATTCACTGTCCTCCTGTTCCCACTGTTGTCTCACCCAAGTTGCCCATGCTATTTTCACAGGAACCAATAGAACCTCTCGGTGACGGCAATCGTGCGTTGCCTCTATTCTGATCGTGGCTGTGAAACAGACATTGACGAAGCTCTCACTTTTCTTTTCCCGGCGCACATACTGGCTGACGGGCTCACGCTTGCCTCGAATGCGCTTTCTTCTCTCCACAAAGCTCAAGAACCACTGTATTCCACGAATCACGTTTTATTTTCATCCTTACTACTCCTGTTGGACAGTGAAACGCAAACATATTCCTTTGCGACTACTCTCGAGTCTCAGAGGCTGCCAAGGTTTCACTCTCTCGCACAGTCCTCGATTTCAGAACAGATCCATTTGCTCCGAGTCATTGAAAATCAACTATATGTCCCGTGTCAAAAGCCGTCGAGTTTCAAGAGGAGACGAAGAAAATTGGTGCAAATATAGCGTACAAAATCTGTCTTTGTAATAAAGCAATGGTCACTGCTTGTATGTTTATAGTCCAAGCTTCGATGACTCGATTGGTAAGAAAAAGGATTGAATAACAGTACTTACAAACTCACCGCCTCAGAATGATAGGATCGAGCTGATATCATGGTCATATTGTTACGGACATTGCGATGCTGGAACGACAGTTCATTTCGACAGCATCTAGTCGTGTGGGGGCGCGTCGGTGGGAGCTTTCTGTACAGTCACAAGCCAGTCCTGGCGGTCAAGCTCGGGTTTGAAAAATAATAGGACACAAGGACGAGATAGTTTTTCTCAGGTTCTCAGTTTTGTTCCAGGGTCAGTGTTATCAATACCGTCAACACAGAATCTACTTAGCACTCAGAATATGTGCCATTGTGTGAAAGGGCAAAATATATTATCGCGGAAAAGGTGGTCGCAGAGTATAAAACAGCAACATCCACAAGCACGCGCACAATAGGCCTTATACCTCTCCTGATGCGAATTGTAAAGACATTCCATCGTTCCAAAAATTGTCGCATGGGCACCTTTCTTTGAGAGCAGTTGAATGACTTACCACAACATCATGACGAATAGTACTCCGAAGCAGCACACTGCTGATTCAAAGCTCTGAGCCAATTTCCGACGACAAGTTAATAACACCTATTTTCGCAGATAATTTATCTCGAACCCTATTCAGACAAGTAAAAGGTAAAGTACAGTGAGACATTTTGGCGTTCCTCACGGGGCCTAGAGTGACGTAGTAGCCATCATCCGAAACAAGAGAGTACGAAAGGGATTTATATCAGGCTGGATGGATGGATCCCTATTTTAGCCAGGAGGATGTATCATTATCCCTGCATGCAGTCTGCAAAGTCTGCATAGGATAATGCAGCGGGATTCCTCGGTCTGTGTCAACTGTCCCAGAAACACTCGAGAGGAATTTTTGAGTATCTTTATTGATTGCGATGCGAATAAACACCATGTAGAAGGAAATCGAGATGATCGGATTGATCTAGTTGACTAAAGCTCAATGATTCTTATATTAAGTGTTGATAGTGGACGCTTACCAGGAAGTTTCCTATGGCATATGCGCCATTGTTCGAAAGGGCAAAACATATTACCGCAGACAAGTTGGCTGCAAAGTATAAAACAGCAGCATCCACAAGCACCCGCACGATAGGCCTTATTCCTCTCCTGGTGTGAATTCTAGAGATATTGCGTTCGATCGTCCAAATGCGGTATGCCAGCAATGCTGTACACATATTCAAGTTCGCAAGTGTCTCGATGTCGCGCTTACGCAGAAATGTACTTGCCTGAACTGAACAAATTGGTTGTAAAAGTAAAGAACATGAACGCCGTGAGCCAATGTCCAGTCTGATCAGTGAAGACACTGTCGGCATCACTAGCCAGTGAAAGGTCGTAGACCGTAAAACCCCCGCACACTTCGAAACAAATGAACGTCAGAGCACACACTTTCTGAGTACAATGGCAACCAAACCTGCAACTGCACACCACATCATGCATGGTAGAATCACGACACGGACAGATTGCCAAACGACGTAACATCGATAAACCTTTTTGTCAGAAAGGGAATTTCTATAAGCTACGAGGGTTTCAAGTTGGCAGGTAAAGTTTTGATCCTACCACTACACCGTCGGCAAGCAGAGTTTGCATGATAATCGCCGCAGCCTTGACCACATACGTCTCCTGGGTATAGTCTGCGAAGAATGCTGCTGGGCCGCCTGGGAATGTGTTACGATACTTCACCAATCCATCTTCGAGCTGAATAATGTCTATGACCATGTGCTTGGGAGTCTTCAGTAGATGGTATCAGATTTAAGTGACGAAAACCTGACCATAGTACTTAGTAAAAACAGAAGAACGGCAACCGCAGCGATTGGCCGATTGACGTCCCTCATGCGTTTTTTATAGGTGAATGTCCAGATGGTACCTATAAACATGAAAACTGAAAAGCCTGAAAAATGCTAGTTTGGTGAGTATGAAACGGATACACTTGTTGCAACACTCGCCATATAAGATGCCTTCCAGAACTGTCGACATGATGGCAGCGGCATCCAGCGGCATGCCAGTGACTGTTGAAGCCATGGTGAAAAGATACCTTGGGTATGTACGACGGTGCGGGTAGCATCGCTAGCCACCTACATTATATGATGCTACGAAGCGGCTATAGATAACTTTAGTATCAGGTCATCAGGAATTAGAGAATGCCTCCCTGGCAGTGTGTCCTCGGAACTACATAGATGCGCAGTGATGCTGATCGTGTATGACGGCATAATGCGTCCAGTCGTGGAAATCAGAAGTGTGCCACTATCAGATTCGTTCTATCTCCCTCAAGCTCAAACCCCTGAGAAAGTGAAAGTCCTTGGAAAATGCAAAATAGTCGCGTGGGCGCGTTGATGAGAGGTTTCTGCACAGTCACAAGCCAACCCTGCAGGCCTGGCGGTTATGCTCGGGCAGATGGTTTGACCACGAGGACAAGATAGTTTTTCTTAGGTTCTCAGTTTCGTTCCAGGGTCAGTTTTATCAATACCGTCAACACGGAATCTACTGGGCACTCAGCGCTCAGAAAATGTTCCATTGTTCGAAAGGGCAAAATATATTATCGCGGGAGAATGTTGTCGCAAAGCATAAAACAGCAGCATCCGCACGCGCACAATAGGCCTTATACCTCTCCTGGTGCGAAATGTACCTATAAACATGAGAGCCGAAAAACCTGAAAGATGCTAGTTTAATGGGCATGAAACGGGTACACTCATTGCATCACTTGCCGTGTAATATGCCTTCCAGAACTGTTGACATGAGGATAGCGGCATCCAGTGGCATGCCAGTGTCTGTTGAACCCATAACGAAAATGTGTGGGTACCGTCACCGACCATCCACATGTTATAATACTACTAAGTGGCTAAGCTTGAAAAAGATCAGAAATCGGCGAATCGGCGAATCACACCAATGTACCTACAAGCTACAGCGATTTGAGGAAACCTATAGTTCTAGTGTTTGCAGAACCTGGCACGCGATCCTGGATCAACGTTCATTGGGCGGATAACACCCTGTTGGTATTACTGCCTTCCTCAATGCCCGTGCACGTAATATTTGCTGTACAGTGGTTCTTGATATGACGTAGATGCCAGTGCGCGACCATCGACCGTACAGAACGGCGCCGGCAGGATACGATGTATCAATCAGAAGTTGCAACCCCTATGATCCGTTCTATCTCCCACCATAGGCTGCCGGAAGCCCCAACCCCTGAGCAAGTGAAAAAAAAATCACATGAGGTGATACGATATGGAATGAGCTGTATTTGGCCGCCTACGTTGGTCAGTGGTTATAGTCCAAGCTCTAGAATACCTCGATGACGCAATTAGGCAGAAAAAAGACCGAAGAACAGTGCTTACAAACTCGAAACTTCGGAAATGATATAATCGGGCTTATTCCATGGTTTCGCTTCCTGTCAATAGATCATATTTCAACAGGTTTTGTGATGCTGGGACGGTGATCTACCATGGTCACAACAGATAGACAGGAAACGAGACGCACTGCAAAAAGCGATATTGATATTACGTATGCTGGAAAGGATAGTAGCGAGCATTTCGTTAGCACCAACCATCGTTGTGGCCTGCTCAACAGACTTTGTTTTCCATCGGGTGATCAAAATAATTCTCGAAATGTGGATGCACAATATCACCTAAAAAGTAAAGGGCGAAACCTGATCACCTGATCACGAACGTCCATGCAAACAGAGACGTACCCTGAAAAGTATTTCTTGAACCAATTGAGCATTGATATATAATAGCTCGAAGACTTATCTAAAAAGTATCGGTCAGCGGTCTCCGTCCGGAACACTGCTTGGAATGATTTTTCATACTCTCGTTATTAATACCATGCACCACATACAACGGGTTCGGGAAGTAGCGAGCCGACGATGCAAAGATAAGTTATGCTTCGCAGCTTCTGATCGCCATGCTCGCACATAAAACGACATCTCTTCTCCGAGATCTAATCAAGATCAGTATAATGCTTCCATGCTTCGAGAACATCATACATGCAAAGGCAGGATGTTATCTGTTGATCCATGGAGTTCGAGTCCCGCTGATCCAAGCGACGGGGATCTCCTTTCAACTTCTGTTGGGATAGGATAAGACTACCGTGTCAGAATGATCAGGACAGAGACGGAACTGTCAGCGGCCAGACAATTTGTAGAGATGTATACGTGCTTGGCGTGTCCTTAGAACCACTGAAATGGTGGTTGGTCCTGATTAGTCTCCCCTATCCGGACCTTACACGAAGTAAGACGCTAGTGGCTCGTTCATACTCATGAAGGCACTCCATGAACAAGTAGGTTCAAGTCGCATGAGTATTTCAGGATGCGTGCCATCCTTTACAAAAACAGAAGAGAAAATGACCGAGGCATGAGCATGTCTCTCTGGATCACAAAGGAGAGAGCTGGCTCAGTTGCAAGTAGAGCAGGAGGAGAACGAAAAGACGAACATGTCGAAGAGGGTGATGTTGGGTTCCACGTGCATGGACGTATGGAGGTCGGCGTGGACAATTCTATCGTGCTACTCAGACTGGCCCTCAGAGCATCTGTGCAAGTCTTGCTTTCTGTGGCAGAAGAACATTCGCAACGTTCAAAACGTTCAAGTCTTAGCGGTCGACACATCATAAAACAATTCCCAGACAGGTCGAATCCGCAGGCTCCAATTTGCTGCCGTTGTATCGTGTACCTTTCCATATCGCTCATACTTTATCTTGCAGGTCCATCTCTAGAGTCGGTAGCCTAGGAAAAATCCTAACCATGCACCAAGATAATTTATGTGCAAGCAAAACATCGGACGCTGCGTAATTCCTGGCGTTTGAGAAGTTCCACACACACCATTGGCTGTGCTGCAGCTATTCGACCTCATAAAGCTGGAGGATTTCCCATCGTGCCCGAATTCCAACTTGAAGGCGTTTGGTAAACCTATGGACGGAAGAGCTCGAGCTCCAGGCGGAAACATTGCTCTGAGGATCTATGAGCATGACAGTAGTGTACCCCCAAAGCTGTACGTTAATATTTTCCTCGGAGATGTTGCACAATCGAATATAAAACTATAAAAGATGCGAAAATGGAGGTGTGGTCAAGTTGTCTCAAGCAGCGAGGCGGTTCAACCCAAGATTGAAACCCCCCTCTTTGCCCTTGTTTGGATATTGTGACCCCCACGCGTTTCCTGACTTAACGGACATGTTCTCAACGCTCACGCTGCATCAGGCCCATGCAGCTCGTTGATAATAACACAGTGCGTTCCTCTACCTTTATAGTTGTTGGTGTGATTGTTCAAGCAGTATCTAGTTTCTCCAGCAGCTGGGCGCTCTCTTCGAATCGACTAAAGACAAGGGCACAATATGGCTCACTTATAAGCGATGTGCGTCTTGATCGATCGCTTTGTTATTTTGACTTAATACTTTCTGATTATATGTAGTAACTCATGATGGTGATGACACCGTGATGAAAGAAGAAGATGGGAGCGATGGGAGCAGAGAATATCCTTGTATCGTTCGTGTCACTGATGGCAAGAAGGCGAAGTTCTCCACCAAGGTACATAACAGATCTTTTGCACGGCTTCGCTATGCTCATGATATACCACCCTACAGATTTTATCAATAGACCTCGATAAATTCCACTCTGCTTACGGCGCTTTGCTCAAATCATCCATGACCACCCTTCGCAAGCGCGACAAAAAACGTGAAAAGCAACGCGCAGAACAACTCACAAAGAGGAAGCAGCGCATGGCAGTTCCGGTTGTTATCGATGGACCTAAGCGAGGGAACGGTCGACGCAAGAGGCAACGACAAGTCAAGGCAGCCCTTCAGCATGCGGAGATGAAGGAGCGCGCAGCCAAGAGAGAAGAGGCACGAACAAAGCAGTGAGAAATCGATCGTAAGCGTGTGTTGGAAAAAGTATGTTGTACGCTGCTGTAATTGTCGACCGTACCGATACGATGTCTATGCGGAATTTGCTCGAGATCCTTATGATCTGAGATCTGATGTTTCGTCAGATAGTGATGTGTGCTCCTGGCTACATCATCCAAACACGAAAGGGGATGCGTCGAAAGCTATGGAGAAACTCATGTCTGTTTCACAAGACCCTTCAAACTTGATGTAGAGCGTGGGAAGTAAATCAAGGCTCCATCTTTAGAGAGGGAACTGAGTAGTATGACAGCCTGACAGGTCCACCACTTCCCGTTGATTTCCCAGCTCGATGTATTTGATCTGAGCCTTTCGAAACCCTCCATATCCTTCAGAAATGCCAGTGGAAGCCACTCACCCGACAAATCCATTTTCCTTTGACGATGACGACGAAGAAGGATGGCAGGAAATGCCAGTCATCAAAGAGGATGACTTCGGAGGCGGCCTTGACGAAGAAGATCAGAAGAAATATCACTACATGCCCTCATCAAAGAAACCGTTGCAATCTGCATCAACAGCTGGAAATGCAACTGGCAATCTCATCGATTTCGACGAGGAGGGTGTCGAGTGGCGTTCCAAGACAGAACAGAATGAGAATGAATATACCAGATTGCGGATCAACGAAGAAGATGAGGCGGATGAGGTTCACCTGCGCACACGATACCTGTTTGACGAGGACAAGGCTATGACCCCGCTCAGCCAGATGCAAGCGACCAAGAATATGTTAACCGAAGCACAGCGCATTGCCTACGTTGGTGTCTGCGCCCTCACAGCGAAAGAAATGGTACAAAAGTTCAAGACTTCTAATAGAAAGGAGCTCAAAGCATCGTTCCAACATATGGAACTGTGGGCGATGAAGATCATGGGCCGGCTCTATTACCACATGGAACTTGAAACTGCAGGTAAACTTGCACATCTTTTCAGTCGAACAGGCGGGATCACATATGCTCAAACGCTATATCAGAGCAGAAGATGATAGACAGCCTAGCTGTGCATGGTGTGCAAGCGATAGATCTTGTACCATCGCTAATGACAACCCATACCGTTGCCAACCCCGAATACGACCCTGTTGAAGCACGGCGGCAGGCTGAAACCCGGGAATTCAGGAAAGATACGACGAGCAGGCGGAACTCCAAAGACGACAAACTTCGACCTTCCTGCCTGGGTTCGGACGGTCGTAGTCCTCCTCAGACACCAACATCTCCTTCCACTCAGACGAGCTTTCAAACTACGGCCAAAGTTCTTGAGGGCACTGCTGTTGATTCTGCATCAATGGGAGTCACTACGACGCTTTCATCCGCTGAAAAAGACGTTACACTTGATATTCGGTGGACCGTTCTGTGCGACCTGTTTCTTATGCTTATTGCGGACAGTGTCTACGACGCCAGATCACGTGTATTACTGGAGAGTGTTGCTCTCAAACTCGGACTTGGCTGGTTGGATGTAGTAAAGTTTGAGGCTCGCGTGACAGAGGCGCTCGAGATTCAAGAAGGCGTCGAGAAGATGGAGAATCAGGAGATCATTGAGGGATCATCAAAGGCTGCGCGAAAGAAGCGGTATATGATGATGGGTCTGGCTACACTTGGTGATCTCATTTATTCCAATCGAGATGTGGAACAAGTGCTAATGATTTTACCGCGTATTTGAATACAGGTGGTGGTCTGGTCATCGGACTTTCTGCTGGACTTCTTGCGCCTGTCATTGGTGCTGGTCTGGGTGCAGCCTTTACCGCTGTCGGTATATCTGGGACAACAGGATTTCTCGCTGGGGCCGGTGGGGCGGCTGTGATCACAACTGGAGGAATTTTGACTGGCTCTGGGATTGCTGTTCAAGGAATGGCCCGACGTACGCAACAAGTACGAACATTTGATGTGCTACCGCTGCATAACAACAAGCGTGTCAGCTGCATCCTGACCGTTCCTGGGTGCGTCCATCGTCAAATGTGGGTATATCGACTACCTCAAACTTGTGATGTAGATTCATGAATGGCAAGCTTGATGACGTCCGCCTACCTTTCAGTGTTTTGGATCCCATCGTGGGCGATGTATTTAGTATACTTTGGGAGCCCGAGATGATTCAAGAAACCGGTAGTGCGCTAAAGATTCTTACTGGGGAGATTCTGTCACAAACAGTTCAGACTGTACTCCAACACACGGTGATGACTGCGCTCATGAGCGGACTCCAGTGGCCAATCAGTAGGCGTGATGTCGATTTGTATTTGCTAAAGAGATGAGCTCACCAGCACTTCATCAGTTCTCACAAAACTTGGTTACCTGATTGATAATCCTTGGAATAATGCGCTCGACCGTGCCCGGGCAGCTGGCAGTGTTCTTGCGCAGCTCCTTATTCACCGTCATCTCGGCGTTCGACCTATTACACTCATCGGGTTCTCTCTTGGCGCACGTGTCATTTTCTATGCCCTCCTCGATCTCGCCAAGGCAAAAGCATTTGGCATCGTGCAAGACGTTTTTCTCCTCGGAGCCACGTTAACGGCATCAACAAGCACGTGGTGCAATGCCCGCAGCGTCGTTTCGGGGCGCTTTGTTAACGCATTTGCGAGACACGACTGGGTCCTTAACTACCTCTTTCGTGCAACCAGTGGTGGTTTAAATACGGTTGCAGGCTTGCGGCCAATTGAGAATGTGCCAGGTTTAGAGAATGTTGACGTTACGGATAAGATTTCGGGGCATATGAGCTATCGCGCATTCATGCCGCTCATATTAGACCAGCTTGGCTTCCCTGTTTCGTGTGATTATTTCGATGAGCCCGTTGTACGTGTCTCATTTTGTCGGGCCGGCTCTTTCCTAATTATTATTTATAGGAACCCGAATTTAACGAGGAGAGGGTTGTTGTGAAAGAAGGGGACCATACACAGAAAAAGAAGTGGTTTTCTAGAAAGAAGAAACCGTCAGCGTTACCAACACCAGTATCGAGGCCACCCTCAACAGCTTCTTTTGCCTCATCGAGGCGGAAGCCCTCTTCCCTAGGGAAAACGACTGATGATGACAATGAACCACCTCGGGAGTTCACGGGGACTCCCTCGCCTCAGAATACCAACCCTCATTCAACGCAGCCTTCCGATGGTCAATTACCGAGTTCTTCCACTGACATCCCTATTCATGCAGGCTTCGATCTCAAGGCCATCAAAGATATGATAGGACAATCTGAGAAGACTCCCGAGGATATGCAGGTTCCTCAGCCTTCCCAAATTCGCTCATCTCTAGGCATATCAGAATCTCCACCTGCCTACACAATTACGCCTACAGACGTTGCCAACCCTCCGGGTTTATCTGTGACTGACACTTACTCGAGCGCTGGCTTAAGCGCTACGTTCGCCACGTCACTCCACAATGTGCCTGATTCTAGCGATGACGTCGATGATGGACAGGGCATACCCCCAATTGTAGATGACGGCCCTAGCTCCTCAGATCACCTGAGCTACCTTTCTTCAGCCACCTCTCCCCATAACACTATTTCCCAGATATCTTTTGGTAGAAATGAGACATCAATATGGTCTCCTCCGTTACCAGAGAAAACTTCTCCATTTGGAAATCCCTTTGCGGCTGGCGCGGTCTCGTTTGAAAACTCCAGTAGATCGACGAATGGCCTACCTCCAGCAGCTGGTCCCTCAGCATCGCTTTCGTTTGGTGGAACAGATGGGACGATAACTTCGCAGGGTATGGGGCGAGATTCGTGGAGCATTCCTGTTGACCGGAAGAAAACTCCCAATTATCTGGCCAACCCTTGGTCAACTTAAGAGTGTTGGCGCAAGGTGTGGTCATCGTCGGACACAAGGCATGCCCACTACATACATCTATGGGATCTTATGGACATACTCTGACATAGTAACACAATCTGGATCTTCTCAAAGTTTGCACATATGTAGAAACGACAGCACACTTCACTTTTCCTGAATTAGCTATATCTGACTAGTCTATAATACCAAGCACGTTCGTACCGGCTCTCCGACTTCTCTGTTGAATCACTGATCAGATCTATAAGTTCACTTAAGCTGAACGGATAGGTCAATAACCAGTTGGAGTCAAAGTTGGACATCGTACCAAGTCGCCAGCTGCCGGCCCGGGGGCGGCTAGGCCTTAGCACTGGATCTGAAATAACGAGATCAGCGAACCACTGACATGCGCTTATCATAATCTTCCACCATGAGAAGTCAACATTCGATGTATACTAAGCTGATCTGAGCAGACAGTCTGGGATTTCTTTGTGCTTCTCAAGGTGAGTCTTTTCCGCCATTTGAACTCCAGCACATCGTCCATCATGACTGCGGGTAATTCAGTACATATATTCGCCGGGTTACTAATGATTTGTCGGCTAATAATGGTTCCTTACAATGTGCTCGTAGCAACAGACCTTCTGAGCATTGATTTAATGTGAAACATCCAATAATAAGGTTCATCTTACTTTCCCCACAAAAGAGGCTAACTGAGGAATCCATTTTAGTCCGCTCCGCTTTTGTAGGCAACCCAGCTCCACCAGTCGTAGTTGGTCTTGTTGCTACTTTATGACCCGGGAACTCGTTCCACCCGAGCCTGAGTTTCCACAATATATATTCCGCTGCTGTTATGCACTAATACACCATCAACTTTCCTTTTCTCTCCGAGTCCTGTTAACCTGCTTTGAGCCTCTGGGCTCTTCGTCAGGTCCCTTTTATCTACCCAATCCTACACATCACCTTGGGTTCAATGTCGCCGAGACCGATCCTGAAACAATGTCCACAGTTTCCGTTCTCTGCACATCCGACAGCTTCCCCACCCCGCCGTGTTCACTTCCCACCAACGCCAACTCTTACTTCTACGTATGCTGCCCACTCATCAGCTACGTATGACCGCTCGCCTGTCTCAGTCTCTCCCAATCACTGTGCGCTCCCTGGGCGTCATGAGCGAGAATTTGTCTGCAGTGATGACAGTCGGTCATATCAAGTGGCCGAGATAAAAGGAAGCTATTTTCACCCTCGTGCCTACGAGGCGTGTGCCCCAGAGCCATCAGGTCACACCCATCCATATACCGCGCTCTCCTGTGCTTACCCCTGACATCCCGTCAGTGTCTTATGAACCTGACAGCTTGGTGACATCACCACCTGATACTGTGTTAAGCCGAATATCTGTCCGTCTCACGGCTGCGGACCCTATGATACCCTTTACACGACATACACAAGATGAGATTGATACCACATTTAAATCTTCGCAGCATCCTTCGCAGGCGAAGGAAAAGCAGAGGATGAAGAGAAGCTTGCGTAGAAAGGAACCGGATCATTTCGGTGGCGACTGTGTAGGGTTCGCACCGATTTCTCTGGACTACAACAGCTGCCTAGGGGGGTTTTGATCACACATTTATACCTTTAGCCGTTTACACACTGGAATCGATACCCTGAACTTTGTAAAACATACCATGTAGTCGATACATGTGACTGTACTCTGATTTCAAACGCAAACGTGGCGGACCGGTGGGGCGCACCTTACACCAGGGCATTCGTGGCTCCAAGGATACAAAGGTCTCTTAGACTTCGCATGTATTGTCCTACACCCAATGGACATAAATGAAATGAATTTTGAAAAAGGCGAACATACCAACGAATATCAGAACAAAGTAATGAACTTACTGTAGTACCTTAAAACATATCTCCTTGGCACAGATATCTATTGGAAGCAATGGCCGGATAAAAATATATGATGATGCTTTTTTATCCTGCGGTGATACGACTCGGACGATATCGCCGTTTGACGCGGAAAATAGAATGCGTGCTTACCCGGCTGCGGCTCGGACGGAAGACAACCATCAGGCGAGTAATTCTCGCATACCTGTGGAAAAAGTCGGACCGCAACATCGGAGTAAAAATTGCTATTCAATGCAAGGGTACAAGAATCAATACATCTGGACACCGGGAGAGAGGAAAATAGAAATTCGTGGGTAGGAAATTTCGGATCGGTGTGCTCAACCGCCGGGCCTCTCCTGCGCGTGTAATTTCGGTGATCCGGTAGGGGGAAATAAAGACAGAGGAAGCTGGCAGTCTTGCTGTATGCCCATCTGTCCCCCTGCAAACAATGTTCAATGGCGATTAGGGCTTTCTTTAATATCGCCCGGATCTTACTTCTACGCCTCGGAAGCACATCAGAAAACTGGAGTATTTATATTCCACTTACTTACTGGGGAAGACTAGGGCCTGGGGATCATTCTCCCAATTCACAATAGGTATGTGCCACATACTTGCAATTGACAAACGATGCATCGCCTTTTCCGGTGACGTAGCGGCAGAACAACCAAGTGGATCAAAAGATGACGATGTGAAGGAAGAAGGACTTGGTATTTAGAAGCACTGCATGCTTGAACTTTTGAAAAGTCAAAGTCTTCAAATACATAGTTCGATGCAACTTGCTATGTCGATGCGGTCAGTGCACTGCACAAGATTCCCGGCGGAATTTGAAAAGCTGAGAGGCGTGGGAATGGCGCAGAAGCCATTCAACAAATGACCTTCCCTTTGCTCGTGTCTTCGTCCGCAACCTCCATCACCGTCATTTCGCCATCAACCAACACTTTTACCTCCTGACTATAGACCATCGTAATGGCTCGTACCAAGGTGCGTTTATAGAACTTTGCTTTACAGTACACTATACTTACCCTTTATCCAGCAAACCGCTCGCAAGTCCACTGGAGGTGCGACCTTATCGCTGCTCGTTTTTATCCACGTTGTAACGCCATTTCTATCTTCTAGGCAAGGCCCCTCGTAAACAACTCGCAACCAAGGCTGCTAGGAAGACTGCCGCTGCCGTACGTCTTTGTTTATAATCATTTCGCGTCTTAAATGCTCAATACCGTGTTATATGATACAGGCCGCCACTGGTGGTGTGAAGAAGCCCCATCGTTTCCGCCCTGGTACTGTTGCCCTCCGTGAAATCAGAAGGTACCAGAAGTCTACCGAGCTTCTGATCAGGAAGCTCCCGTTCCAGAGGCTCGTTCGTGAAATCGCGCAGGACTTCAAGGTATGTCCCCATGACACTATCTGAATGAACTTAAGGTGACTAACGTATCTATTCTCACCAGACTGACTTGCGCTTCCAATCCTCTGCTGTCATGGCTCTTCAGGAAGCCGCTGAGGCCTACCTGGTGTCACTCTTTGAAGACACCAACTTGGCTGCCATCCACGCCAAGCGTGAGTCATCCACTCCCCCGTGCTCCACAATGCTGACTCACTCCAATTTCATTAGGTGTGACTATCCAACCCAAAGACCTTGCTCTTGCTCGCCGTCTGAGAGGCGAGAGGTCTTAATTACCATTCGACTGTTTCATGATTACATGTCTCCTCCTTTACTTTGTTGTTTGCCTGTGATTTCTATATGATAGGCCCTTGCGCGTAGTGTGTACGATTGAACGCCCCCAACCCTTGTCAACCATTCGTCTCCTTCGTTTTTGATATTATGTATTGGACTGAACGGGCTGCGTCCCGCAGTTTGGGTAGATAAAATTGTTGTAAAGCGATATGTAATGCATGTGCTTCTACCGCACTCATGGAAACAGCTTGATGGCTTGGTGTCGGCGTCAATTTGTGTTGCGGTAACTATTTAGCACGCGCTACTCCACATATGACGAGTTGCAACGATCAGCCTGGATGACCACGAAGTCAATGAATTCAAGAGTCTTTTGACTAGATCTCAAGTATAAAGAACTCATGCGCATCACATGTTACAAGCCAGCCTGTGTGGGAACATATGGTCCATCCGAGCACACAAATCCAACATCATTCGAGATCTATATCAACCGTTGTCAGCATACTCGCGTAACCACTCACTCCAAGACAGCGCATACCGTGGAGGAATTGCACATCGCGGCAACAGGGGCACCACTAAGTGTGTGCGCAACGAGGTTCTTCACGACAATGTTGGTCGCTACGAAATCAAGTCACAGGGGTATTTGGCAACGAAACTTTGGGACGAACCGGTCTTTGGGTACAAGTCAAAAATGACGCCTTCCTTGCCTGTTGCACCAGATACGTGGTACCTGACGACTTTTTAGTGCATGCTTCGGAAAAGGAAAAAAGTTATTACCAGCAAGGGTCGGTGATACACGAGCCTTCCACGTATCCGGGCGTACTAGGGATTAGGGTGAATAGACGACAGAAGAAAGTGATAGCGATAACCTACTCGTTGATAACGCCGACAAAATTATCGAACAGGAAGTTTTCAATGCGAGTCTCGTTGACGGACGAGGAGCTCGGATACGGGCCGCCCTGTTATACGTTTAGTTAACAGAGACATGTTTGTTCATGCAACATCAAGCTTACGCTTTGGTCCTGGTAGCTTTAGGAGCATAGCACAATTATAAAAGGAGCACACGGAAAGGCAAAGACATACTTTTGGGTCACGAAAATAGGGAGCATCACATCGATAAATGTGATATTTTTCCATGTTATACTAAAACAACACATCTTCAGTGCATGATTTGTCGAAAACGTCGAAAATACAAACTTGATGGCAGCACCGTTTCCGCCAGTCCAGCTCTTGAAACGAGCTGCATAAAGAGTGCGGTTCTAGTAGATGGCGAAGGAGGGTGTCAGGCAAGGAGGCTTCATCGCCGAGAAAACTCGCCATAATTGTGTTCTCAAATAATACATTCTCTACGGATGCCACTTGGCCACCCGCGCCAAGTGAACCGACTGACAGACCGTGCGATCCCTCGCAGTAGCTATCTCTATGGCCAGACATAAGTTCGTTCATTGCGTTAGCGGAAGTTGACAAACCTCCAAGTGACGTTCTTGGCGCCGCTACCAACAGCCAAGCAATCATCTCCGTTGACGACATGGTTGTTTTCAAAAAGAAAATCGGTGCCTCCGGCTGAAAATCCATCACTGCATATGTTCAGCTGAACACCAATCAAATCAGAAGCTCAATAACGCACGTATTGAATGGAAACGACTATTCACAAGTGTAAGTCACAGTGTAATGCATTAGCGACGCATCATCAGACTCACGGCACTTTCAGAATTGGCCAGGATGATATTGTTGAAGATGTGCATATTGCTTGATCCTATAGTGCCAAAATTCCATGCGATAGGCTGCAGGAGATGATTGAAATTCAGCCAAGATGCTCTCAAAGATGCGTATCAACCCAAGACCTTGTATATCTTCATATCTCTGATGATACCATTTGTAACGTTTTTAAACAGCCAACCGGAAGGTCGGTTGGTCTGTTGCATGATATCCCACCACTGAACCATTTGTTTCAGCGCAATCGAAGAATTCATATGGCTCTTACCTGTTGGCCATGTCCATCAACCCAACCCCAGTCAGGATCAGTATTACCACGGAGCGTGACGTTATGTCCTCCAGTGAACGAGAACCTGATGAAATTGTGAGCTATAAGACGTTAAAACATGTTGGCCTGTACCATGCACCAGAGTAATTCTGGAAGACTTCGTATCAGATATCGGATACATATAATTCAGTGATTGATCGGCACTCACAGCGGTAGCAACATGCCCTTGCACAGTTTTGATGCTCGTCGGATATGTCAAATTCCCACTAATCACCACCTCGACATTCGTGAAAGGCGGAAACGTGATTGGGGACCATATGTTGTAGGTCGTGTCAGCCTCGAACACAATTGAGGCGTCAGACGTGTAGTCAGGAATTGCTGCCATCAGAGCAAGCGTGTCATCTGCATCTTTGGTGTGTGGGACAACGAACGTCGACCATGCGACTGCAATGGCAGCATATGCAAGAGGACCAGAGAATGAGAGTAGCATCCTCGAGAGCATCATCCTGCAAGTTAGAGCTGAGCTGTGTTTTAGCGGAGAATAAGGAGTGTATTATATGCGCGAGTGTCGGGTATTGTAGCCTTAGAGACGGCAAGTCTTGGGGCCCGGAATAAGGATCATGATATTACAACTTCCCGCAACCTGGATAGTCACGGTTGACAAGACGGCTCCAGGTTTCTCCTGCTGATCATTCATCGACGCGTCAACCACGCTATTCAAGACCTGAAAGGACACCAGCAAAGGACAGACACGAGTCCAACACCAGTTTTTATTGCTAGTTGACCGGACGTAGCGATTCGCCACAAAATTGAATGTGGTCAGTGCGAGAGTTCAAGGCTACATCGCTAAATACCGGTTTTTCTCTATTGCATCTCTAGTATCCAGAGGACATGATTACTTGTATGTGCGCGTGAACGCGTGAACACAATACTGCTAAAGGGAGCAAACAAAAAGCCGGTCTGTGCCGACGGCAGAACCTCATTAATGCATTCTGTACTAGCACTACTACAAATTTGAAAAGAACTGAGAACAGGTACAACCGACATCTATAGTTAACTCACTGGTAGGGCTCATCCCATGTCGTGACAGGGCGCTCGTCCTGCCCGACTTTCGCAGGGAGATCTTCCAATGGCGAAGGATACTTTTTTAGACGTGTCGTTAACCAAGTGGGGCTCTAGGATCCCGACATTTTTGGGATCGCGAGTGGGTGATGCTAATGCTTTAAATTTCAAAACATGACAGCGCCC